TGGCGCAGAGCCTCGCCGAAATCATCCGCGTACGTCGCGCGCAGAAGAATTTCCAGCTCATCGTCATCACGCACGACGAGGAATTCCTCAAGGAGATGGGATGTGCGGATTACACTGACTCTTACTTCCGTGTGAGCCGCGACGAGGCCCAGAAGAGTGTGATTGAGAAGCAGAACATTGCTGATGTAAGTCGTCGAGCCCATCAGCAGTCCATTCAGATTGCTCAGGAGAGACGCTTGAGACAGAATACTAACTTATCAACAGGTATTATAAAAGGCCGATGTTGCGGTCATAGGACGGGGTTGGTCTGTCACAGCGAATGAATTGCAATGAGTATGCCAGTGGAGGAGGCCGATCATGGATGGCTTTGTGAGGTGTCCGATTGTTTGAGTGAGGAGACTAACCCGAATGAACCGTACTTGCTTGCTCCATGGATGTCCCGGTGGAGAGGTTTGAGTTCCTCCAGCCCCTGCGAGGTCCGTACAATAGATGAGTGTTATGCTTGCCATTCCATGGCTTTCGTGAGCGCATTTGATGTGCACAAGCTTGATTGCATGCTTATTCCTAAGCAGCGACGTGTAATCCTCCTTCGAACCTGAGGTTGAATGAACATGGTCCGCACGTTCTGCGGTCCGCGAAAGCTCGATGTCATCACAAGCGACGCCCGAGATGACTATAGGCGAGCATTGCGAAAGATTGAACGAGAGTAGATGACTGCGAGTACGGTAAGATACGTGTATATCTCCGGTTCCGAGACTGTCGGCCGTGGGGTTTGGAAAGGCGAGACGAGACATGGAGTTATAGTATCATCGCGCATGATACCAGATCGGGCATCCAGGCACTTTTTCGTGCTCCGTACGGAACCCAAGTACCAGGTCGAGACGAGAGGCGTTCATGTTCAATACACAGAAAGAGTAGGTATCCGAAGCGATCATTGTGTGTGAACACCTGATAAACTGTCGTGCAACATCCAAGTCAGCACGAGACTTGGACGGGTCATGGACATGCGTGCAGGAGTAGTACAAAGCACTACATCATATTAAGGAAGAGTGGATAGATGATGATTGGGGCATTTCACTCATTCCGCTACTGTTGTGCTTTTTCCGTCGGCGGTGAATGAATGATGGTATGTCAAAGAAGTTGGCAGGACTACGTAGTTGCTTGCATTGGAGTGTGTGGTGCTGCAACAGTCCGCGCAGACTAAGAAACGACGATACTACAGCTGTACGCGTGCGCGTGAGCTGACTGTTTGACATGACGATCTGATGACAGGACCAACTTGACTCGGCATTGTCGAAGACAGTGTAGTGCGGTGAGAGAACCATTGACCCATCACATGACACTTCCTTTCTTCGACGGACGCTGTGCGATGGGTTCGCGCATCCATGTGTGCATTCCTCCACTACTAGGTAGTGTGGTCGTTCACAACATATTCCTTGGTCTCGCCCGTGCGTCAGCATCATTGCAACTAGACTATGGCTGTGTCGTCGTCGTCGTCGTCATCGTCCTGCCCGTGCCATGTGTGGCTATGATGGAGGCTACAGTACAGTATAATCACGGGACGAACGATGTTGAGATTGACAATGTTGACGATGATGAGAGGTCCGACCGAAAGTGCTCATCGAGAATAAAATGAAGAGATCAGCAGAGAGAAGTGAAGATCAGCATGCGGCTAGAACAGCCAGATGATGAGATCGACATCAGCCACAAAGACAGCCAGGTAGTCATGTGTACAGTTCGGTCAGTATAGAGTACAGTAGTCCTGTGATGGCGGCGAGAGACGACGAGATCTGTGTGGAGAAAGTAGAGTTGTGAGAGGGAGGGGCAGAGACAGATACAGCCGGAGAGAAGGAGGGATGGAGAGGCGTTCAGCCACGTCGATGGGTCTATTCCCAAATCGGGTTAAAGGGGACAATCAAATCTGCCAGGCACCGATCGGGGCGTGTGCATACCTAGGTATCCACAAACACACACACACACACCTCTCGAGTATCAATCCACACGTACACACCACTCGCACATCCGCACGCCGATGAACCGAGTTCCTTCTTGAACAATGCTCCGGTCACACATGTAGACCTGAGAGGAGGCTGTTCACGAATCGAGATGGGATGTGACTCGAGCGATAAAGTGAAGATGATGTGATGCCACCGCACTCTCAACACCATCGTCATGTGATGATTGTATATAACGTGATAATCTACAGTCATGCCCTAGGTGGACGTAATTACCCATGCAGGACAAAATTATGCATACGAGTCTCCCAGACTTGGAACTTGGAAGGATGGGGATAGGGATGGGGATGATGTGAACGAATTTTAATTTCCAAAGGGTCTAGCCGAGACCGACCCACCACCAATCATACCCACCTGCACCACCATCATCAACCGGCTAACCCCGATGTTCCTGCAAGCCACAAGTGACAATCTCGCGGGAATTTTTGGCAATCACCTGCACCTGGCAGCCTCGGAACCACCAACAAAAAATGATGCGACGGAAGATTGGCTGATGGTCTCACCTCTCATATGATTATGAAAGATACATCATGAAGACCTTTATTTAGCACGCAGTTCTCATGTCTTTGCGCTGTTCACTCGTCTCGTATCTTCGACATACGTTCCTTTAAATCGTGATGCACGGTGTGTCGCGTTGTGTGGTTGTTATTATCATTACGATGATTATACGTGATCATCACCAGAAGGACGAGAGCACCGGACAGCTTCGTTGCGTTCTTTTGGCTGGCAAAACGGCAAACGACTAGCACACCGTATGTAGGGCGAAAACGCGCGCATGCATAGCCACACACACACGCAGACACACAAGTATTGTATTTACAGCATTCCATCGCACTCTTGGACCCATCTCCGCCCGCCCGCGCCTTGTCATTCCTCTCGGCCGCGGCCGCCGCCGACGCCGTACAGCTGCATCACCTGTCAGGAGGCTCGCAGGTGTTGGGCGTAGGAGGCGCAGAGGGAAGGCAGAGGTGGCAGTGAGTGGATCTGCGATACAAACCAATTCCAATATAACACAGCCGATGGGTGTGTTGGTTGTGCCGCCATGGTAGAAGGTGGACGGTTGGATCCGCCTCGGTCGGGGCCCTTTCTCCGGACGAATAGTAGACGGACACGATAAACTTCTCTTGAAAGACACGCTCCTCCACAAGCAAGATGGGAAGAAATGGCGGAAGTGCACACATGTTGTACACCATGCTTTTTGACCGCTACAACGGGAAACGACAGACTTCCCAGATTATCTTCTAGAAGCAAGAGTCATCGAGTATCTCTGCTGTCTCATCATCGTAAACTGGATGACGCCGATGATGATGAGACAGTCTCTCGTGGTAGATTTCAGGTTCCACGTTGTGGGTATGGTAGTGCAGTACAGCAGTATTTATTTCCCCGTTCTATACACCTCGGCACTCACTCGCCCGCACATGGCTGTCATCATCACAACAACCATCCAGTTCTGTAGGTGTGTCACCACAAATGATAGACCTGGGTAAAAAGATAAAACAGATGGTTGCGCTGCACAACATACATGTGATATAGATTCTGGTGGACGTGATCGGAGGAGTGCTCCTCTCCATTCGCTTCTAGTAGTAATAATCATAAGAGGATTCATTGTGTACTGTATGAGACTGGACGGTTGGGATGGTATCGGCGGCACGTATGTGTTCTACTGAAACGTGGGTACAAGAGGCTGATTCTCGCACTCCGTCTCGCTGTCTCTCCAACGCGTGTAATGATCATCCGCCATCCAACCTGCCCGCGACAGTCGTCTTCACTCATCCGTCTGCTCCACAATTGCAGACCACCTGTTCACTCTCCAGACCGGACATTTATTATTATTGAGCGGATTCGGAATAACTGCGACTTCCTTCTTCGGCCTCTTCGCAATCTTTCGAAACGTCTTTCTATCTCCATATAGGGCAGAAGCGGCACAGACGACTGGCTCATGGCCCAAAAACACAGAAGAAGGGATTGTCCACAGTGTGCTTAATGTTGTCTCTTCTTCTCCCCGGTGGTCGTCCGATCCCCGGTTCACACCACGAGACCGCACTACTGCAGGCCCTCAAAGTCAAACCAGACCGAGTTTGGTGGTGTGGTGTGTATACGTCTGTATGGATGGATGTGTGCGTATGCCGAAAGTGTACAGCATCACGCTGCATTGTGATCATACCTAATGAAAGATTCACTGTACGGCACACACGTCTTCAGATGTAGGTGAGGCGACAATTGGCTGACTGGTACTGCTACGTGACTTTCATCACAGAACCGTCCGAGGAAAAAAAGGAGGCACTTCTCGCTGTCCACCCACCACTTGCTTTCTTTCTCTAGGTACTTTCCTGCCCGTCGGCGGCGTCGTTCGCGCCTTGCAGATCCCTTCTCCTTCGACTCTAATCATTTCTCCTCTCTTGGGATTGATCGACCATCTCTCATTATTCGTTCTTTACCTTCCGTTTTAATCTTTCTTCGGGGGCCGAGCGCAGTCACCTCACTGCATCGTCACCATCATCCTCATCATTGCTGTACCGTGCGTGCCGTGGCCGCGTGCGCGAGAACACCGTCCTTTCCCTCCAAGGTTGTCTTTGCCAATTCTCACTTCCCCTCACCCGTCGTCCACGCGGAACTTCAGGCAAGACTTCCTGTCTCCACCTACTGTACATCATCGAAACCTCGACACTACCGTCCGTTGGCACCTCCCTCGGGCCTAGAGTGCAGCAAAGTATAGACCGGACTCTCTCTCTCTTTTACACACACATTCCCTTTTCGTCGCTTCTGACGCGAAGCAACTACGACTCACCACCATCTCGCCGGTGTCTATCCTTCTTCTTGTTTTATATATAGTTCCTCTTCTCGCCGCGCCTCCCACCCTTGACAGTGCCGGGGCAGAGGTCAACAGTCGACTCGTCTTCGGTTCCTCACATGTTGTAACAACACCATTTGACCAACTCGCATCTTCGCCTTTCGCCATTTCCAACACAGTTTCCTTTAATCAACATGCTTTTCAAGGCGTTGGCCGCACTCAGTGCCGGCCTGACCCTCGTCGCCGCAGGCGCGCAACCTAGCCAGCCTTCGAACTTCGTATGGGGCCAGACCAAGATCCGAGGTGTCAACATTGGTGGATGGTTGGTCCTCGAGCCGTGGATCACTCCCTCCATGTTCGAGCGATACGGTCCTGCCGACCAGAGCGGCATCATTGACGAGTACACCCTCGGTCAAAAGGTCGGTCAAAAGGTCGATGCACAGTCTGCGAAACAGGCGCTCCGGAGCCATTGGGATAGCTTCGTCGGTCTGGGCGACTTTCAAAAGATCGCCAACTCCGGCTTCAACGTCGTCCGCATCCCGATCGGTTATTGGGCCTATGCGAACGCCGGCACGCCCTACATTTCGGGCGCCGCGCCATACCTCGACAAGGCCATCGGCTGGGCACGACAGACCGGCCTCAAGGTCATCATCGACCTCCACGGTGCTCCCGGCTCGCAGAACGGCTTCGACAACTCTGGCCAGCGGGGCGGCATTCAATGGACCACGGGCAACACGATTCAGCAGACCCTCAACGTCCTCCAGTACATTCAAGCCAAGTATGGCGCCGCCTCATATGACGATGTCGTCATCGGTATTCAGCTGCTCAACGAGCCTGCGAGCTTCGACGACCGCGTGAAACTTGACACCGTCAAACAATTCTACCGCGATGGCTATGGCAACCAGCGCACTCACTCCCAGAACCGTGTCGTCGTCCTTCACGATGCCTTCAAGCCGCCGAGCACGTTCAACGGCTTCCTAACCCCGCAGGACAACAACGCTCAAAATGTCGCCATCGATCACCACGAGTACCAGGTCTTCAACAACGATCTCGTTGCTTTGAGCGCGGAACAGCACCAGAGGTTGGTCTGCCAGAATGCAGCTTCCTGGTCTGGGTCCGACAAATGGAGCTTCATTGGCGAGTGGTCCGCGGCCATCACCGATTGCGCCCCCTGGCTTAACGGCTACGGCATTTATAGTCGCTACGACGGATCATACTCCATCAACGGGGGTTCGAAGTTCGTAGGAACTTGCTCCGACAAGAACGACATCATGCAGTGGAACACAACACGAAAAGCGGACATTGGCAGATACATCGAGGCACAGCTGGACTACTTTGAGCGCTACTCTAATGGATGGATCTTCTGGAACGTAAGTCATCTGCTCCTAACACTCCCCATGTTCACCCCAACATATGTGCTTCTTTGCTGTTTCCTGGGACGGTCGCATGCATCTGCTGACACATCTCTCGAACTTATAGTTCAAGACTGAAGATGGTGTGGGCGAATGGGATGCTTTCGCGCTCATCGACGCGCAAATCTTCCCCCAGCCATTGACTGCGCGCAAATATGACCCGGTAACCTGCTAGAAAGCTCGAGAACTGAAGCGCGGCGCAGCGGCTCTCGGCAAATGACGCGTGAACCCTGGGCGCGCCCACTGAGGTCTCCTCTTGACGATCTGACGACTTCTACTCGACGCGCCACCTATCGTCAAAGTCTTTCTTTCCCACGATATACAAGGGAAGATCGACGTCGACGTTTCCAGTGCTGGTTTAGAGTTGCCACGACGCATCCGTCATGCGCAGGCGTCTCAGGTGTCTGAAATCACAGCAACGCGCTTACTTTATTTCTTCTTTGCCCACCAAAAAGAAAGGCTGGACGGGTGCCGGCTCTGAGTTGTTTCAGCCATCGGAATATTTTTGAGTTCCATATAGTCCCATGTAGCCTGCATATACCCAAAATGATCACGCTTTCTCTCAAATAATTGGGTAGTCACTCACTGCACCTGCTAATTCGCTATGCGCACAACGCACTGTAATGCTTCTTGTTCATAAATCGTGCTCGATGTCGTGTCAGCTTTACTTCGTCGAGCAGAAGATCGCGTGACGTTCATTCGTGATGAGACCTCGTCTCGATATCGCCGTGGTCAGTTCTGGTTCAGGCGTATCAACGTCGTCTTCAGTGGTCACATTTGTCGTGGAGATGGCATCTCTTGCACCAATCCACCAAAGCCTGTTGTTCGCCGAGATTGAACATGCCTTCCACAGTGCAGAATGTCTTCACGGCTACAGCCGTCGTCGCACTGGTGGACACCGACATTGCGGGCTGCACCGTTGAGGATTGATTTTGTCTACTGGAAACAATTGATGAGTCTGACGTGAATATATAGATTGGTCCAGTCGTTGTCAACATCATTGACCATCAACAAACGATGGAGCCAACCCCAACCCTAAACCATCGCGAAGTCGGAGGCTGAGATTGAGGCTCAAAATGGAATAGGTCATCGATGGAGGTCTACACCACTTTAGGGCTAGCGACGGCAATCCCGCTCGATCTCAGCCTCGAATACCCGAGCGTTGTACCACGAAAACAACCATTTGCTTTCATTGCAGAGTGACCTCGAGCGGCTAGTGTAGGATTTCGCCGCAGTTGCTTGAGCCCTTCTTCCTCTTCCGCAGCTGTTTCTGGTCTGGCGTCTGTTGCTGTCTCCAAAGAGCACCGAGGATTTGCCAAATTCAACACAACGATCCTCTTCCCAACTCCACTCATATCCTCTCGATTCGTGAATTGCAAGACCCTCGCCATGGCTTCCTTCGCCCGTGCCCTCAGGCCTGTTGCTCGTGCAGTGGCAGCTGCTCCCGCACGCACAGTCATCACTCCAGCCATTCGCAGCAACCGATCACAAGCGTGAGTTCACCCAACGAGTGGCGAGAAGCGTCGAGCATGGACGACACGATCGTGAAATCGTAAAGCGTTGAGCGTTCTGACGGCCTTGGTAGTGTGCGATGTCTCTCATCAACGCCCCGCGTCGCCAGCGACCTGTCCGGTCTCGAGACCCTGCCTATCTTCCACTTGAACGACACCGAGGCCGCCATGGCTGAGGCCGTTTCCAAATTCGCCAACGAGGAGATCTTGCCCAAGGTCCGAGACATGGACGAAAACGAGATGATGGACCCCTCCGTCATCGAGCAGTGCTTCGAGCAGGGTTTGATGGGTGTGGAGATTCCGGAGAAATACGGTGGTGCCGGCATGAACTTCACCAGCGCTATTGTCGGTATTGAGGAGCTCGCCAAGGTGGACCCCTCAGTCAGTGTGATGGTCGACGTTCACAACACCCTCGTCATCACTGGTCTGCTCAAGTGGGCGACTGAGGACATGAAGAAGGAGTGGCTGCCCAAGCTCGCCACCAACACCCTGGGTTGCTTCTGCTTGTCCGAGCCAGCATCCGGTTCCGATGCCTTCGCCATGAAGACCCGCGCCGAGAAGACCGCCGATGGATACAGAATCAATGGAAGCAAGATGTGGATCACAAACTCCTACGAGGCCGGTTTCTTCATCGTCTTCGCCAACCTCTACCCCGAGAAGGGCTACAAGGGCATCACTGCCTTCGTCTGCGGCAAGGACACCAAGGGTCTCAGCATCGCCAAGAAGGAGAAGAAGCTCGGAATTAAGGCATCGTCCACCTGTGTCCTCAACTTCGACGACATGGACCTGCCCGCCAGTGCGCTACTCGGCAAGGAGGGCGAGGGCTACAAGTACGCCATCCAGATCCTGAACGAGGGACGTATCGGTATTGCCTCGCAGATGACCGGTCTCGCCCTCGGCGCCTTCGCCAACGCTGCCAAGTATGTCTGGAACGACCGCAAGCAATTCGGCCAGCTCGTCGGTGAGTTCCAGGGCATGCAGCACCAGCTCGCTCAGGCCTGGACCGAGATCACCGCGGCCCGTGCCCTCGTCTACAACGCCGCTCGCAAGAAGGAGGCCGGTGAGGACTTTGTCATGGAGGCCGCCATGGCCAAGCTGTACGCCTCGCAGGTGGCAAACCGCGTCTCTGGCCAAGCCATTGAGTGGATGGGAGGTATGGGCTTCGTCCGGGAAGGTCTCGCGGAGAAGTACTGGCGTGACAGCAAGATTGGACAGATCTACGAGGGCACGAGCAACATTCAGCTCACGACCATCGCCAAGCTCCTCCAAAAGGAGTACACTGCGTAGATATGTGGACGTGGTTGGGTGTGAGAAAGGCGATGAATCATGTATAGGACTGTGACTTGTGATCGAGCCAGCGGGTGTTTGACAATTTCCCTTCTTTGTATTGCAGCGGCGGCGTTTGAGCGTCGTCACAGGACATAACTGAAATATGAAGAAACCTGATCTTGAGCCCAGCCAATTTTGAATTTTCACTGTGAATCATTGTTGAGCCTTCGTTCCCTGTCCCGCTCCACAGACCATGTGAATATTCTCGGGGCATACGTTTTGATACGCCCGATCTGCCCTCATTCTGCATCCTCGCCCTCGATCAACTCGATAGCTGCGCCTCGGGCATCTGCAGCGAGGATCCACGGCCTCTGCCGCCAAAATTCATCACCCACGAGGTCGACATGCTCGAGACATATGGTAGCTTTGAGTTTCCTCTTCCTCTCCTTTTCACGCTGAGATTTGCTCCGCGGGTTCGGTAAAGTTTTGGGCGGTTTCTGGTGGAAATTTCCACCCTCTAACTCGGTGGGCCCGCTCTCGTCGTTACTGCTGTAGTCTCGGTAGATGACGGTGCCTTTGCGAAATACGGCGGGTTCGTCGTTGTAATTGATCTGGAAACATTGGAAGAGGATCTCGTTCTTGTCACTGGCTAGGGTGCCTTTGAGCTCGAGCTCGGCGGCGGTGTTGGTCATGCTGCCTCGCTGGACCTATCTCATTCTCATGATCAGCGCAATGTCTCTTTCTTCACAAGTTGGGCCGCCAGTATCGAAGCTTGTGTCGTCGGACATACCATGTTCCAGAAAGTCGTGTTGTAGAGGTTGTTGATGTGACAATCTGCTTGTCGCCAGCTCAGGTAATCCCTGTTGGAAGCCATTCAACATCATTGGTCATCGAAGATGTTGGGTACTGCATTATACCTCAGAATCTTCCTCTTAGGATACGCGACACATCTTCCATCAAAAGTCGGAAATGGTCTTCCGAGTTCTTGATCGGGGAAATATGTGTTCCATTGCATGCAATATTCCGCAGTGAATTGAGTAGCTACGCTTGTCGCTAATTTGGCCGACCTGAAATCATAATCAATTGTGAGAGCGATTCAGGAGAACGAGTGACCGGGATGACTTTATGCGATGTGCTGTTCAAGTTCCGGGCAAGACTGACCTTCGCTCCCATAAATCCGTCTCCTCGCCAAACACGAAGCTATATTCATCACTCTGCCCATACGCGATGACAATATCCACGAAACTCCTGACGACCTCCGCCGCAGCGGCGTTCATCAAGTTCAAGGCGCGGATATCATTAGGTTTCTCGAAATTGCATCGCGCGGAAAACTTGGAGAAGCCGCGTCCATCGATGCGGACGACTATGAAATTTGACGGAGGGATGATGTCGGCTTGCTCGAAATTGCGGACATAAGCAAAGCTTGTGTTGGCCATGGTTTCTTGATGACTTGCAGCAGCAGCAGCAGACGACGCGCGGGGGATTATATCGCGATGCAACGATGAAGTCGCGCAAGGCAACTGTGGTCAATTCACGGTCTACCTCGCGCCCGTTTCATTAATGATTACTCGATCACAAGTGGCGCGCGCCATGTTCTAGGTCCATGACAAGTACGATATTCCCGGTTTTTTGTTTAGACTTCCAGATTAGCTTCAGTGGCTTCTGATAGTCCTGTCGCGCTAAATCGCATCGTGAACCACGAAATGTCGACTTTGGCAGTATCTGTTCACAGAGGGCCCGGGGGTGTATGGAGTCACTTGGCAAGGAATCTGACCATTGTATGTCCTTTTGAATTATTTATAGATATTGTTGTTTTTGCTACGGCGTCAAGCACGATCGAAAATCAGCGTCGCTATTGCGCTTCCACTTCCCTCCGGATCGTGTCTTGTGCCAGGTGGATTGATGACCTCCTGCATTTGGGAGACAAAGTTGCATTGCTCAAAGAGGAAGGAATCATGGCATTGAAATGAGCATGTCCTGTGGTTGTTCTGCCACCCTGCCTCAACACATAGGCCCGCTCACAAAACGATTGTCTTGCTGCAATCTGGGACGACTCCCACTGTCCTGTTCCTCGGTCTTTTCCGGTCGTCACAAAGGAGGCTCTGCTCGCACCTCCCATCTCCCCTTTCTCCGCAGCTGGCCCAAACTCAAGGAAATCTCTTTTTTTTTGAAACGATAATTCGCATCATTGAAGTGCCCACACGCTGGACCTTCGAGCGAAGAAAAATTAGCACAAGAACACCATCCCAAGATCAGCCGATCGAGCGACTCAAAAACGCCCACCAATTTTTTTCTTGTTGTACAAATAAATGATCGTCACGCCGGTCGAGCCCTCCTTTTGACGTTCGCTCAACAAAGAGGACATCGCAATGATATCAAGACCCGGTCGATCGGAAAAGGAAATAAAGCGAATTCAACCTCGTTACTGGTGCAGCAGATGGTCATTCTATAATAGTGATGGGAAGAAGCAAATTGCAGCCGAAAAAGCAAGGTCGCAATAAAAATCAGACATGTCTCCTAATTGTTCGTCGGCGAGCTGGGTGAGAGAATCAGCAGAGGTACAGGAAAGCATGAGCTCTAGTATAACTTACGTTGGGGAGTACTTCGGGCTGGTTGGGCTGTACTGAGGACTCGTTGGGCTCTGTCGAGCAGCCGGAGAAGTTGGAGAGTATGCACCATTTTGGGCGGGGCTGGTCGGGCTGTACACGGGGGATGTCGGGCTGTAGCTGGGCGAAGTTGGGGAATTGCTAGCACCTGCACCACCATACTTGGGACTGGTTGGTGAGTATGCTGGCGAGGTTGGAGAGTATTGCGGCGAGGTTGGGCTGTACTGTGGCGAAGTGGGCGAGTACTTCGGAGACGTGTTGCCAATGCCACCGGGCGAGGTAGGACTGTAGTTCGGCGATGTCGGGGAATAAGACGGCGAGGTGGGCGAGTACGAAGGCGACGTTGGGCTGTATGAAGGCGAGGTGGGGGAGACCTTGTTGCCGCCACTGTATGCCGGCGAGGTGGGCGAGTATGTAGGAGACGTTGGTGTGTACGCGGGGCTGGCAGGCGAGAAGCGAGGAGAAGTGATCTCGTAGCTTGGACTGGTGAGACCTTGACCAGGAGACGTCGGCGAGTACCCGGCGTAGCTCGGCGAAGTCGGCGAATATCCTCCGGCATTGTAGCCTGGTGAGGCAGGAGACATACCGCTGAAAGGACTGGTGGGCGCATATCCCGGGCTCATGCCACCCGAGTATGGGCTGAGACCGCCGCCAGCAAAACCACCGCCATACGTGGTGAGACCTCCGCTTTCTTCCTGACCAGCAGATATGATAGGCGAGAAGCTGGCACCATAGTCAGGGCCCGCGTAGCCGCCGTCTGACAAAGGTGATCCCATGTCGTAAGGTGTCATACCACCTTCTGTCATCGGCGAGGCTGCACCCATGGCAGCCATTCCGCCCATAGGACGGTGATTGGCGACCACGTTCTTGAGCATTTCGCTGTCCAAGAAGCAATCGAATTCACCAGTACCGCTGGGTGCCAATTGGCCCAGGATGATGTTCTCTGAAACACCTCTGCAGTCGTCCAATTCACCCGACGAGGCAGCGTCGAACAGAATCTCGACAGTCTCTTCGAAAGAACAACGCATGAGAGCACCGGTGTCGGCGCGATTGATACCGTGTCTGGTGACGGCCATCAACTCGCCTCGGGCGCACATGACGTCACACAGGATAGCCATGTGTCGATGATTGACATAACTACCATCGTTCGTCAACACATCCTTCATTTCCTTCATCAGCGAGGCGCGGACTGCTTCGATGCCGAACACCTTCATAGTGGATTGGAAGTGATTGCAAGTGGTTCTGTAAGGGTCCACTCCCTCGACTGCAAGTACGTCGCGCAGGTTCACACCCATGGTGTCGAGGAACCATTCGTTGCCACCCTCTTTCGACTTGACAAGAGATCCGTCCGGCTTCTCCTGAAGCATGGCATCACTGGAGACGAAGCATCGCTTGACATCCTTGACACCACGCAAGATGGTCGTGTCAAGCATGTGACCTTCCAGATCTCGAAGTGTTTTGTCCTGCTCGTCATTCTCGGGCGATTTGTTGTCAGTGACGACGCGGACACGGATGACGGATTCATCGGCATTGTCATCAGAGAAGATGATAGCAACGTCGTTGCCGAACGTGTCTTTCATCTTGCGAGCAACGTCGGTCACAGTCAGACCCTTATCGAGCAGCTGGCGACGGCCAAGAACGTAGCGTAGCAGCCATTTGCTTTGACGGTCAACCGGGTCTCCACCATCGTCGCCCAGGATGTAGAACGACTCAACCATGTCCTTATCGGACTCGATAACCGTTCCTTGAATGTCCGGGTCGTAATAGATTTCGGCCTTCTCGGTAACGCTCCGCAGTGTGGTGTGTTCGACCTTTGAACGCAGCTCCTTGCAACTAGCTTGGCTGAGACGGTTCTCGGGCAATTGATACACACGCATATTGGGTGTCTTGAGGTTTTCTGCAACATTCAGAATTTCCTTCAGGCGAGGCACACCCTTCGTTGTCGTATTGGCAGTCACACCAGCCAAATGGAAGGTGTTGAGTGTCATCTGTGTGGCGGGTTCACCAATCGACTGTGCAGCCAACACCCCCACCATTTCGCCAGGGCTCACAAGACCACGCAGGAAACGATTCTCCACGTCGCCAAGAATGTTGTCAAGCGCAAGTTTGTTAAGCTTGTCCTCCTTGACCAGACGCTTGAAAGCAAACCGCGACCGGTACATTGCTTTGCAGAGCAAGGTTGCGTTGAGGTCAGCTTCCTTTGAAAGTTCGTCTTCACCACGGATGATCTTCAGCCGGTCGAGAAGAGCTCTGACCTTGGGAATGGTGTCACGCGGGTCCAGATCACTTTTGCTGGTCTCCTTGATCTTGAAGGTGTCCTTGGCATTCTGAATGATGCGGTCCACATTCAGCGGGAGGTAACGCTGCTCGCTTGGGTCGTCCAGCCCTTGTCTAATCTTATCACGGTCGTTCTTGATTGCATCGTATTCTTCGTCAAACAGCTGCTGGATCTCGACATCACCACGCAATTCCGACGCAATCTCAAGCACATTCGAGGACAAGGTCTCGTCTTTTGTTTGCGGGTTGATGACATCAATCTTGTATCGGCGGTCGAACTTTTCGTGAGATGCACTGATGATCTGCAGGAATTGACTTTCGATGATCATGGGGTCGAGGCCGTCTTCACCGTATGTGAATTGAACAATGTCACCGAGCGAGTTGCGCACAGTGCCGTCGTACTTGATCATAACCTCTTCCAAAGCCTTGACCAGACGACGTTGAATGTATCCAGTCTCAGCAGTCTTGACAGCGGTATCGATGAGACCTTCACGACCACCCATGGCGTGGAAGAAGAATTCCTGGGGCGTAAGACCACGCAGGTAAGAGTTCTCTACGAAACCTCTCGAGGCGGGTCCAAAGTCATCCTTGGGGAAGTGAGGTGTCACACGCCAGCTGAATCCGAAAGGCAGACGCTTTCCTTCAAGCGATTGCTGTCCAACAGCAGCTGTCATTTGAGAGACGTTGGTCGTCGAACCTTTCGAACCGGACTTGACCATGGTTCCAACATTGTTGCAGTCTTTCATGCCGTTGTAAGCTGCGTCTCCGGCGTTGTTTCGTGCGTTATCCAAGGCAGCCTTAGTCTTAGACTCGAAAGTTTCACGAATGGTCATACCGGGCAACTGCTCAAGCTCCTCGATACGCACTTCATTCATGTACCCATCCACGATAGCCTTCTGCTTGATGATCTCATTCTCAATCTGCTCCGTGACCACTGCATCAGGGATAGTATCACCGATGCCGACACTGAAGCTATTGTGAAGGAGCCAGTAGCAGACAATGCGCTGCGCTGCGTTGAAGAATTCGACCGTGGCTTCGTGTCCTCTGTCATTGAAGATCAAGTGGACGACACCTCCACCAGAGGCTCCAACAACGCTCTTGGTGAACTGACCCCAAATGACCTCTCCGTTTTGGACGAGAATTTCTTTCTTGCCTTCCTTCAAGGGCATGTCATCCTTTGCAGCTCGCATGATGTTCAGCCCGGTCGGCATAGCGAGCGAAATGATCTGCTTGCCAGTCCAGCGAGGGCTTGGCTTGATGATCGCAGGTGGTGGTACAACACCGTCCCAGTTGGGAACCCACATCATGAGGTTCATAACGTGCTCGTAGTCCATCATGACATCGCGCTTTGTCATCATGTAAATACCAGCCATGGTGTCCTGAACGATGCCCATGAGCGGACCGTTCTTCTGCGGCGAGACAATGTTCAATGGTACAGCGCAGAGGTTGGCCACCTCGGCTCTGGTTTCGTGACTTTGCGGGACGTGCAAATTCATCTCGTCGCCGTCGAAATCAGCGTTGTACGGGGATGTGACGGAGAGATTGAGACGGAAAGTTGAGTACGGCATGACCTTGACGCGATGTCCCATCATAGATTCTTTATGCAGCGAAGGTTGACGGTTGAAAATGATATAGTCGTCGTCGACAATGTGTCGTTCCACAATCCAGCCGGGTTGGAGTTGAATAGCACTGGCTTGCTTGTGGTAGCGCAGATCGATACGAGAACCGTCGTCGCGAATGACGAACTTCGCACCAGGGTGCTCAAGCGGACCATTACGGACAAGTCCTTGGAGCTTGCGAATGTTGTACAGAGTCACCTTCTCGGGGAATGTCAGAATTCGCGCAGTAGACCGGGGCACGCCGACCTGGTCCAAATCTAGATTCGGGTCGCCGGTGATGACCGTTCGTGCAGAAAAGTCTACGCGCTTGCCCATCAAATTACCTCTAAGACGGCCTTCCTTGGACTTCAGGCGAGCACGGATAGCTTTGACAGGTCGACCGGACTTTTGTTGAGCCTGCGGTAGACCAGCGATGTTGTTGTCCATATAAGTGGCGACGTGGTATTGTAAGAGGCCAATGAACTCGTCAACCACGTGCTGGGGGGAGCCTTCCATTTCGCAACGTCGCACGTTCGCATTAGCGCGGATGATATCTGCGAGTTTGTATGTAAGATCGTCTTCAGATCGCATGCCGTTGCCACTGTCAACACTCGGGCGAACAGCTGGGGGCGGAACCGGCATGACAGTCATGATCATCCACTCCGGTCGGGCGTAATCTGTGTTCAGTCCAAGACGGAATAGGTCCTCCTCGGAGATGTTCTGGAACACATTAAGTGCCATCTGAGGCGTGATCGCACGCTTTTCATTGCCGCCAGACTCGCCGTCTTCGTTCTTGGGCAGTTGCCAGGTACCTATGAGTTTCAAAGGCTCCTTGCGAATCGTGGGTTGAATGTTGCCACAACCTCCGTGCTTCTTAGTCGGAGGCTTCTTGGGATCGTCTCCGAAGACACCGTTGTCCTCCTCTGTGGTGTCTGCAGCGCAATCGGTCTTGGGCTTGCAGATCCGAGTGACGGCTTCGAAACGACGCTTTGGGTCACGAAGGCGAATAGCTTGGGCGAAGGCGGGATTGCTCTGCAGTAGTCGATGAGTATACGCTCCGTTCAATGAAGACTCATCAGTTGATTGAGAACGCTGTGATGACTTACCTCGTCGTCTAACAGCTTGCCGCAATTGTGGCAGACCGACTCGAGGATCTTCTTGATCTTGGTGAGAAATCCTTTGCACGCAAGGTTAGTTTTAAAAATTGTAGAGAACGTGTACCCAGAAGTATGGCATACCACCGTGGTAAACCGGCACAGCCAACTCGATATGTCCGAAATGACCAGGGCACTCCTGCTGGCTTTCGCCACAGGTGCCGCAAGCAAGATTACGATCTATTGTTCCCAGCTTCGGATCGAGCAGTCCTCGTTCTCGAGGTCGGTGCTTCTGTTCGTCCATGGTATCCGCGTATTCACAGTGCACAACGCTCATTTTTTTGATCTCATCAGGCGAGAAGAGACCAAACTGGATCTCCTGCACCGTCTTGAGCGGCGCCTCAGAGTGAGGAAAAGTTGCCATATTTGCGGTATTCCTTTTTCGTCGGCTGGATGCCTCAACGTGATACTTGCCACCGCCTGTACTTTAACGTGCGATATGACCTCCGAGTGTGCGCCTTTCGAACTTCAAGTGTGTCTTCACACGCAAAATCTCCGACTCTTCTTGTCACGTTCCAAGCCGCCACCTCGTCCCCTTGCACGCACACCGCGCGATCACGCGAAAAAACCGCCCTGATCCCTCGAACCCTGCCTGTGCTTTCTTCGTCGACTGTCGCAATGAGGGTGCAATGTCGGGGTCGATGCGCGTTGATGAGATGCCTGCGCGTGGTGCGCTCGTAGTAATATGGCGCGACGCCTGGCACACGCGCGCTTTTTGAAAAACCCAGAACAGACCCGCTGATTACTGAGAACGCGTCACAAACTTCGCATGCGTCTTCGAGTCGACGACCGTATCCTCGCGCTGATGCGGGCGTGTGTCGAGGAGATGACGGATGTTGATGCGAGAGGATGGTGAAAATCAGCCTACAGCGACTCAGGATGAGGCTGGCCTGATGAGACCGATGATTGTATGTGACGGGGAGCCAAGGCGACGACTTCCGTTTTGCACGGACCATCAGCTTTGATTCACAGCGGGCCGCAGCCTTCCTAATTTATCACCACCACTACTGTAGGGATATTATTATTGAGACTGTACCTTTCCAGACCTATCTACAACTTCTGTAGCATTACACATGCTGCGTGCCAGATTTGCGTGACAGGTTCTTCACGATCCGGCCGCGCGCATGAGACGCGTTCACAAAGTTTTATAAAAATGCATTGTGACTACTGACGATAGGACGACGAACATCGATATCGTATCGAGCCTGCCAGCAGCAGCGCACTGCCTTGAGGTACAGCGCCAGTCGTCTTCACATGCCGGCCAAGCCAATGATGCACACCTGTTTCATGCTCATGCTTGAATACTCACCAGAGATCAAGTGAATGTTCGTTGGACGAGCCCTTGTCACGCCACATCATGAATTTACCTCTTGCCGATCCGGTGCTACTCGCCCAGGACATTCCTGAAACGCTCGTTGCCCGGCTGAGATCGTCGGGCCAGGCAGTCTGCATTCGTTTCTCTCACCGGGGAGATCTTTTGGCTTCAGGCACGGCCAAGGGTACCATCACCATCTTCGATCTCGAGACTACAGGCGTTGCGCGCAAACTCAATGGACACACGCCGGGACGAACAGTGCAATCACTGTCGTGGGATCGCTCAGGGCGGTATCTGCTCAGCAGCAGTGTAGATTGGCGGGTCATATTGTGGGACTTGCAAGATGGTAGTCGTGTGTGGACAGCAAATCTAGGCGCACCAGTCTATATAGCCGAGCTACATCCTGCCAACCATAATATCTGCGTGGCGGCACTGTACGAGTACCGGCCGGTGCTGGCAAACTTCGAGGAAAAGAAGACGATCAAACAGATCGCCCTCCCAAATCTGCCTAAAAGAGCGCCTCATGAAGTACAGGAAGGCACTGAGAAAGCTGATGCCAAACACTTCACCACCGTCGCGGCCTTTACCCCTGCTGGAACACATGTCATCACCGGTACCACCAAAGGGTGGCTTAATCTCATTGATGCTAAGACCCAGACCACTGTGTACAGCATGCGGCTCTGCAGCAAGCCCATCCTCTTGATCCGTCTCAGCAGTTCGGGTCGAGACCTTCTCGTGAATGCTTCTGATACCATAATTCGTACCATCAAGCTTCCTGATCTTGCAGATCCCAAGCTACAGCCCGATAGCATTCGTCTCGAGGTGGAGCATAAATTTCAAGACGTCGTAAACCGCCTGTCGTGGAACCATGTCGCTTTCAGCAGCAATGCTGACTACGTGATGGCCTCGACGCTCATGAACCACGATATATACATCTGGGAACGGGGCCATGGCTCCTTGGTCAGGATCCTGGAGGGTCCTCGAGAAGAGCTGGGGGCGGTCGAATGGCATCCAACGAGACCGTTTGTGGCTGCCACGGGTGTAGAGAGCGGCAAGATTCATCTGTGGTCTATCATTACTCCTCAAAGATGGTCTGCTCTAGCGCCGGATTTCGCAGAAGTGGAGGAGAACGTGGAATACATTGAAAAAGAGGATGAGTTCGACATTCACGACATTTCGGAGATACAGAAACGGCGGCTCGATCAAGAGGACGAGGATGTGGATGTTCTAGCGGTGGATCCCGAACAATTGGAACGTGAGGGACGCCTGCATGAAGGCGGCGAAGAGTTCCGGATGCCAGTGTTGCTCGATATCAACGATTCGGACAGCGAGGATGAAATGATTGCTATCGGCGCAGGCCAATTCCGCCGGAAGAGCACCGCACAAGCCGAGGACATGGAACTCGGCGAAGTTGACGGAGATGCTGGCGGCGACTCGTCTGACGATACGGAAGTCAGAGGTACCAAACGACGACGCGAATGAAGATCACTATCACGCTGTCTCGATAAGTTGATATTCGGCTTGGCATGCTCCGGTGTATCGGCTACCACAGGCTTGTGACGGATATCTTCTACCATGTTCCATACACAGGATCGCCGCCGGTGCCGTTGGAATGTCCATCATACATTATCCGGTGGGGCCAGTTCAAGGAGTCCTGCGAAAATACTTGATATGCTGTACTCCCGGCCAAGGATGCACTTTGCTGCACAGCACAGGCACAGTAAGCTGTACATACCGATGGTTTTGCCGAGCGTCAAGTCACTAGATCATATGTATGTGTATATATACGTATTTTGCTCCGTTGGATATTCGGGCGCCACGTCATCCAGCCAGCCAGCCAGCCAGTCAGCCAGTCAGCCCTGCCGGCCCTGGAGGTGAGGAGGCGCTCGCGTCAAGACCGGTCGAATCACCACGACACATTTTTTTCCCGCACCGGTGAGCCTCGTGTTCTGCGGTCGGCCACGGTACCTTTTATCTTCCACCTGCATGTATGTAAGGTTATTGTTATTCGTCGAAGGCGCCCTACAACAATGAGGTATTTCCAAAGATGATGTGCGAATGACTGTCTGCCTTTTCCTATCCTATGCCCGTCCGCCCACGGAGTAACAGTAAATTCAAAATCTGACTCATCAGAAACTCTATCATCATCCATGGATAGTGTGATGAGACTCATAATTGATAATTTAATATCATCTCATGATTTGCTACCTAGGCGGCATTGCGGTAGTGGCGAAAAAAGCGCGTGTCTTTCGCTTCCCGCCAGGCTGCAAATGTCTCTTTGCACGCTACATAAAAGAGGCGCGTGCGCGTGTTCGACTTTCTTGTTCGTGAGGCATCGACGGTCTCCGCTATACTGGATACTGCCCAGGTGTATAATAGTCATTGTACTGTACCGCAGGTGGACTTTATAGTGCAGTGCCAGTCATTATGATTCATGTGATTGCCCGCGACGACAACGACGTCTACCACCACCGCCACTTGCCCGCCGACTGCGTAGTAGAGGCTTCAAATTTCGACATCATCCTGCTGGAGGCTTCGTTGTCGTAGATATTTCAAACCTCATCGAGCCCATATTCAAGTCGGAGATCATCGTCGTATCGTCTCGAACGAAGCGCATCGCATGGAGCGCTGATGATAATACTGTCTGTACACAGCCTCATCGAGAACACGATTGGGCGTGCATGACTGCGCCGCGCGCTGCAAGCCAAATAGAAGTGCCCGTTCACTTCACCTGCACACTTGCAGAATCAGCAACACACCTGCCTGTGTAGACTAAGCTCACATTCCTTTCGCCTGCACTCATCCGTGTGTCGCACACAGGCACGCACGCACGCACGGTGCCGCCCGCCACGACAACTACTGATTTACATGTACCTACTTCCATCGCAACATTAAAGGTGGTGCAAGGCCCGCTTTCTGTCCACCATGGCGACACTCACAGCGGATTCAACCATGGAGGAGATCGAGGATGAACTCGCCTTTACTGGCGTGTTGATTGAGAGTTTGGACCTTTATTCGGATGATTATGATGCAAAGCGACGCGAGCTCGAGAAGACGAAGGAGCATCTTACCAACTTGCTGCAGCAACGTAGCTTCGATGACCCTCTCTCGGTACAGAACTTCTTTCCGCAGCCTGGTGGTTATGTGGACCACGAGGTACCATCGTGGAAAGCACAGCTTGACACTCGGCCGACCTACGACGGAAGCGATTTCGAACCAACGCAGGACCAACATCTTTTTCATGACTCTGCACAACCAGTCGTGGATTCTTGGACTTGGACGGCCGGGCCATCGACGACGCCTAATTCTGGGAACAACAAGCGTCCTCGCCCTGAATCCTCGTATCCTGATTTCACCCAACACCCATTCAAACGAGGGACGCCAGACTTCAGCGGTGCGAGCCAGTCAAAATCGCCCCATTCCACGGTAAATCAGATCGGGGCCACCTCGGATGTGATGCAAAAGATCCTTGATCGTCAACTGAGAGCGGAAGCAGACCTGAAGCAGAGGCGAGAGGCCCACGAACGGGATGCAGCGTTTGCCCAACAGCTTTCCTCGCAAAACGCTCAATTCGGGTCCAGCTCAGTCGCTTCCTCGTCACGACCGGCGAGTAGTGTCTTTCAAACCACATTGAGCCACAATGGTGGTCTACAGCGTCTTCCGCCCCCTCAGCCGCCTGCACCCGTGAAAAACATCTCTTCAAATATGTATCCCGCTCTATCGAGTGCAAACTGGTCAAATTCTCCATACAACGGAGGATCATCCGCATCTGGTGCGCGAGCATCGCAGATGTCGCCGAATGTTTCTTCTTCAATGAACAGGATGAAGCTGGAACCACAAAGACATTCGTATCAGCTCCCTGAACGTCACAAGCAGCAAAATTCTGCTGAGCCTGGCATAGTCGATCTCACCAATAGTGATGATGAAGCTCCACCATCCAGGCTCGCTCATGAACCTGCTCGTACATTACCCTGGGAAGGGGTATTCTCTGACAACTTAGATTTCAAACCTGCCTCGCAAATGCCTGGAGCTTTCCCGTCAAGCTCGTCAGTCTACCCTTCACGACCACAGACGAATGGAATGTCTCGGAATACAGTGCCTACTTACTCTTGGGGTCAGACACCGTACCAAACCGAATCTCAACAATTGCGCAGCCTGATCGCTGGATCATTCTCGAATCCATACATGTTTGACGAAGACGACGAAGACTACGATGATGACGACGACGATATCGTGTATGGTGGCTCACGCCCGCTGGCTGCATTTGGTGGTTACCTCGACAATGAGGACCTCTATCGAAGCCGATACGATGCCTTTGCTGCTTATGATCCTACGAAGACTCGCGAGGAGATTCAGCAATTGCTGGAAAACATTCGGCCTGATGAGGAAATGCCCGCACATCTTAGGGTCAAAACTCCGGAGGCTATGACTGTGACTCTGCACAAATATCAAGAATTGGGTCTCACGTGGCTACAAAATTGTGAAACGGGCACGAACAAGGGCGGAATCCTTGCAGACGACATGGGTCTAGGGAAAACAATTCAGATGCTCTCCCTGATCGTGACGCACAGATCGGAAGATCCCCAGTGCAAAACCACACTTATTGTCGCGCCGGTCGCACTCATGCGCCAGTGGAAAGACGAGATTGCGCAAAAAGTCAAAGGCGGCCGTCACGCGCTCAGCACCTTCATCCACCACGGCGCCAAGAAGGCAAAGGACTTTTACGAATTCCGTAGGTACGATGTTGTACTCACGACCTTTGGCAGTCTCGCGTCGGAATTGAAGAGAAAAGAAAAGTTTAGTCTGAGAAAGAAGAACGACCCAGACGCCCGTCCGAATGCATCGGAAAAGTGTGTGCTCCTCGACGAGCAATCCAAGTGGTATCGTGTGATTCTCGATGAGGCACAATGCATCAAGAACCGCTCTACCCAAACGGCAAAGGGTGCTTGCATGCTCAATTCGACATATCGATTCTGCATGACAGGTACACCGATGATGAATAGCGTGGAAGAACTTTTTTCTCTCGTTCATTTCCTGCGAATCAAGCCGTACTGCCAATGGGAGAAGTTCCGGATGGACTTTACCCAGCCTCTGAAGTCGAGCAACGAGTATGCAAAGGACAAAGCGATGAAGATGCTGCAAACACTGTGCAAGGCTTTGATGCTGCGACGTACAAAGAAGAGCACGTTCGAAGGCAAACCAATCCTGATTCTGCCAGAGAGGTCGACCGAAATGGACCACCCTGAATTCAGCGAGGACGAAAAGAACTTTTATGACGCATTAGAGAATTCCACCCAACTTCAATTCAACAAATATCTGCGACGCGGCACAGTGGGTTCGAACTACTCTGCCGTGCTTGTGTTGTTGCTTCGTCTACGCCAGGCCTGCTGTCATCCTCATCTTATCAAAGATTTCGGCATCTCCGCCGCAGCCGATCTGACGCCCGACCAGATGCTTGAATTTGCAAGAATGTTAGACTTCAATGTCGTCGAACGAATCAAAGAAACCAAGGGCGAGTTTGAATGCCCAGTGTGCTACGACGTTACCACAAATCCAGCAATATTCTTTCCCTGCGGACATGACGCATGCTCCGAGTGCTTCGCTAAGATCGCTGATCCTGCTAACGCGATTCAGAATGGCGACGAAGGAGGTGGCGCAAAATGCCCTCAATGCCGTGGGCCTATTGATACCAAAAAGTTGACAGATTTTGCAAGCTTCAAACGAGTCCACATGCGGGATCTGATGACCGAGGCCGAGTTGGAGGCTGAGGGCGCTACCGCTGGCGGTAGCGACCAGGACTCCGACTCCGACACCGACGATTCTGATGATGAGAGTGGGGATGGGTCGGATGACGACGAAATCGACAGCCTAGATGGATTCGTTGTCGACGACGATGCGGTTGATGAGGAAGAGGCCGGCAGCAAACGACAAACAAAGCTCAAGTTTGAGCGCAAAGCCGTTGCTGCAAATACTGATGATAATGACGATGACGATGACGATACAGATGACGACCTGGAAAGACCTAGCAGAGGATCTGGTAATGCCCATGACAACCTCAAGAGTGAAAGCGGTCCTTCTCTGGTCAAACAGGAGACGTCACTTGAAGAAGCGGACGGCATGATCGTTGAGCCCGCAGATGATGGAATTGCGTCTTCTGGCAGGGGCAAGGGCAAGGGAAAGGAGAGGGTGAAAGATAATGGCAAAGGAAAGGTAAAGAAGGAAAGCAAGGATAAAAAGAAGAAGAAAAAGACCAAGCCCACCATGACGTTAGCGGAGCTGAAGAAGCTCGCGAGCCGCAACGTAAAGGCACGAAAGGCATATCTCCGCCGTCTCCGCAAAGACTACGTCGGCTCCGCCAAGATTGACAAGACCATGGAACTCCTCGAGTCCATCATGGCCGACCCGGAAGGCGAGAAGATTTTGATCTTCAGCCAATGGACATCCCTCCTGGATCTGCTGGAGATTCCCATCGACGATAAGGGATTCGGCTACCGACGCTACGACGGCAGCATGTCCGCCAAGATGCGCGAGGATGCTGTGGATGACTTCAAGAACTCATCTAAGGATGTGCGCATCATGCTCATCAGTCTCAAAGCAGGTAACGCTGGCCTGAACCTCAACATGGCCTCGCAGGTCATCATCCTCGACCCGTTCTGGAATCCTTACATCGAGGAGCAAGCCATCGACCGAGCCCATCGTATTGGACAAGTTCGCCCCGTCAAAGTGCACCGTGTACTCATCCCCGGCACCGTCGAGGATCGCATCATCGAACTTCAGGAGAAGAAACGTGCTCTGATCAGCCAGGCGCTTGACGAGAAGCAGGCCTCGGCTCTCGCACGACTTGGTGTGCAGGAGCTGGCGTATCTGTTTGGTGTCACTTCGAATCCCAACCAGGCGGTGCCCGGTGGAAGATGATGAGCTGCCGGACGCTCTACCGCTGCTCGGCCGATCAACATCGCACCGAGGGCCGCTAAGCTCACCCACTTGGAGTATGTCGTGCATTGCAGCTTCTAACATTCATGCATGACATTCCGAATGCTCGAAAATTAGAGCTCCACCATTACTTATTATTTTTCTTGGCGTGGTTTTCTTTTCTGTGCGCGAGTTGGGAAGTAGTCGAATGAGGCGAAGTCACGACGATCGCTCTCACAAGTGTGTCACCATGCATCATGGACCCTACGGTGTGACCCCACTGCAACATGTTATGTTCTAAGTTAATAGCTTATCTAAGAGTAGAAACGCCGACACCGGCAATTATGAAATCAAATCAACGTTCTTGGAAGAACTTCAAACGTGTGGAATGGTCTTTCCATACAAGTAAATCAACATCATCATTGGCCATTCTTGCTGAGCCAGTCCAATCGCAACTCAACAGCTCGTCGGTGGGCCTCCAACTCCTCCACCTTCGCCAACTGCATGACCACCGCGCCAACGTTCTTCAGTCCGGTGGCGGTCAGGTGGGAGCTAGTGATGTGCTTGACGTAACTCGCCAAGTTGACACCGCTGTACTGCTTAGCGTATCCGTACGTCGGCAGACTGTGGTTTACTCCAGCAGAGTAATCTCCAACACTTTCGGGGGTCCACTCGCCGCAGAAGACCGAGCCAGCGTTGGTAACCATGTCTCGGACAGCGAGGGGGTCCTCGACTTGGAGGATGAGATGTTCGGGCGCGTAGTCGTTGGACAGAACCATTGCTTCTTCCATGGTAGCAGTGACCAATGTGACGGAGTGAGCAATGGCACCACGAACCATGTCTACACGAGGTAGCGCTGTGGCTTGATTGTGGAGCTCGTCGTCGATGGCTTGCAGCTGCTGCTCATTGAGACCGACGGTGATGAGGATCACCTGAGAATCGACGCCGTGCTCGGCTTGAGACAGGAGATCGGACGCAACAAAGGCTGGGTTGGCAGTGTGGTCGGCAATGACAAGCACTTCTGAAGGTCCCGCAGGCATATCGATGCTGACGCCGGCGGATGTATCATTGCTGACCAGCATTTTTGCGGCGGTGACGAATTGGTTGCCCGGTCCCAAGATCTTGTCAACTTTCTTGACCTTTTCTGTTCCGTATGCCATGGCCGCGACAGCTTGTGCTCCTCCAGCCAAGACAATGCTTTGAGCACCGACCTTGTGCGCGACATACACAATCTCAGGAGTGATGGAACCATCAGCTCGTGGTGGCGAAGCAATGACGATATTCTCACAGCCGGCGACCATCGCGGGAACACCCAACATGAGCGCCGTTGACGGGAGGACGGCAGTGCCTCCGGGAACATAAAGACCGACACTCTCGATCGGTCGAACGAAGCGTGAGCAGACCACACCAGGCATGGTCTCGACCTCAAGAGGCTTCTCCTCTTTCTGGGCAGCGTGGAATTTGCGGATGTTCTCGAACGAAACGTCAATGGCGTGGGTAGACTCTGGAGACAGGTTCATCAGCTCTTGTGGGAATGGAGCCTTCAGCACAGGCGAAGTCAATGAAGTTGCCTTTTCGAACTTGTGTGTGTACTCGAGCAAGGCCTTATCGCCCCGCTCGCGGACATCCTTGATGATGGGGTTGACAATCCCCATAATCTTGTCCGTCGATTTCTGTGACGGTCTCTGTAAGGCCTCCTTAATCGCCTCAGGTTTTTCTCCCTTCGTCACGATCCGGCGCATCTGGATCCGACCCTCTTGATTCAACCCTGCAGGATCATCCTTGCTCTTGGGTTTTGACTCGGCTTCCTTGATCATCTCCTTGTCTGCATTGCTAGACGTGCCGTTGACGCCAAACTTCTCTGCGTACGGACCCTTGGCATCGCCCTTCCGTCTCTTGACCTTGAAGCTCTTCGCATCCAGGTTGCGCTCGATATCCTCGAGGGTAACGCCCGCCGCAATAGCCTTTGTGAGTGCAAAGTACAGCACGTCCGCTGCCTCCGCTGCGATGTGCTCTTTCGAAGTGGCCTCGCACAATTCTGCCGCCTCTTCCATGATCTTCGCGTTGAGCATCTTCGGGTCATTGAACAGCCTCGCAGTGTATGATCCGGCAGGCGCTGATTGCTTTCGACTCTGAAGTGTCTTCTGTAGCTTCGAGAGTCCCCGGTATTGCCCAAAGCAAGTCGCTGTCTGGAGATGGCAGAAGCCATGGCCTTGCTGGCGCACGATGAAGCTTAGGCAGTCCTGATCGCAATCCGTCTCAATTCGAACAAGCTCTTGCCAGTCCCCACTCGTGTCGCCCTTTCTCCAAAGACCTCGCTTGCGGCTGTGGTAGACTCCACGACCTGACCGCAGGCTTTCCGCGACACTCTCTTCGTTGCTGTACACCAAACCAAGAGCAACGCCTCGCTCGTCGGTGACCAAGGTTGTGAAAAGGCCATCGGGCCGGTCGCTCTTAGCCTGAGCAAGGACCAATGATGCTACACGGATCCGACCCGTAGTAGCAGATGCGTCGAGGGTCAACAAAGATGCAGCTATGATTGGCACAGCATCTTGCTGGCTCAAGGCGACAGCTTCTTCCTCGGTGATGTTGGCCCTTGAAACATAGACAGGCGGTCGGTTCTTGCCGAGCTGTTGCAAGAGATTGCTGACGGTTTCTGCGCTGCTGACATTTTGCAGATATAAACCGAAGGAAGTACCGTCGAGCGCACTGGTGGCGTCACCTGGTGCGGTGGTTGGACAGTAGACGATACGGCTGTGGTCGATTGTCGGGATCGTCTGGAGGGAAGCAGCCTGGCTAGACGTTACAAACACCTTGGCTGCACCTGCGTCGAGCAAATCGATGACATCCTGTTGGGCTTCGAGGGTGGAGACTTCAAGATAGACGGCGTGGCGGGCAACGGTATCGCTGAGGAGGGCAAAGGCCTGGTCAAGATTCTGAGTAGTCACAGTCGCAATGACACCGCCAGCATATGCAAGCTCTTTGACGTTTTCGATGTGTGCTCTACTGGAGTACTGGGCGAGATCAATACCGGCGAGGAATGGAGGGAGCTGCTCCCCTGGTGATGCGGTGTCTGAACCCATTTCGTGCAATGTTCGATGGGTTAGGCTCGGCACAACACCGTTGTCGGGATACAAGTGGTCGCGAAAAGTCCAAACCGGTCAGTAGCAAAGAGGAGGAAAAGCAAGAGAGAAGAATTCCGATCCCTGTTTCGCACTGTATGCTTGGTCAAATACAGTAAAGTCCAATGATTAATGAGTAGTAGCAGTAGTCGTTCCAGAGAGCATTGAAAAAAAGTTGAAACATGGTGTAGTCACCACAAGCCCGCCCTCCGATCGAGGGCCCCCGCTATCGTCATGCACGCAAATCAAGTCCCACCGATCTCGCGCCCTGCATGAAGAGGCAACTGCGCCCACGCCCGAACTTTGACGGGTCTAGACAGAACCCCAACCCTAGTGATGACTGACCCGGGGCCACCACATAAATCGGATGGGCATTCATCAGACAATCAACATGCCTACCTAGGTAGAAATCCACAGAATCTACAGTATATCGTGTGAGTTCATCGCGCATCTGGATACCTATGTGATGGGTGACTACAATATACCACATCGTATGCTGGAGCAATCCGCCTGCGGATGATGGTCTGTATATTTAAGATTGTGTAAAATTCCAAGAATGTAACCGTCGCGGGTCCAAGAACATTAGGCAAAGTGTCTGTCGACTACTCCTATTCGTTATAAATCACCTTCACCAGACAAGCAGAGGTCCGAATCGCCAAGAGCGGGCAATTATCTCGTGAACATGATCACGTATGGAGATGAACTAATGTAAATACACAACAACGATGTGGAAGCCGCTTCCGAATGCGATGTTACGATGTGTCGGTTTCAGAGAACGCGTCGTGGGAGTGGCACGTCCGGGATTGCCTGTCGCAAACGCGCGGCTATCCATCTCTACTTACCAACATCGAGATGCGCTCCACACGAGGAGGACACAACGAAGAAAATCACTGTTCTCACAGAAAAGTCCTGCGATCCGCTCCTTTTGGACGGAGCACCTGCCTCCTGTCTTGGTACCGCCAACGATCTTCCTCGGCTTGCTTCTCGGTCTTTGGACGTACAAGTGCTTGATGACGATTGTCTTCCAGGACAAAATCATTTACCTCCCATATTTGCCACCGTTCGCCCGTTACGAGAAATTGGACGACTATGCTGCCATCTGCCGGCCTGCCCGATGGAGGCAGGAAAACATCACCTCGATGGATGGGACAAAACTCGCCATTTGTGTAGGTGAAATTGGTCAGGCAAGCACTGGAAATCTGCCTCATGCCAGCGCCTCATGTCAGCGGAAGCGCGTGGTCATATGTTACTTCCAGGGCAACGGTGGTTCAACTCCTCCAAGACTTCCACTGCTATCTAATGTGCTAAATCATCTGCACTCGAGGGTGACTGATAGTACGCCCTATACAGAGTTCGTCATCATCGCGCTTTCATATCGAGGTTATTGGAAGTCATCGGGTCGGGCCACCGAGATTGGGATCCAGAAGGACTCGCAGGCATTGCTTCATCACGTTGCGGCTCGATATGGTGGTGAGTCTGATATCGACTTGCAGGTCATCTTATGGGGTCAAAGCATCGGTGCCGGTATCGCATTGTCGGCAGCCTCGACACATCTGCGACACACATCAGCTTCCACAAGAGTGAACGGCGTCGGTGTGCATTTGAATTTACCACTCCTCATTCTGGAGACGCCATTCACGAGTATCAAAGCCATGCTCCTGACGTTATATCCTCAGAAGTGGCTCCCATATCAATATCTCTGGCCCTTCCTGTGGAATCACTGGGATTCCGAAAAGGAGTTGCGCAAGCTTGCCGCTGTAGATGTGCAATACAGACCCGATGTTCTATTCATTGGCGCAACGAGAGATGAGGTCGTTCCAGCTGGCGAGGCAGATCGACTTGAGGCAGTCAGTAAGGAGGTAGGTCTCGTCACACACCGTCGAGATGTGATCGGCGCGCTCCACACCGACGCGACCATTCGGGTGGAAGGCCGAAAAATTGTTTGTAGTTCCGTGGTAGATGCTATCAGTGAGAGGTGATCAGAGATTTGGTGGGATGGCCGTTGTGGCGGAAATCCCTTGCTTGAGCTGTGGCGCGACTTCATTCCCATCGCCCAAGGAATAACCACAAAATCCAAGTGACGCGCGCATTGCAGCCGCTACGTAGACTAACGAGGAAACGATCAATCACATTACCCATCCACCTCGAAAATTCACTTGGCACCTTCCGACAATGTGAAAAGCGCAAGACGAAACTCCAGAATCCCTGCAGGTACCCGCACACATCACCACCAATATATATTGTACACTTCACCACTTCTCGACATGACATACAAACCTCTTCCACCCATCTCCATCATTCACTTGTACCCTTAGGCATGGGACCAGTAATACTATGACATGAGAACCAATATTAACCATGGATCACTTACATTTGCACAAGTTGCTGGAGATGACGCCAGAACGCATCGCTCGCAATCAGCAAGTTGCATACAACATCATACAGGCGTGGAAGTGCGAAGCCGCAGAGCGAATTGCTGAAACCTTCAAACGAAATGGCGTTGGTCCTGGCATTGTGTGTGCTTCTGGGTATGGCTCTCTTTGATGATTGAGGCAGCTTGCTTTTCACGGGACCACGAAACTGAAATCATATAGCATGACAAATGAAAACGACGCAAGAACTACCTTGACGGTGTCAAGCCAAAAACAATCGACCATCTTATCCACGATCTCGAAAGCACCTTCAAATGTGATCCTGCCAGGCACCCCAGACAAGCAAGTTCCGCGTCATGAAGCGAAGACTGTAGGAAAACAAGTCGTGGTAATTGAAGACAATTGTCAAACAGTTGCAGCAGCAGAAATTTCTCCTGGATTGTTTGTTCCCGAACAGACACCGTCCGAGCTGGACTCGGACCTTGAAGAGATTGCACCCCCAACGAGCTCCGTCCGACCTCGCCATGTTCCAGCGTCGCCTGCAGACAGTGTCATGACCGAGAGTAGTCCTCTTGCAAGATGGGAGCGAAGGAAATTGCCTTTAGATAGGCTGGCGGCAATCGCTCCAGATAAGCAGACAAGCAGCGTCGATGTCAGGGGCACCACCAGCCAAGGATCACACGAAGATATGGCAAGGCCGACTTGCGGACCACTGCCTCAACGATTATCGGGCCCGGTAGGAGCTCCATGGACGCCTACATCAACTTCTCGTAAGATCCCAACAAAACCCAAACCCAATTCTGATGAGATTTCTTCGAAGAGGCCACGATCGACCTCGATGACGACAGATCACGATCGCCCAAAGAAATATCACCGAGGGGAGCGAGGTGTGTCAACATCAAGCGAGGGTTCCTCACAGCCTATACAGCGATTCCTGTCGAATTCGAATGAGGTGACGCAACTACAGCCACCTTCTCTGGCCAACCTCGAGCGAATTCCGCAGATTCAACAGCAAAGTTCAACCACTTCGACTATTGAATTCCCGCTGTCCCCGCTGCGTACCTCGTCAAATTCTGGAATCTCATCTAGAAGCTTGCCGTCGTGGTATTCAAGGCTGGAGGGTACAAAGGCAAGCTATACTGAGCAGCATCAGACACAGATCGAAAAGAGGGCGAATGTGGTGTTACGATCGCTGAAAGAGTGCATAGACACTGCATGTTCCTCCTTCCCCGAAGACTCGTCAAAGGTGCATGATGATGCAGTATCAGCGGTCCGCGTTTGTCTGCATCAGTTATTGGCTTTTCATACGGTCAACCCGAGAATGCTATATGAACATCGTTTGCTTCATGATGGCGCAGGTATACGGCTTCTGACCGATCGGACACCCCCTGACAGCATTGAATGGCCTTTTGATATCATAGCTGATGCAAGAGAAATCCATCGCCGTTGGTGGAAAGAACAATTCGACCCGAGTATGTTCCGAGGCATCATCCTTGGCAAGACACGTAACCCAGCGACCACGCATGACCACTCGGCGGACAAGCCTGACCCTAATTGGTCAAAGAAATTCAAAGTAAAAGGCGGCAATAGCGGGCCAAATGGCTTGTTGAATGGACAATGGTGGCCCACACAGCTTGCTGCCGTGCGTGATAGCGCCACGGCAGCTCCGTGAAATACATTACTCACAGTCCCGAACATGGGGCGGTCTCTTGTATATTGCATGGCGGCCCTGATTTCAGTAACAATGTCGACAATGGCGACGAGATCTTGCTGGGCACCTCGGGCACGTATGACGGAAAGTCACTTCCTGGACGCACGCTAGCAATGCTTCGGCGCTGCGAAATTGGTGAACCGGTACGACTCCTGAGATCCTCTAGCATCATTAGCAAGTACGCTCCCAATGCTGGCTTGAGATACGACGGACTTTACAAAGTGGTTGAGGTTGAGACTCGGCCGCTACCGTCGGACTCTGAACAGCATTTCCGCTTTCGACTTGTACGCTGCCCAGGACAAGACCCCATTCGTTATCAGGCACCCCATGTTCGGCCGACACAGCAAGAGCTAGACGCCTATGCCAAGTCAAAACGTACTGTGAGGTTTGGGCTTGAGCCAGAGGAAGCCAAGTAGCTATAAAACATTTTGACAACATGTGGCTGGAGAAGTTCTCTTGCGACAGTGTACCACCTGGCAATTTGGTCGCATGCTGCTGAGTGAAGCTCACAGGTGACAACTTGAAGCCTTGCTGCACAAGCTGCGTGATGCACTACAATTGTCATCCGACACTTGGATTTCACTTCAACATCTGTCCACGGAAGATTCACCGCGAAGATTTATTACTATCCCAACCCATGATTGCGGTTTAATGGACCACAATCGCGATCATTCTTCATGTATCACCATACAAGCTACGACGTGCATCCCGTAGGCTACGATTCGGACGTCACTTTGTCCAGGACTCCAATTAAACCGCGCAACTCATCCTCTGCTCTCGCACGTTAGCTGGTTACTGCATTGTCAGAATAAGAGAGCGCTTACCAGTATTGTAATGAACCAGGCTGACTCTAACGACACCGTCCGCGGCATCCAAAGCGAGGACTTCCGAGACGAGTCGATTGGAGTAAAATGAGCCCCAGCGGCAACCGAAATCGCTTCGAGCCTCGATCGCATCAACAATATCCTTACTCTTCTTGTCCTTGACCGTGAAGCTAATGACCGGTACTCTCTTGGCTCGATCAGCTGACGGCTCACCGTATATCTGATAGAGCTCCGGCTTCGAGTTCAAATGGTCGATCAAGATGCCTTGCAATTTCTCCTCGTGATGTGCGATAGCTTCCCATGGGATAGCCGCAAGATAATCACAAACTTTCGGCACCGACGCCAAGAGCTCATAGCTCGCACCGGCCAGACCCAGCAAGTTCTCCAATGTCTCAGTCGGCTTGAAGAAATGGCCTAGAGTTGACAAATATTTCTGCGCCGCCTTGGAGCCGTACATCGCGGCGATGTGCGGACCATATACCTTGTACCACGAAAAGCAATAAAAGTCAACGCCCCAATCCTCGACATCGATACCCGCATGTGGTGCGAAGGCAACCGCGTCAACGCACAGCAACGCACCCGGAACTTCATGGACAGTTTGAGCAATGGCCTTGACGTCATGGATCGTCCCGAGGATATTACTGGTCTGCGTGCACGCGACCAATCTGGTATTCTCCGTCATGATGCTTCGCAACACATCGCAATCGAGTTGAGGGTTCTTCTTATCGGTTGCGTCCCACCAGATGACTTTGGCCTGCCGCCACTTGGCGAGCTGTAGCCATGAGGCAACGTTGGCTTCGTGGTCGAGCTTGGAGATGACGATCTCTGACCCGGGAGCGAGGTGGTCAAAGAGAGCGAGGGAGAGATTTCGGAAGAGTTGGGTCGTTGAGGGACCTAGGACGACGCAGTCGGGAGTGGTTTTCATGTAAGTCGCAGTAGCCTCACATCCTTGATTGTAACGATCGGTGGACTGCTGAGAAACGGGATAGCTTGCGCCTAGTTGGACATTGGTTTGGCAAAGATAGTTGGAGATGCTGTTGTATGATTAGCTGCTCGAATAAATTTATGATCCATCGTTGCGATGTTGGCAGTGCAACTCACCTATCAACGACCTCCTGCAACACTTGACTCCCGCCTGCATTGTCGAGATATACCTGTTTTCCGTTGAGGGCAGGGAAGCGCTTCCGCGCCTCTGCCACGTCGAATTTGGCACTCATCATGACGGGTGGTAAATGTCAGGCCTTTGTATCGATTGAGCTCACCAGAACGACAAGCACGTTCTGAGTGGCGGTCATGCTGGGAGCTCTCCATCTAGCGGCTAAATACTCAAGCTGCAGCAAGCCAGAAATGGCAAAAATGCCCTGTTTGAAAGCCTCGTCGAAGCGGCCCCGAATGATTCTGGGACAAACTACGCCTATCGCATATGGCACACCAATGAATGATATGATTATCCATCATTGGCAATTCGGACTTTCAGTAGATGGGTAGGTCGGTCATCGGAAAGGTGTGCACGTCATCCAAAAGGCGCGCAGTTCAGCTGTCTGCGCTAGGGTTCGCATCGCACGTTTCGCAGGCCAGGATATTTCCCTCGTCATGGTACGCATTTCACATCAATAATGAATCCTTCAACGTCTCTCCCTCATCCCTCTACGCCGAAGTGACCTCAATCCCCTCCATCTTCCCGCTCGCCTTCCACGCATCCAAGTACTCGATATAGCTAGTGATGCCGTGTCCCCAGACCGATCCCCGCGCCGCCTTCATCATCTCCTCGGACGTCATGCGCGTGCCGGCAGCCTCTCCGTTGAGATACGAGGGCGTGCAGCCCCCGATGGCGGCGAACATGGCGCCTCGTGCCATACATCGCTGGGTCCAGGCTTCTTGGGCCTCCGCGGTGGGCTCGATGATGGCTTTGTGACCCGGTCCGACGCGCCGCGCGGCTTCGGCGATCATGTAGGCCACGAGGCCGGTGCTGATGTCGAGCATGAAGGAGAAATTCGCGGTGACTACAGCGAGGAAGTTAGAATTTGTCTGTCGGGCGAGGTCTTCTACGTTCTGACACAAAGGAATGACTTGCCTCCCGATTGCCGAGCACCTGGCCAGAATAGATTGGGAAAGTCGCGGGTACAGACGCCGTGGAGGGTTGAATAGTTGTTTTTGAATTCGTGCTCGAACGACTTGCCGTGTCGGCCCGTGACATCGATGTAAGCAGACGCAGCGGGGGAACCTGTTGCCTGGAAACCCGTGCTCCATACGAGCACGTCGAGGTCGTAGAGTTTGCCGTCGAAGACAATGCCCTCCGGCTTGACACCGTCCAGACCCTTGCCCTTGGTGTCGATCAACTTGACGTTTGGCAAATTGAATGTTTTGAGATAGTCATCGTGGAACTACCAGGAAGGGTGATCAGCGATCGAGGGCATTCCTCTTTTATGAAGAAGTCGAACTTACGCAAGGTCGCTTGCACCAGGTTGGGTACCAAGCTTGGAGGCTCTCGGCTGTTTGCTTGTCTTGCACAATTTCTTCTGCACGCTTGCGAACGCGGTCCTGACGAGGATTGTCGATATCGTAAAGCATGTCGACATGTGATTGCATCTTATCGGCTGTGAAATCTTCGTATGGCCCTCCAATGAGGGCACTGTATCTGGAAGGGAGTCAGCACGAGCTGTAGCAGAGCTGTCGACTACTGAAAGGCTTACGCAGGCGCACGGGTCCATCCATCGTCTACCATGTTAACCTCCGGCTTTTGAGCGTGATTATTCATAAAGGCATTAAAGTTGTCGTTTCTTTCACGTTGCCAGCCGGGCTTTGTAGCGATCTTCGTTTTCCATTCAATGGGATCTGTGTCGCGGTTGTCTCGTACATCAACGGCTGACGGGGTGCGCTGGAAGATCATGAGCTGATCCGCCCATTTGGCCAACTCCGGAACGACCTGAACCGCAGTTGCTCCTACGTGGATGTCAGTGTGAACATGGATCGTTCCCGAAGCTGCTTAAATCGACCTACCAGTCCCTACAATGCCGACCTTCTTTCCCTTCAAAGCAGTGAGCTGAGGATCGGCTGAAGTGCCCCCTGTGATGTCATATCTCCAGCGTGAAGTGTGGAAGACATCACCCTTGAACGTGTCCACACCTGGAAGGTCCGGCAATTTAGAATTGTGCAAGACTCCGGTGGCGATGAAAACATAGTCAGAACGGAGCTTGAGTGATGACACCTCTCCGCCTTTCGGCTTTAGGGCGATGTCGAGACTCCACTCGTTGGTCTCTTCATTCCAAACCATGCGCTTGACGGCCGATTGAAACATGGCTCTCTTGTAAAGATCGTACTTGCGACAAATCGATTCGATGTATGTGCGAAGTTCTTCTCCGCCGGCATACTTGCGTTTGGGCATGTAGCCCATCTCCTCTAGAAAGGGCATGTAGATGTAACTTTCAACATCGCACATCAATCCTGGATAGCCTGTTCCGTGATTGCAATTAGTCTCGACCATTCGGTGTTGGAGATGGGATTAGATTGACTGACGATTCCAGTACCAGGTCCCCCCAAAACCCCCCGCCGGGTCGACAAAGACGATGTCATCAACATTGAAGCCCGCTTGGATGAGCTTCACCGCATACATGATTCCACCGTATCCTGTGCCGACGATGAGGAATTTGGTATGCCCTCCATCGGACACAGGAATGTTCATGGGAGTTCCAGGCTCAACCCAGGGATCCTCGAGCAATTTTCGAATCCTATCGGACTGAGCCTCAGCGAGGAAGATGAATTGCTTCTCGCCATCTTCTCGTATGCGCTTCTCCCGCTCTGCGTTGTACTTTTCGCGGACATTGGGTGCCGCAGGAGCTGCAGGGGCTTCGGTGGCTCCAATCTGCGCAGAGACGGCGGTCGCTGTGTCGGCTGCCATTGTGGTTATGGTTTACAAGAGAATGATGATGACAAGTTGAGCATCGACGAGACGCTCGCGCGATCTACCACGAGACGCGGATTGAGCCTTGTTCAAATAACTTTCGACGTTTATCTACACCTAGCAACTAAACGATCGGCAGGAGGCTAGCTTGGCTGTCCCGATCGACGACTGCATGACCTTCGAGTAAAGACTCCGCACGAGTTAATGTTTATGAAGACCTTGGCAGTTATTATGCATCTGCAACACTCGTTCTCTGGCAGAGCTGTCGGATCGGCAGTGCGCCGAACATATCCCTCATAGCGCAGCTTTCTGGGCAAACGTTAAATGTACGAGACGCGATCGACTGCACCGGATTGAGTTCACCAGCCGAGCCACGCGGGATGGGCCATGCCATACAGGTTGATTGAGGGTCATTGTTCATCTACCCCACTTCTGGAACAGAGGCAGATGAGGAGCACCGATGGCAACCATGAATGCTGCTGCGCCCATTGAAATTGTGTAGGGCGTGCAATGGTGGTGGTGGCGGCGATGTACGAGGAACGATCAACGGCACGTGCGCGACAGACAACTTACAGTATCAGCTTGGATCTCCTTCATACTAATTTTCCGAAAATTGCCATTGTTCGTCCGATTCCCTGAGAGACTTAGGAGGTTGTGAGAGAACTGGTTTTGCTCAAGACGAACAAGGCCGAGAGATTGTCTTCCATATGCATTCACATTCGAGCCTTGCATCGAACGAGTGGAAGGAGGTATGATTGACTTCTCGCCGCTTGGGGAGTCCCGAGGTTCAAGGTTGCAACGTCAGTCGGATGAGTCATCACTGAGACATGAGCATCGCGGAGTCATCGATATCTGACCACGTGATTTCTGCTCTACTCGAAGCTCACCAGTAACGCAATAGCAACAAAAGAGTGCTCAGATATCTGCGCGCGATGCGCGGCAAATTCGAATCCGGAGATAGGGAACGGCATAGCTTGTCACATACTCGAAATGTTGCTTGGATTTGGTTTGTCGTTTGGTTGACAGTGTTGTACATGGGATTTGATGAATGGAAAGCCTCAGGACAAAAGATATATTCGTGACGTCATATCCGCAGCTTCCATCATCAACGAAAATCAGCTCTGCTCCCTTCAACTACACACATCTGCACGGCAAGAGACCAATGTCACGTGCATGCACAGGTAGAGGAACGAGATTCACGATTTCACTCACAGGCACTAGGTAGAGGCGATAGTGCACCGCAGTCAGTGAAGGTAGGAGTGATTGGAGTGATTGGTAGGTTACATGCTACTGTGACAGTCGTGAACTAATAATTCATGCGCTAGGTACTGTTCAGGCCCCCAAAATAGAAACATTCAGGGTTCAAACAACCTCACTCTCCGTCACCTTTCCAGTCAGATTGCCCATCACGCCCAGGCTTATGCAATGATGCAGTAACACGACCGCGAAACACCAGTGGACATCATACATACAGTATCACGCACTATAGCACGGGCTACACAGCCATACGATGGTTCACGCTTTGGCCGACAGACTTATAGTCCCGCAGATCCCTTGGCCAAATGACGAACCCGTTCGTATACCTGCGTAAGCTCGACAGCTAGAGCTTGTCTGGATTCGTGAAACGTCCATTGCGGTATGACAACGACGAGCACCTTCCGGCTGACCGAGGGCATGATCCTGGAATACCACCATCGTATCGCGAGTGTTATTTCTGTTCATGAAGGGCATGCCATAGTAGCATCATTCCAGCAATAGCGGCATGTCGATCATCTTGAGTTAAGTCCCGGGTAAGACGAATGGTCACTGCCGATAAGGTGAGACAAGTAGAATATATAACGGAGTCATTCTCCCAGCAAAGGTTCTTGTGATTTCTATATCATCATCAATAACAACAACTACCTACCTACCTACCTATCAAACAGCAAGAACCAACTTCCGCATATATCGATCATCTTCCATCTCAATTCAAAATGAAGTTCACCACCGCCTTCGCCGTCCTCTCCACCGCGGCTCTCTCCACTGCAACCTCCGTGCGCTACGACGCCGGCTACGACGATGCCTCGCGCAGTATGACCGCCGTGGCCTGCTCCGACGGCGCCAACGGCCTCATCACCCGCTACGGCTGGCAAACTCAAGGTAAGTCCCCTCCATGAGAGACCACCTCCGCGTTCCATGTATCTCATATATGAGAGACACACTCCTCCACTCCCTTCTCCATTACAATCATCCACTAACACAATCTTCCCTTCCCAGGACAAATCCCACGCTTCCCCTACATCGGCTCCTCGGACTCGATCGCCGGCTACAACAGCGGCAACTGCGGCCAGTGTCTCAGCGTGTCATACGGCGGCAAGACGATTTACGTCGTGGCCATAGACCATGCGGATAACGGACTCGTGCTCTCGACTGCGGCGTTGAACGATTTGACGAATGGCAATGCGGTCAATTTCGGAGTCGTCGATGCGAGCGTTCAGCCGGTGGATGTCAGCAACTGCGGATTGACCCCTGCGAAGAGGTTCTTCCGCGCTTAGAGGGCGATGGTTTGGAGAGGAAGCGGATGATGGAGAGGGATGACCTAACGTAATGATAATGCTAATTCCGAAGACGAAACGGATTTATGAATGGAACGTTTCGTTTCAGTTATCTAGTCCAAGTGACTGGTGATCAATTTCCTTTTCGTTTCCCCACCAAACATAGCCTGCTTCTTTTGCTTCAAAATGGCATATCTATATGTCCTTCCATCATTTCACGCCCACTTCAACGACCAATCCTCCGCCCAAGCGCCCATTCTAGTAACATTCTGCAAACCCTGGACCTTCAGAACCCGACTCGAAACATTATACGCAAACGGCACAGCCTCATCATTGAAGCTGACATTGGCAGGCGCGCCCTTCACACCCAGCACCGTAACATTCGCGAGCGAATTCGAATCCCGATAGAGGCCCCTGGCAGAAGTATACAGCGCACCATCCACGGCCACGAGATCCACAGACAGCGTCGCGTTCGGAGCGACGCTCTCTCCATCGTCGATGTAGACCCTCCCCGACGCGGTGCCGTCGACGTCCAGCGCGGCGATGAGGCTCCAGGAGCTGTTCCGGCACGCGGCGGTGGTATACAGGGCTTCCTGCTGCGGGAGGACGTAGCCGCCGCGGATAAACACGGGGATGTGGCCGAGCGGGGCGGGCAGGGTGACGTTCTCGCCGGGCCGGGCGGTGATGGCGGATTGGTTGTACCAGTCGTACCAGATCTGGCCTTTGGCGACGCCGGGGAAGACGCCCTTGGCGCTCGTCAGACCCTGGCCCAGGACTGGCGTCACGAGGATTGCGGGGCCTAGCAAGAATTGGTTGTCGATGCTGGCGAGGCTCGGGTCGTTGGGGAACTCCCATGCTAGGGCCCGCATGACCGTGGAGCCGGTGGTGTGGGCTTGGTGGAAGAGGGTGTAGATGTACGGCAGGAGTGAGTAGCGGATCTTCATGGCGCGTCGGGAGGCTTCGGCGACGGAGCTCCAGACGTAGGCCTCTTGAGGGTTGGCGGAGAGGGTGTTATGGTTGCGGTAGAAGGGGAAGAAAGCCGACAGAGACATCCAGCGGTTGCACAGCTCTTCCGATGACTGGCCATTGAACCCGCATGTGTCTACGCCGAACTGGAGGTGTCTGGTCAGTCGCTGACATTGTGATCGGGTTTTCCTTTTCTATCCAACTTACCATGGGGATACCAAAAATGGAAAAACTCAACGCCTGACTGATGGAGAAGTACATGTAGGCGAAAAGGCTGGTGTTGTCGCCACCCCAATGGCCAGCCCATTTGCCCGATCCCGCAAAGGTACTACGTCCGATGATGAATGGTCGTTTCCCGGGGATTACCTCTAGTAGAGCTTGGTAGGTTGCGTTGAGGATTTGATGACCGAATAAGTTGTGGACGTCGTACTCTTCAACTCCGCCAACGTGGGTGGCGTTGGGACTCACGGCGTGGACCGCTAGGTCGCCCTGAATGTTGTTGATCACGTAGGGTGGGTAGTTGACGTTCCGGACACCTGCCGTCGGGATGGTCGAAGGGAAGTAAGCCGTGGTAGCTGTGGATGGCGGTGTGGCGGAGGCGACCGAAGAGGCTTGAGAAGCAGACAATGACGAGGCAATGGCGGCCTCGGTGGCATTAGTCAAGTTGAAGCCCTCTGGGTACGTAAAGATTTTCGATCCTTCTTCTCCAGGGAGCCCAAAAGGTGGGTGAACGGGGTTGAGGCTCAGGTTACCTGTACCACAAGAGCCGACGCAGAAGGAAGAAACTTCTGACATATCAATCCAGATGCCATCCCATGGAACTTGTTCGTGGTGGCTCTGCATGCTCTTTGTCCACCACGGCACAGACTGGTTGGAGAGCCAATCGGGAAAGACTGTGTACCCTGGCCAGACCGATCCGATGTACTGGCTACCATCGGGGTTGTTCATGAACACGCCGCAATCGTTACCATCCGTGTAGATGGAGTAATTGTCAGAGGCGTTATTGGGGTTTGGGATGTAGATGGCGCTGTCGACGATCGGGACGTAGTGTTGCCCGTCCGCATGTAGGCGGTCCAACAGCTCTTTGCCAGCATCATACGGGAACGTGTTCGGGTCGTTGGTGAAGTCTCGGTATTGGAACATGTAGTCGATGTCGTTCCAGACGGTCTCAAGCGGGATGTCGAAATCGCGGTAGCTCTTGACAACCTCTTCCACCTGCGACCAGTTCTTGTAGCCCCAACGACACTGGTGGAAGCCAAAGGTCCAGTATTGTTGCATCGCCGGCAGACCGATGGCTTCCACCTGGTACTGGCTTGTCACCTCTTCGGCGGTAGGGCCATCGAAGAAGTATAAGTCCACGCTTCCTCCCAGGGTTCGCCAGGTGATATTGGTCGGTCGAGTGAGGATTTCCATCCCGTGAGCATTGCGGAGGAAAACGCCATGGCTCTTGCCGATGTAGTCATTACTTGCACTGGTGTTCTGCGTGGTGACTAGAGTGTGCTCGCCCGTGCAATCATCGACCTGGTAGTACCGAGTGTCGAGATAGAATGGGTGCGAACCGTAAATGTTGCCATCGATCGGATCGCCAGCATCGGCCGCGTAGATAGTAGCATTGTAGTTGTCGCCAAGCCTCAAGTTGCGAATCTGCTCACCCAAGCCGAAGAGATTGTGGTCTTCGGGCAGCTTTGAAACAAATTCGATGAATTGATCTTCGAACACCAGAACGGAGCCGGTCGTGTCGAACAGGACATCTCCGGCGGACTTCCGGATAACCTTGAATGAGAAAGATGGATGGTTGGACCAGGTGAATTGCAAGTCGACGTCCTGCGAGTCATATGATGTGTTTTGCTTCGGGAGAGGCACGAGCTCATCTGCCAAGATGTACTGTGTGATATTCTTGCTACCTAAGTGGCTCGGCTGGATGGAGACGTGCAAGCGGTGCGAGGATTGTACAGCGTACTCGAATGCAAGACTTTCAACGTCGTTGCCGTAAGCGTTGCACTTCAGAAGTAGTCAGTCAGAATGATCAATGAATTACGATGACAGCTTTTTTGTACTCACAGCAGGACCTGCGAGCTCGAGGATCGCCTTGAAACCATACGCCGTGTGTGAGACATTTTTGGCAATGTACCCAGGGCATAATTGTTGGGCAATCTTTGCCTTGGGATCCTTGATGTTCGGCAAGACATTGGCACCGACGTCGGCAGATACTGGGACAGTGAATGCGACCGAGTATGTGCTAGTCGCACCAGAGACGGTCGTCGTCAATTGCGTGGCAGTCTTGGTTGGTTGATAGACGGGAGCGGCGGCGGGAGAAGAGGAAGAGCTTTGGGCCAATGCTCCAGCATAGCAGGAAAATGCCAGGGCGATGGGCAATGAACGACTCCAGCGGGTCATCATGATTGCTGTAATGTTGAACACACCAAGGCTTGCCGTGCACTATCGAGGTGAGGAGGTATGGGTTTTTATATGTGCATGCGAGTGTCTCTCATTGTTGCAAATGTGGTGAATGATCGGCACATCGATTGGCCCGAAACACGATGTGACCATGCACGATACATACTGTACTTTACCTGGGTAGTCTGTGCTGGAGGAGAAGGATGATGACGGCTCATCGCGGAGTGGAGGAGCCATTGGCGACCACCACCACCACCACCAACAATAACAACAACATATACTTACATTAATATACATGCGCAGTCTAATAGCCGACCTCGATGTGCCACCTACGTTACCTATACTCATTCTAATGGACGACAGCAGAAGTTGCAATCCTCTTTCGGGCGAGAAATGAAGCATTTCGAGCTGGCCCATAGCGTCATCCTTAGTCATCCGAACGGCGAGCTCGCTGATTAATCACCAGGAGGTTCCTCTTGTCCTCACAGAACAGTACAGTACCCGGGACTGTGATATAACAAGATGCTACCTAGGTACGGTGCAATTCTTGCAAAGATCGTCTCAAATCTCTTGGAACCAATATCAAGGTATTGTATCTCCCACGATGGAGAAGGTTTGAATGTCACACATGAATGTTTCTCTTCACCTTCATCCACAGAGGGTCAACAGAAGAAAGACAAGCCTTGCGCCTCACACCCTCCATTCCCCCGCCGCTTCCTCCACAATCCGTCCTCCCCACACGCCAATGATGATCGATCGGCACATCATTCCGTTGATGGAGAAGTGGACACAGCCCTGGAGGACTCTATCCTCTCAAGAAAAGAAGAGCCGCAGAGGCGCCGAAAGTTGCATTGGCTTCTGCCTTCCAACACACGCTACCTAAGTACTCTGCACACGCATTGGCTTGTTCGGTTGGATGATCGACACCAAACGACCACCGTTTCCCTCCAGGGCTTCCTCCGCCGCCGCCAGAATGTGGAGAGAAAGGTGCAGAAGCCTTGTCCTTCCGCCATCTCCATCTCCATGTATACATGTAGATCGTCCTGTTCCTGCCGAGTATGGCCCCGATTGATTGAAAATGACATCCGTGGTCGAATAATCGGGCCGAATAGGTCATTCCTACCACACGTGCACGTTCGTCTCTTGGGAATCAATTGCAGATCGACATCTGACCGGGAGGTGCAAGTACCAATCGAGGAGGGCATGCTCCAATTTGGCTCGCTGCTGGAGATCTCCGCCGATCGACTACATTGAATTTGGTGAGGCAGTAGACTCGCTAGTGACAAGCCTCGCCAACAGCTATAGAACAGACAGATGAATCAAGAAATGCAGCAAGGGCGTCTTGAAGATGTGTGATATAGCAGGCTCCGATAGATGAAAAAAAGAAGACACGTCATGAATTGGTCGACAAGAAGGTAGTGCTACATGGCGATGCGGGAAAATAGATCCGCCGCCTACAATTTCTATACTAATACAAGGAAATTATGATCCGCCGCTCCTGGCAGCATCACAAAATCATCAATGAGCCACGTCCTTGGTCTTCCCATCCGTGATTTCCTGTTCCACAGCTGGCTCATCTCCAGCCTTTTCGAGTGTAGGATCAACCTCACCATCGGTCGATTCGGATACCGGGTCAACGATGGTCTCAGTCGCTTCGGGCACAGGATCAACGATTTCAGCTTCTTCTGGTACAGGCTCAACGACACTATTGGCGTCTTCGAGTGCAGGATCGACGACAGCGTCAGCGTCTTCGAGTGTGGGGTCAACGACACCGTCAACGGGGTCATTTAGAGCCTGCATAACCTCCTGATGCCGTTGTTCGTCACCCGGCGTCCTCAAGAAATTGTCCGTAAAATGCGCCTTGGGAGGTACGACCTTATCGGCGGCGCCCGATGGCTTGTTCAAGAACGCCTGCGTAAGGATACCCGCTGCGACCGCGACGTTGACGCTGTCCACACCAATCAAGCTGGAGATATCATTCTCAACGACGTTCCGCTCGATGGAGACAAAGTATTCGGAGCGCTTCTGCAGATTCGCGCGGAGACCCGTGCCCTCGCTGCCGAGGACGAGGATGCATGGATCGTTCAGGAGCGGGCTTGCCGTTGCCACTTCGAAGGAGGTCGTGGCCTTCTTGGGCCTTTCGGAAGGACTCGGCGCGGTGGACGCATCGGGCGGCATGGCAGCATAAATCTTCCAGCCGGTCTTGGCGCTGTCAAAGAGGAAGTTGGAGGGTTGGGGGAGGAGGTAAATGGGGAGAGTTTCGTATGCGCCGGAGGAGGCCTTGATCAGGGTGGGCGAGGTGATGTTGGCGCAGGTGTTGGTAGCGACCACGACAGCGTCGGCGCCGAAAAAGTGACACGTTCGGATGATATTGCCGACATTGCCTGGGTCAAGGATGCCGTCAAGCATGACCACGAACGGCTTACGCCAGCTTTCCTTGCGGACTTGCAGGAACTGCAATGCGCCGTTCACGGCCTTTTCCTCGACAGACTGCTCAGCGAGCGTCAACGGGATCTGCGAAGTCTCCGGGTCGAATTGACCGAGACTAAGCAGCGGTGGGGTGGGCGCTGGTGAAGCCTCCAGCACGACGCCATTGTGAGGTCGATTCTCGGACAATTTGTTGAGGAGACGGACATCGGCTTTGGAATCCACGGTGACATCTGCATCTCGAGCGAGTTCGAGGAGTTCAAAGAATTGCTTCCGTCGAAAGTCGACTTTCTTGGGATGAAATTCGCTCGTGCCGCTTTCGTCGCCCTGAATATCTTGACACATGTAAAGGCGATGCAGTTTCCTCCGCTGCGCCGTCAACGCTGCAACGACGACGTTGCGACCATAAAGAAAGCGACTGGCAGCGGTTGTGTAAGGAATCGAGATGGGCACTCCATCGTCAAAGTCTTGTTGGTTGTGTCCACCCTTTTCACTGTAGCTCTTCTCCCTGGCCCCATGATCTTCATTCCACCGGCGGCTCTGATATCCACCACTTCCATCGCCGGGCCTTTCTACACGGTCTTCTCCAAAACGTTTCCCTGAACTTTTGAAATCATCCTTGACGCGATCTTCCCCAAATCGTCCCTTTGAACTTTTGAAATCATCTGTAAAGCGAGAACCTTCTCGTGCACCGCTTCTTGGTGCATCATCCGCATCTCGCCCTGAACGCCGCGGAACAGTGTTTCGACTATCGAAGCGATCTCTCCTTCCTTCAAAATCGGATCGAGGTTCATACTTCTTTGTAAACCCCCTCCCTAGGCTCGGTGTTTCAACAGCTCTATCAATGTCGCGGCTTTTGTGGTTGTCTCGGCCGTCATCTCCAAAGCGTCCACGCGCGGGCGCCCGGCCAAAGCTGCGATCTCGTCCACCCGAGAAGCCATCACGAGCTCCGAAAGAACCACCTCGAGACGACTCGTCCGGCCCGCCAAACAAACTTGACCTTTCGAGTCCTTTTCGATCATCTTTGCGGAAGTCGTGAGTATGGTTACTCAGGCGATCGCGCTTAACAAAAGGTTCTCTCTTGCCGCCATCTCGAGGAGACGTTGCCGAATCATATCGATTCGATGGTGCATCTCTCCTATCTCCGCCAAAAGATCGAGGCGATGATTCGTCCCGAGATGGGCGATTCCGAGCCCCGCCAAAGGATCGAGGCGTTGATTCGTCCCGAGATGAGCGATTCCGAGCTCCGAATGAATCACGCTCGAAACGCCCGGACGAAGATGTAGCACTTCTGTCAAAGCTTCGCTTGTATGTTGGTCCCTTGTCGTCCGATCGTAGACCCTTATTGATGGCCGATCTTGTGGAAATGGTTCGTAATGAAGAACCAACGACCAATCCTATCCTATTCAATTGACACAATCGATGATCGGCGCGATGAAAAGAAAGCATCGCCGAGAATTGTGTTTGTAACGAAGACACAAATGAGCTCATCATTTTAATTTTCGAAATTCTGATGTGGAGGACGCGATCCGCCGCGGTTGGAACCCCGAATTCCTTTATCTTATCAGATTCTCGGCGATGTGCTCCGCGTCGCGTCAACGCGACTTCACTTTAATTGACTTATCGGACTATGCGAGACTGAGCATGATCGCAAGCCGCTGACACGACACCACATGACGACACATTGCCTTAATGGCTGTCCTGTTCGGCGCTCAGCGTGGCGACTCGTCTGATGACGATGATGTACCAGATCTGTCGACATGGAAGTCCAGCACCCTGCCGAAGGCAACTGGGGGCAATCCTGCGCCAGTGGCCCAGACGACAGCGAATACAACGTCGCGAACCTACAATGCAAGGAATATTAACCCAGAAAGTGAGACAATGCGGCGTGAACTTCAACTCAGTCCGAAGAGACAGTCCTCATCGATACTTGGGTTTCAAGCAATCAACACTCCCGCCCGGCATGGCGCATCTAAGGTATTGGCCACACCAGAAGTAGCAATGAGCGATGTCAGGAACGCAGACAAGCAGGACATAGACGGTGATACTACAATAGAAATTGTTATTGAGAATATTGATCGCTCCGAGTATGAGGATCTGTCCGGAGGTGGCTCTAGTGTACGCAGCATTCTTCGCGCCATCACGGGCGAGGACGGTGATACTATGTACGAAGTAGCCTTTGGAAATTATCTAGTCGATCAGGTATGTTACGCTTGCGAATGACCATCATCACGCTCATGTGATCGCTGTGTCGTGGGCGGCATGTGACTATCATCAATCACATGAAGAAACCTTCTCGTTCTGACTTTCCTGACATCTTTATACCTCTAGCTTACTCTTGAACAACTCGAAGAATATACAAACGGCCGTCAAACACTCCAGAAGTTTGAACAAGAACAAGCTTCCAAAAAAGCAGCAAAGAAAGTTGTGCGCCGCAGCACAAGCAAGATTGACACCCGACACTCAACTATGTCTTCCTCACGACCTGGCGCGAGGACGCAACAGCGCCCAGGCTTTGTCAATACCATAGACAACATTAGTATCAGCGGATCGGATGAAGAGCAAGCATCAACACGTCGCAGTTCGCGAAGGAGAAGACAAGACACAGAAGAAGATGGCAACGAAGCTGACTTTGGTCTCGGTGACAGCCCAGAGTCCGAAGACGAGCATGTGAATATGGCTGAGGACGACTCGGATGACAAGGCGCCGAGGCGCAGGAGTAGCTGTGCAGTCAAGACAAAGACAGATACACGACGACGTTCAGGTCGCAAGGCACCAGCTTCCGAAGATGACGAGGATGAAGACGATCTTCCACTCAAATCCGACATCTACAAGGGAACTAAACGTAAACGTGAACCCCACGGCATGCGACACTCAGAGCGATCAACTCGCCACACTGGAGGAATGCAAGAAATTGAAGTCGACAATATATATCGCTCGTCGTCGGACGAGACTGCTGCTCCGGTCAGACCCAAGACCACGAGCACGCGGGAGGTATTCCAGGCTTTGCCTCGCAGCGATGACTTCCGGATGCGGCATAACCAATTCTGCGATACATGCGGGCAAGGTCAGAATGCGGCGCCTCTGATTTATTGCCAAGGTTGCAGTCTAAGCTATCACAAGTCGTGCTTGGGACATCGGACAGGCCGGGAGCATCTCGTTACTAAAATTAGCGAAGACAATTTTGTTTTACAATGCCGTCGTTGCGTCGCCTTTCCGAAAAAGAAAGATCCAGTTGCGCCCGATCACGCCAAGTGCCAAGATTGCCGCGAGCCTGGCCTCAGCTGTCGTCCATTTCGCCGTCGCACCACACCAGCACAGGAACAGAAAGCAAGGGATGAGAACGACGGAGTGGATCCTGCGACTCATGTGGACTCCTCTCGCATCAACAACGCAGACAATGTTCTCTTCCGATGTACAGCCTGTTTCCGAGGCTTTCACTACGAGCATCTGCCGTCCCGTAGTGACATGTTGGAGCTGGAAATGGCAGTTGACGCAGAACAACGCTTTCGCGAATACAGTCGAGATTGGAAATGCCGCGACTGCGTTGAGCAGCCTGCCAAGGTTTCAGGAATCATTGCATGGAAGCCTATGGATGAAGATGCCTACGATCCGAACAATGGCCTCGAAGCTGTGGAAGAAGACAATAAGATCTACCTTGTCAAATGGGAGGGTATGTCTTATTTCCGTGCGCGCTGGATGGCCGGCGCTTGGGTTTGGGGAGTCACGGCTTCGGGTATGCGTAAAGCGTTCGCCAAGCGTGAAGATTCTCAACATCCCAAGATGCGAACGGAAGACGCCATTCCAGAAGACTACCTCCGAGCCGATATTGTTCTAGATATCAAGTTCACCAGCATTGTCGATATCAACACAGAAGAGGTTGACAAGGCTCGAATCCGCGAAGTCGACAAAACTCTCGTCAAATACAAAGGTCTCGGTTACGAGGATGCCGTGTGGGAGGCGCCGCCAGCGCCAGAAGACGGTGATCGCTGGACTGACTTCGTCACGGCTTACAACGATTGGGTGGCGAGACGATATGTCAAGCCGCCTAAATGCCCTGCGCTCAGGACTCGCATCGAACGAGCACGCAAGGAAGACTTTCAGAAGCTTGAGAAGAAGGCTCAACCTGCAAACTTGGTCGGTGGCGAATTGATGAAGTATCAGATTGAAGGACTCAATTGGCTGTATTACAAATGGCAACAACGAAAGAACGCCATCCTTGCTGATGAAATGGGTCTCGGCAAAACGATCCAGATCATTGGGTTGCTCGCTACCTTGGTCCAGGATTGGACTTGTTACCCGTTCTTGGTCGTCGTTCCAAATTCAACCTGTCCGAATTGGCGACGCGAGATCAAGCGCTGGGCTCCGAGCTTGCGCGTCGTTGCGTATTATGGTTCACAGCAGAGCAGAGATCTGGCTCATCGCTACGAGCTCTACCCTGAAGGTAGTCGGGTTCTTCGCTGTCATATTGTAGTCACTAGCTATGATGCCGCCGCTGACGAAAACTGTCGGAAGTTCTTCCGTGGTGTTCCCTGGCAGGGCCTGATTGTCGATGAAGGTCAGCGATTGAAAAATGACAAGAACCAACTCTACTTGGCCCTTGAGGCGATGAAAATTCCTTTCAAGGTCCTTATGACCGGTACACCTCTGCAAAACAATCAGCGTGAGCTGTTCAATCTCCTTCACTTCTTGGATGAAACCTTTAATGCAGCAGAGCTTGAAGCGGAGTACGAGGAGCTTGATCCACAGAAGCTCGCAAGACTACATGAGCTCATTCGACCGTTCTTCTTGCGACGCACAAAGGCGCAGGTCTTGACGTTCTTGCCGCCCATGGCTCAAATCATCGTCCCGGTCAGCATGTCCATCGTACAAAAGACTCTGTACAAGAACATTCTTGCGAAGAATCCTGATCTGTTACGATCCATCTTCAGCCAAGAAGCAACGGCAAAGGATGTCAAGACCGCCGAACGTGCGAGCTTGAATAATATCCTGATGCAGTTGCGTAAATGCCTTTGCCACCCCTTCGTCTACAGCAATAGCATCGAAGACAGAAATGTCTCAGTTGGTGCTTCACATCGAAACCTCGTCGATGCCAGTGGCAAATTGAAGCTTCTGGAGCTTTTGCTCCCCCGATTACAGCAGCTCGGACACCGTGTATTAATTTTCAGCCAATTTTTGAGCATGCTCGATATGGTGGAAGACTTCCTCGAGGGCTTGACAATGCGATACATGCGTCTGGACGGCCAAATTTCCAGTCTGCAAAAGCAGAAACGCATCGATGCGTTCAACGCCCCGGATTCGCCTTACTTTGCATTTTTACTGTCCACTCGAGCGGGTGGTGTCGGTATCAATTTGGCCACAGCAGACACAGTGATCATCCTGGATCCTGATTTCAACCCTCATCAGGACATACAAGCTTTAGCTCGGGCACATCGCATTGGGCAGACCAAAAAAGTTCTCTGCTTCCAATTGGTGACACGTGCAAGTGCTGAAGAAAGAATCATGCAAATCGGTCGCAAGAAATTGGCACTTGAACACTTGCTTATTCGGTCAATGGACACTGAAGAAGAAGCAGATGAGAATGAGCTTTCCTCTGTTTTGCGACATGGTGTGGCCGAGCTCTTCGAAGATAACGGGGAACAAGACATCGTCTTTGATGCTTTTAGTATCGACAGACTGCTGGATCGTTCTCACATTGAAGCACCCCCGCAAGGCGAAGGTCAATCCGTCGAGAACCAATTCTCATTTGCCAAAGTCTGGGCCAATGACAAAGCTGCTTTACAAGACGCCGAACAGGACCTTGTTGAGGAGGCACCAGACCCGGGTATGTGGGTAAACATCCTCAAAGAACGAGAGCGCATTGCTGCAGAGGAGGCCGCAGCCAAAGCGGTTACCTTCGGGCGTGGACGACGTGCTCGCCAAAACGTTGATTATGCCGGCAATGTGCAACCTGAAGTCGATCTTGACGAGGCAATCTCGACGAATAAACGTGGACGCAGGCGTGGTGAGAATGATGAGAGTGATACTGACTTCCAGGACGACGATAGCGACGGCGATGACGACGTGGCAATTGTGCCAGGAGAAGATGCTGTTGGCACAGGTGAAATCAGTGAGCTGACTGTGCAATCCAATCCCAAGCCATCGACTGGGCTCAGCAAGCCAGGTAAGGCCGATTCTACTATTACTACTACCCCAACATCCAACACCAAAACATCGAAGTCTCTCAAAGGGCCTCCTATGCGTTCGCACACCAAAGCCAAAGCAGCGCTCGGGACTTCGTTCAAGGTAGCAAAGAACAAGAGCGCTGCAGGCCAGATCAGGCATCCTGGCCAGGGGATTTCACCAATCAAAACATCCAGCAAGCCAAAAGATGTCGCGGTAGGAAAGAAACGTGTCAAGGCGACAGCGCCCAAATCTACGACACGAGCAGACCCGCCCTTTGGCGACCTCATCGTCACTGACCTCGGCGACGAGTCAGACGAAATGAATCGAATCGCAGTCACCGAAGCAATACCAGTGTGAAGACCTGAAGCTTACAGTCTCTATAGCAGCACCGGAGTTCCGCCGAGTCATCCCAGTGAATGTGGAGCCCGTCACAACTGGAGTGGCCGACGCCGAATTGAACGACAGCATCAAGTGCCGCGCTTGTCAGACATTTCACCAGGTCGGCAGCTGTCCTCTCAAGATCGCTGGCGTGGAGCACTGTGGTCTCTGTGGAATTGCACATTTCGGCCACGCCCGAGTGTGTCCACACATCCAATCCGAGACACAGGTAGGTCCTTTTCCCCCAGATTTCTATTATTCCAATACTTTCTTTTTGGCCTTTTCAGGCGCTGACACAAGGATTCTCTTCAGGTCCGCGCCATGCTCGAAGCACTGAAATATTCCACCGAACCCGAACATCTCATCAAAGAGGCCAAACGCTACCTCACCGGCGTCAAGGGCCACCTCGTGCAGATGAAGAAACAGGCCGAGACGAAGCGCCTCGAGCAGGAAGCCCAGCAGGCTGCTATGGCATATACCGATCCGAATGCGCCATCATGGCAATATCAAGGGAATGTTTATATGGGAGGAGGAGGTGGCATTGGTGGTGGTGGTGGTGGTGGTTATCAGGTTGGGAACTCCTCTTTGGGTATGCACCATCCACCACCAGGAGGTGCAGGACAGTATCAGGGGCATGCGGCACAATTTCCACGAGTTTAGGGGCTTACGAACTTTTGATGAAAAATCAATGAATTAATATACCAAAGAAAAGCTGAGCAATCACAATAGATCATCATCCATTCTCGTTCTTGACGTCGTTCCATTTACCTCGCACATCTCAATCTACCCGTCTAACTCGTGGTCAACGCCAACTTCAACAAATTCCCCTTCACAACCTCCTCCCTCTTCGCCTCCAAGCCCTCAACGTCCCACGTAGCACTCACCAACCGCCCACTCAACCAAGCCCACCTCCTCCTCCCCTCCTCGCCATCCTTGGTGACCCACACACAAAACCTCCCGCAGAGCTCAACATCATCGATCAGGAAATCCTTGAACTCGTCCGGCGCGCCCTCGGCCATCTCGCTCTTCACCGCGCCAGGATGCACCGTGAGGACGTTCACCCCGCCCTTGCCCTCGGCGTGGAACTGCTCGTGGACGTGCTCCGCCAGCTTCATCTGCGCCGTCTTGCTCACGCAGTACATGGCGTTGGCGATCGGGCCGCGCACGATGCCCGCGGCCAGGCTGCACACGGCGACGAACGCCCTCGCCCCGCCGGCGCACCCCGCCAGCCCCGGCAGGAGGTATTTCGCGCAGTGGAACAGCCCCAGGTAGTTGACGCTCGCCGCCTGGGCGAACTCCGCCGGGTCGGTGGCCAGGAGGTCGGTCGTGAAGGTCCCCGAGAAGCCGGCGTTGACGACGACGACGTCGAGCCGGCCGTGGAAGAGCCCCCTCGCGCGCTCCGCGAGCGCTTCGACGTCCGCGGCGGACGTGATGTCGCAGGATGCGATCTCGACCCGCGCCGACGGGTTGAGGCCCCTGCAGGCGGCGGCGGTGGCCTCGAGCCCGGAGATGCGGCGGGAGGCGAGGAGCAGGCCGGTCGCGCCGGCGCGGGCGTAGGAGGTGGCGATGCCGGCGCCGATGCCGCGGGAGGCGCCGACGATGACGACGGTGAAGGGGCTCGGGAGGCGCACTTGGGAGATGTCGGGCCCTGTGGTGGTTTGTTTGGGGATGAAGGATTGGATGTTGTTTGTGCCCCACTCGTCGGCCATGGCTTTGGGCTTGTTGTCTGGTTTGGGTTTTGTGTTGCTGTTGAGAGTTCGTGGGATGGAGACGGTCTTGCGGGGGTGAGGAGGTTCTCGGAAAGGTTTATGAGGTTGGCTGTTATTTTAGGGGATGTTTCGAGGGCAGGTGGTGGATGCTGCTTCCTCAAGTAGTCAGACGCATGAAGTTGTCTTGGGGCTGCCTGCACGGCGCAGCAGCCTTGAACATCGTCATTCTCCGGGTATTGCTTTTCCTCGGACGAACATCATTGATTATTGCAGCTCTGAACGGACCAAACTATTGACGATTTGGTCTCTCGGTGGTACGTGAAGGACAGGACGTTCATGTATGTACGTAAGTCTGTCGTAAGCCCAGCGGATGAATTCCTCCGTTTTGGCTTTCGGGCGAACTGTTGCTCCGAGCGAAAGGACCGAAAACTTGTACACGGACGAAATACTGGATCCGAAATACATGTGGTTGGCAGGTGAAGATCATTATGGAAATCACATATACAATATTCAGATACATGATTCTGTGAATATATTTACAGTGTCGTCATCCACATAGACACAGCTCCGAAAACCAACAACGGGAGTGTCAACTGAGCGGACATTTCCGAAGCACCGCCTGTCGCACTACTAGGCTTGGCTGAGGTCGTATTGGTCCCAGTCTGAACACCATTGACGGTCGGTGTTGTCGATGTGGTAGTGTTCGCGGTGAGGAGAGCCTTGCTGGGCAAATTGGCGAGGAAGACTTCGAGCGCGCTGATCTCCTGGCCCACTCCCGAATCGCCATCCCAAGAACCCAAAGCCCAGTCCTGACCGCAGAGCGTCTTGGAAGAACCACCGGCACACGAGGCGGCGGCACCCTTGGCGGAGTTTTGCAGAATTGATTTGATCAGGTCGTCGCGAGAGCTGCCGGAGTATTTCGATCCGTCGACAGGACGCGTCAAGTCACGGGTCTGAGCCAGTGCCCGCGCCAGGACACTAATCATGGCTTTCTGGTCGATGTTGCAAGTGCCTTGAGGCTGGCATGCTGACTCAAACAGGATTGTACTTCCAGAGGCAGTACTAGCGAGGGCAGTCTTGGGCTCTCGTGTGAATATATTCACCGTGGCGAGTAGGTTTGATGTGAAGCTACTCCACGACTGCTGTTGGGTCTGTGTCGAGCGTCAGTCCTGTGCAGATGTATGTTCGAGTTCGGAATTGACAACTTACGGAATTGGCGAGATAAGACGAAGCTCTCAGGTATGTGCCAACGTTGTTGGTCCATTGCACGTGATTGATCTCAGTGCAGTTGAGACGGTCGTCGGCTCCGTCGAAGATACTATACTCAGAGTTGACAAGCCCCACTGCTTGCGACCAATCGAGAGATTTCTGAGCCCAGTCGACGTAGGTCTGGTTGCCGGTGAACTTCGCCAGGCGGGCGGCCAGTTGGAAGAGATTACCGGTGCTGATGGAGTTTTTGTAATCGTAACCATTGTTGAAGCTGTAAATCTGCCAACGCAAGCCACCGTTGCACGAGCTGGTGTCCCAGCGAGCGGCCTGTCCGTCAAAGACACGCTGCGCCAGCTGCAGCCAGGAGTAGCTTTGATTGGGCGCGGTCGGGAAGCCGGTTTCGGCGGCGGTCATGGCAGCCAATGCCCATGTGCTCTGGTCATCGTTGCCGAGAGATTTGGACTGATTCGGGGGCATGAAATTGTAATCGGGACCGAGCTGGAAGAGGATCCCCTCCTGCACAGGAGCGACGACGGAAGCGTCCCCAGAGAAGGACCAATAATTGATGAGGCTGTCAAAGGTCATGCCGGCCTCGTACCAGTAGTAGGGTGCAGGGAGAAGACCCGGAATTGCGGGACCTGCGCCATCTCTCGTGTAGATTTGAAGAATGTCGCCCACGACGATCTTGGCGGCACTCAAGATGGAGGCGGAATTGGTGACATCGATGTCGATGGAGAGGGCCGGTTTGGCGAGCAGGAGCAGCGCCAGGCTCGCTGGCGAAGTCAAGGACGGCGCGCGCATCGTGTCGCGTGGATGGTGAATAAGCCGGGGCCGCCGCCGTTTGTCCCTGGAAAGTCCCGAGAAGCGAGAAAGCTGGAGCGGCAGGAATAGGCGAGGAAGATGCAATACAAGTGCTGAGCGAGTGACGAGAAGAAATCCAAAAGGGAAATGGAAACGGAAATGGCAATGGATTGTTATGATTGTCAAATTTATGATCAGGAAGAGCGTCAAGGTGGATGTCGGAACGATTGAAAGGGAGACGGAGTGGAAGGCTGACACACGTGATTTCCGGATATGGGTCAATCTCACGATGCGTGGTGACGATCTTGTCAGCCCTAAGGGCATCAATACACAGTAGTATCGCTCTCAACACGCACGGGCAGGAGAAATGAGGGATCCCGTCTCCAGTGGACGAGAGAGACGATCACGACGAGTGGAGTATGGTAACATTCCAATACCTAGTAGTAACATTCTCCTGCCGAACAGGATGCAACTTCAGTACATACTGGGTACTATTCTATGCACACTGGACTGACTATGTATGTAATACACTGCCGTGACTGTGCCACATTAATCGGGGATCGTCTCTCCTCTCCTCTGCCAGCGGATGGAAAGAAATGCAGGACTGTAGTGGATCCTTGCTCCACTCCTCCATCCCATCTCATACAGTAGTGGTACCACCTAGGTGGCATGTCAGCTTGCCAGCCAGAAGCAGGTCGGTGGAGTCCAGTTCCACTTGTAGGCGGGCACGTCTAGTCGCTCGTCTAGGGTATATATATGCATGTATGTATATGTGTATATGTCCTGTATATGTCCTGTATATACTGAACATTCCGTGTCACGAGAACGATGGACTGTACTGTACTAGTACGTAGGCTGTAGGGCATAATATAAGCATTTTTGACTTTTCAGGAACCATCCGTCTTGCAGCAGTCGCCCGGCGCCACACGCGTCTCTTGATCCTTCTTGCAATGGGAACAACTTGATCCTTCCTGTGATGATAACAATCATGGAGTTTGCACCGATGGACAGTGTCGCGACGGACAAGGTGTGATGCAGCTCGCCTCTCCAAAGTGTTCCGTACTGTATGTAGACTGTAGCGATCATGTATCGAAGCCTTCCAAGGTCCTATCTGTCACGAATGTTGTTGTCCCAATAAAGTAAAAAGTCAACCTTACAATCCACGGGGATGTATGGGTATGATGCGTCTCCGCTTGCACGGCTGCCGTGCTGTACTGTAATAACTTACAGTATAAAGCGCAACGGGTCGTGTCGTCCAGATGCCACGTGATCCTGCGCGGCCGGCCCATAGGGTTATGTTGAACGTCCATCCTTACCGAGTCCTTCACGACCAGACACATTGCGGATCACGGTCGGCATACACGATCAGCAGTACATGATAGTAATCAATTAGATGCTGGAGCACATAGAACAGTAGTGATGATGATGATGATAACAGTAATAAAAACCCTCTTCCCGCCCGGTCGCGCACATGGATGTGGGTGAGATGGTGATAATAATAATAATAATAAGAATCGTTTCCGATAGCCTATGTCCGCCGCGTCGCGATTAGATCATGGAGCGTACACGCGAATCCCACCTCTGCCAAACCCCATTCGAAACACCACCTCGCCCATCGACAACCACACCATCGCTTGACACGAGCAAATCCCGCCGACGGATATACGCGGAAGCCATCTGACCACGCTATCTCGGGCTCGATCCTGTCTCATCTTGGAGGAGATCCCCACCACCTCGCCGGCATGGCGCCGACAGCGTCCAAGAAGGGTTCCCAACCCAAAGGAAACGTCAAGAACGAGCGCCGTTCGGCCTCGCGTCATTCCACGCCCATCTCTGCTCCTCCAGATACCTCCTCTCCGATCTCACGCCTGGGCACTCCGACCACGTCAAATCCCACGAACAGCATGCCACCCAACACACTCTACCTGAACACACCCACCAGCGCGCTCGTCTCCTCCGAACCCAGCATCGAAGCCCTCATCGAAAAGGCCTGTCTGAAAGTCGCCAAGCCAGGGGACCCACCCGGCTCGCGCGAGCTTCAGCTGCTCCAGAACAAGATCCAGCGCGGCGTCAGCGAGCTCATGAGCAAGCGCGGAGAGATCAGCGATCGCGCAATGCGTCAGCAGGTCCAGAAGCGGAAGGAACGGATCCAGATCGAGCAACAGAATGAAGCGACACGTGCAGAAGAGGAGAGGATCCGGATCAAAAGAGAAGACGACGAGAGGCGGAAGGAGAAAAAGGCAGCGAACAAGAAACGGAGTCATGACGATATGGAGTTAGATGGCGATGAGAAAGAGAGGAAGGACCTCAAGGATAGCCTTCCCAGTGTTGGTGCCCATGGTCTGGCGCGGCAGGACGGCGTGGGTCTGTCAGATGGTAAGTACACCTCTTTGACTGCTCCTCCCCAATCTGTCTGGGCATCTTGCATGAATTTTCGCTGCATCGCGGTCCTCAACATTGGCTCCCGGTTGCCATGGTGTGACCAAGATATGTGTACAAATGCTGACATATCTTATCAGACACCAAAGCACCGCCATCACCACCTGTAGCCCCTGGCACCATTATTGATGATCCTATGGACGTTGCACCCTCGCCGGCGAGCTCGGCCGACGATGATCAATCGGAACCCCCGGCGACAGCACCTCTGTATGAGAGGATATTCGGAAAAGATCCGACAACCGCAGACGATCCCATCGTCTACGACATACGAGAGCTACACGATGACTTGACGGATCAAGAGAAGCGAGACATCATGAATGTCGCGAAGTGGCCCGAAAGCGATTTACGAGACCTCACAGCTGGCGATCCGCCCGATGCCGATTTCAGCAATGCAAAGCCCTCCAATCAGATCAACTTTTCGACGTTTCAAACCTACATCGAGCCCTACATACGTCCCTTTACAGAAGAGGACGTGGCGTTCCTCAAGGAGCGCGGCGATCGATTCACACCATATGTCATTCCCGAGCGAGGAGACAAGGGCTACCGGGAGGTGTGGGCCGCAGAAGACGGCACGACAGGCACCGAACCCGCCCGATCCGACGCGCTGAACCCAAACGAACCTCGCGGCTGCATGGAGGACCTCGACGACGAGATCGCCGAGCAGGACATTGTCAGCATGGGGCCCGTCATGAGCCGTCTACTCTCCATCATCCGACCTTCGCCGAGCAACGCCAGGAAGGACGACTCCGCCGCCAACGAAGACGCCAACGGAGACACCACCATGACCAACGGCGACACCGCCGACGGCCCCGACCCCACCCTCCCCCTCAGTAGCAGCGCCGCCACCGACGACCACAAACCCATCTCCTGCCTCCCCTCCGAGTTCAAGGCCCCGACCCTCCCCCAGCTCGACTACTCGATCCTGGAGGAGCGCGCGCTGCAGGAGTTCCGGTACATCGGGATCATCGGGCCGGGCGACACGCCCAACTTCGACGCGCACCTGGACGACGAGATCTCCGCGCGGCTCCGCACGCTCCAGCACGAGCTGCGGCGGCTGGCGCGGCTCAACAACATCCGCAAGCTGCGCCTGCTGGAGCTGACGGAGGAGCGGATGGCGATGCAGGAGTACGCCAACATCGCGGACGACCTGGACAACCAGGTGAACACGGCCTACCTGAAGCGCAACCGGTCGCTGGGCAAGCCGTCGAACGGCAAGAAGGGCGGCGGGAACGCGCAGCGCGCGGGGGGCCAGAAGGGCGTGGCGAGCGCGGCGGGCGGCGGGCGCGGCGTGAGCGACGGCGTCAAGGCCCTGATGCAGAAGCGCCGCGACTGGATCGAGATGGTCGGCCCCGTGGTCGCCTACGGCCGCCCGCCCATCCCGACCGACGACGAGACCATCTTCGACGACGCCAACGTCAAGCGGCTGGAGAAGATCGAGAGGGAGGCCGAGGCGGGCGAGGTCGAGGGGGATTGATCCAGTCGGAGATGATTGGGAATGATCGGTCGGATGGCAGGGGGGTTGTCGGCGATTGGAAATGGTATTGCTTGCTCGCTTGCGCTTCCATGGCGGATGGATCGGGGGATGACGACGATGACGATGACGACGATGATGAATTTTCTTCCATTTCCGTGTCGAGGAACAAACAAGAGGTATTTCATTCGTCGTCCTCTCCGCGGAGAGAAAAAGCCCATTTTGTTTATTAATCCAAAAAGGAAGAAAGAAATATTTCAAGACTTTTTTGGAGAAATTTGACGAAAAAGGAATTGTTCCTCCCACTCGTGATCGATCGAATGATCGAAAACAAAGACTCGTCGTGCAGGAAAAAGGAAAAGAAACAGGGGGAATCTACAGACCGAAAAAAGCTGGATCGTGGGGAAAAAGAAAGGAGACCTTTTGATCTTCCCACAGAAGAGAGAGAGAGAGAGGGGGGGGGGGGGGGGGGGGGGGGGGGGGGGGGGAAGCGTCCCATAAGCAAATTTCCATCAAAACTCTCCTCCCCTCCATTCTCCTTCCGTCCTATTCTCATCATTCAATCCAATTCGATGACCTCGATGACCTTCTTCTTCGGGTTGGCCCCGAAACCACCACCACCACCACCAGCGTTCGCGCCGGCCCTGTCCCCCCCGCCACCGCCAGCGAGTTCGTCCTTGACGGCCCAGGACCCATCGGGGCTCACGACGATGGCTCTCACGCCGCCGCCGCCGCCGCCGCCGCCGAGTTTCCCCTCCGTCTTCAGTCGCGCCAGGACGTCGAGGAGGAAGGCGTCCACGACGAGGGTCTGCGGGCGGACGTCGCCGCGGCAGCGCGGGCAGCGCCAGGCGTCCGGGTGGGTGACGCTGCTGCCCTCGACGAAGCCGGGCGGCGGGGCGGGGCCGTGGAGGCGCAGGTTCTGCGCGGGCGCGAGTTGGCCGAGGAAGGTGTCCAGGTCGAAGGGGTCGCGGTGGAGGCAGGCCTTCCCGCGCACGGGCAGGGCGACGGGGCGGGAGGCGGTGTAGGGGTCGAGCAGGGAGATGGTCTGGGAGGTGGAGGTGATGGTGAGGTCGTCGGTCATCTCGACATCTTCGTCCTTGTCGCCCTTCGAGGGGGTGGCGCGGGACAGGATTGCGTCGCGGGATTCGGGGAGGGTGGGGCGGAGGAGGTTTTCCAGGATGGATTGGTGGGTCTGCGCGCCGAGGACTTCGAGGGCGATGGTGTATCTCTTGGCGGTGGCGGGTCGCTTGCTGTTGGTGTCCATGCCGATGGTCAGGACGTTGGTGCCTTCTCTGAGGAGGTCGGTGACGTTGACGGGCAGGTATTTCCCGTGGTGGAGCTTCTTGCGCGTTTCGAGCATCTCCCCGTTGAACTCGATCGATGTGATCTCCGGTGGCCAGACGGTATCCGCTGTGATCCAGGCATTCTCGCTGGCAAAGCCGCCTTCGGGATAGGAACAGCATCGCAGACGGTACAAGCTGGTGTCGGTCGTGATCGAGATGGAAGTCGGTGTCGATGGGTCACGTTTCGGTAGACGGGCAATGGCTATTGGGGACACTCGAAAAGATAGGGTCTGCATCGGTCGTGATGCTAGCCCTGTCGGCGGGAGCCCGTAGCCGACGACATGAAGGTACAGGCGCAACGGTCCCGGAAGTGACTTGTCCTGAATGGTATCCGCATCACCACCGAGCCGAGTTGGGACCAATACTGGACTGCGAAGATGAGCTTGATGCAATCCGGAGCGTACGACATCTGGCTGTGTAGGTTGCGAAGATGGCCCGGCTCCTTCGGGCGGAAACAACTTTCTCAGCTGAGGTCGTATTTGTGCTGCTTGCGCTTGTCGTTGTTGCGGCGTGTGCAGCGGCGTGTACTGACGAACATGCTGCATCATCGATGGGATTATCGATGGGACTATGGGTGGGTTGGTGCTCGCCTGGGGTCTGCTTTGTGCGACAGGTGTGCGAACCTGGCTAAGCAGGGCGGCTCTGGATGGCGAGGAAGGACTCGAGGGAGTGGACATGTTCGCGAGATGGTTATGGCGACCAGTCAGCACGCGAAGTGAGGGCGGCGCTTGTTGCAATCCGGACGTGCTACTTTGTGTGGGCGCAGGCTGTTGAGGTTGCATCACACGTGGAGATGCCAGCGCAGCAGCCGGTACTGTGGAGCGAAAGAAGTGAAAGACTTCTGGCGGCGCCTCATATGGAGCATGTTTTGTTCGTGGATCTGCCAGCGCACGTGTCTTCCAGTCGTCATAGACCCTGCGAAAGTGATTCTTTGCCGTAATCTTCTCCGTCTCGGTTCGAACATGGCCTCCACTATGACTGGTACTGTCGAGCTCATGGAGACTTGAGAGCACAGCCAATGCAGGGCAGTCGCTGACCCCCCAGAACATGCGCGCAATGGCGGTGAATAAAACCCTGTGCAGGACAGGGCTCGTGTTGAGATTGAGCTCCTCTACCATTTCTTGTACCAGAGGTGGACTACATTCGGTGATATGTCTGTTGACGAAGGAATCCCATCGCGAGGCCAGAGTGCCGATAAACGTCTGGACACGGGCCAGGCGGATCTCGTAGACCTCTCGTACTTTCCGGTCCGGATCTGAATAGAGATCCATGAGCGGTTCAGGAAATTCGGCGCAAAATTTGACGAATGCTGGCGCCAGGCCTTGATTCGGGCAAAGCATCCGTTCGAGATGAAGTATGCCGGTAGGATCGATCCCTCGGACAGATCGAGGAAGCGACGATGGATCAAGAGACCGTAGACAGAAGACCTGATGGAGGGTTTGATAGAACCAGTCCCCCTTGTTGACGCTATCTTCGAGAAGAGTCAAACGTCCTGATTCCGTTGGACTGCACTGATGCACTTGCTCTAGCTCGGCCCGGAACTGCCTGATTTTGGCCACCAAGGCTTCGGAAGCGATCCGAGAGACTCGGATCTGAAACTTCTGTGGTGTTTGGACAGACGACGGGGTCGAGGGCCACGCCGGACGAGGTCCAGCGGGCGATGCTATGGTCGGTGATCCAACCGTCGGCGATGCAGGATTGTGCATCCGCGAATTGAGAGATGGGTAGCGAGACTGCAATGGGTTGGTATGTTGGTTCCCCATTGTATGACTATTGGTCGCAATGGGTGTAGGTGCAGTGCGAGGAAGTGCCGGCTGCAAGACGCCATTGACCATCGAGGGAGAGATTGTTCTCGACGGACCGGTCTCATCGCTTGGAGCGAGTGAAGGTAGACTCCTCTGTGAGCCCATGGCCGGATGGTGATGGGGATGGTTTGGTCTGCTCATGCCTGATTGATTCATTGTGGGATGTGTTGTCGTGTATTGTGACACAGAGGGTACCGTGCCCGATTGCGCCGATGCGGCTGCTGGGACGAGGCGTTCGAGTGGCTTGAGTTCGATTCAGGTGCGATCCAGGAAGACGGGCCTGATTTGGGAAGCACGATGGAATGACCGATCAAGAAAAGGCCGTGTCGTTGGGTCGGACCAAGATGACCACGACGGCGGTGGTGTCGATAGTTGTTTTGCCAGGATGGATCGAGGAATCTCACGTGATGTACTGCTTGTGCGGGTTCGTGTTCAGTGAAGCGGGTTGAGGTCTGCCGCGCGGCGATTTGGCCACTGAGAATATGTTCATGTCGAGATCGCGCATCAGACGAAGAAGACGGAGGAGAAGAAGAAGAAGGAGGAGGAGGAGGAGGAGGAGAAGATGATGATGCGAGAAAAGTTGTCGCCGAGTTCTTGAAGCGTCACACGTGAAGGTGAATTCGCGAGACGGTGGAGTTGCGAGATCGTGTGTGTGAGAGAGGGGTGGTGACGGACGATTGGCGTTGTCGTGTCATGTACCTATACTGGATGATGGAGGAAGTAGGAAGGTACTGGACTGTGCATATCGTGAGGTCTCCAAAGTTGCATGGGATCGGGTTTATGATCTGCAGTGGGCGGTGATTGCCTATCTCTCTTGTATGCGACAGGTCCGAAAGATGTGACAAACAAGCCAAGGGTCGTTTCATGCGACGGGGGGAAAAGTCGCGTCCCCGCCGCCGTCGATCGCTGCAAGCATGTGGCACGGCGCGTAAATTCTCCCATCAAATCCCCCAAAAAACCCTGCTGGCTCATGATGTGCCCAGATTGCCTAGGTAATGGAGTAAGTACTCGGTGTATACACCACGCCCAATTAGAACTCGAATAGCATGGCGCCTGTATTCAAACGATCGAACAATTGGCACTCGGATGGCCAAAAGAAGGCTCGCGGAGGTTCGAGAAGGAGTTGTATGTGAAGGGTCATCCTCCCAGGTTGCTGGTTCTGTCTATGATTATTATGAAGAGAAGACTGTTCAAAGCTACCTACCGGCGGCGATGCTCTCCAGGGCCTGCACCAAATACGCACTGCGAGCGAGTGAGCGAGTGAGTGAGTGAGGGGTCGATGAGCCACCAATGCCCTCAACGCCCCGGAAATAATGCTATCGGTGAATCTGAGATCAGTCTTCAGCGCGACAGACAGGCATGAACCTCTACCAAACATAGTGCAACTCCATTTGCTAACTGTCTTATCATACTGAAGTTGCCAGTAGTGCTGACGATCTGACACATCTAAGAGACAAGACATAAGACAATCATCTAAAATCGGAGCTCCCTCCGGAGCCTGGAGGTCATTTCCACCAGTCTCATAACAATTCCCCGGCGGGCTCTCCTGCTTCCCTTCTAACAAGAATCTCGCTCGTGCTCTCTCACATATTTCTTTCTACTGTCGGTTTGTATGGAGACGTATCGTCATTAGTTTATATCGCCCATGCACGAGCTGCTTCGTGCGTGCGGCACAGGCATTGACGTCAACGCGACCTCGATACCTAGGTACTTTTGCAATTACGGATCTGGAGGAATCTGCAGACACGTGCTGTGTCAGTCAGTTATAAGTGACGACGAGGATCGGATTGGCCATCGGAGCGCCCTGTCCGACTCATGTTATATATAATATATAATCACCGCTTTCGTACACCAGTGAGTGATGATGGACATGCGATCGCGCGTTCGCGGATGGAAATAATACATTACAAAACAATCTGAATCGTCCTCCGCGTTGGCAGCAGCAGTCATTGCACGCCGCGACACAGTTTCGAATTGCAGCTTTAGGGGGGGGGGGGGCCAGCCGCGTAAGCTCTGCCTGTACCGTTCTCGACTTGCCGCCCAAGGTCATCGATACACGACGAGTTTTTGTTTAGTATTGAAGGGAAGTCGACCCGGTGCTGGAGTAAGCACTCTCCGAATGTGCCCACAGCGAATGCGAAACATGTAAGGGCCTTGTAGATGTACCCTGGAGGCCAATGGAATTATCTGGCCTGGAACGAAGCAACAAAGAAGGATCGCGTGCTTGCGCATGTCTGGTATATATCACCACTGTCAGCCTGGATATTCTCCCGTTTCGTCGGCTCCATTATTATTATTATCATTTTCTACCTCCTGCCACTGCTGTTCAACCCCTGCTCAGCACATGTATGTCTGCTACCGCGAGCTGACTTGATATCATCTGAAATTCAGCTCTGTCGCGTCTGCATCTCGAGACTCCATGCACCTCAGACGTGCCATCGTGCATCGGATCTGCAGGACCCTAACTCCGACCAAGCGCCTTGGGTGTTGTTCTTGTACCTAGGTAGGGACATGAATGCATCGCCACGGCGGTGGTGGTGGTGATTTCGATTGATGAACAGGCACGAAGGGAATTTATTTCTTGCAGAAGCGCATTCATCCACTTCCTTCTACTCCTTCCTGTCATCAACGCGACGAGATCCTCACCGGCACCGCCTCACGAACATCGCCAGGCGTGTTCCAGACGGAGCCCAAGCAGAGTCGGGAGGGTTGGGGCTATTCGGATTCGGTATTAGTAGCGCTGGGGAGCACGATCTATACGCCTTAGCGAGGGCTTTCCCGCAGCGCATGAATCTGGCTGGTGGCTGGTCGTCTCTGGTCGGATGGTTTCTTTTCCCCTCATCGATCCCTCCTCCACTCACGCCTACCTAGGTACGGTCAAGTCAGTCCAGAACATATGCCAATGCGCATGGATTGCCTCAACAAGTGCCGTGCCGTACAGGACAACATCATCGTCGGCAGTCACAACGGTATATAGCATAGCGCATCATCCGACGCAACGCTTGGTTACGGTTGACGTTCCAGAACAAGGAAAGATTTAAAATCATCGACGAGACAAGTTCCGTATAAACTTTCCGCGCAACCGTCACCTGCAGCTCCACTCACTCCACTCAATTTATTCCCCACAACCTACCAGCCTCTCCTCTGCTCGGCCCGCCCATCGCCCATCGCCCATTGCCCATCGCCCGCCGCCCGCCGCCGCCGTCTCCGCTGTCAAATCCGCCGTTGATGCCAGATTGTATGCCCTCATCATCAGACGTCCCGGCTGCCTGATCACCCACCATTGACAACACCCACCGCTCGCGCGCAAGTCACGTCGCCGGCTTTGTCGTCGACCTTCTCGAGCATCGCCCGACGTGCGCGAGTGACCGAAGCTTTCGACAGAGGCGCAGAGCCCTGGGTGGCAGCGACATCTTACCACTACTACTCCGCAGCACAAGCGACACCCTGCGACAGCACATCACCATCGCCGCGCCGACACGATGGCGACCAAAGGCGGCGCTCGCGGTGCTTTGCCAGGCTCAATCTTGCTCGTCATCCACGACTTTGCTGCTCGTGGACCCGACGAACTCACATTGGCCAAAGGCGATCGCATCGAGCTGATTGAGCGCGACGATGAGTTTGGCGACGGGTGGTTCTTGGGCCGGCATCTCGCCAATGGTCAGAGTGGTCTCTTCCCCGAAGGTCAGTCGTCGATCGCAAACGCAACCAGCGCGTCGCTCTGGGTATTTACTAAGCTTCGATGTAGTCTACACCACGCCAGCGCCCAAACCTACCCTCCCAGCAGCTGTCAGACCACCTCGTGCAGTCGAGCCACAGCCATCCATCTCTTCGTCTCCCGTCACCACCTCACCGAGCACCTCCCTGCTGCAACAGCAGAGCCCGACGACCACCTCTTCCTCGATATCGCGATCTTCCGGTCTCGGCAACAATCAATCACCACTCATCCAAACTGGTCTTCGCACCAAAGGCGACACGGGCCGCTCATCGATAGGAACTCGAAACATCTCCATGAACTCGGACTCTCCAGTCATGAGCGAAACGCTTTCGGTCATTGACGAGCACATCACCGACATGCACACCCCTCGGTCGTCCTACTCCACTCCGAACAAGCGCGAATCGGTCAGCAGCATGTACTCGTCGCATCCGTTGAGTCGTCGCTCTTACATCGCCGGCGCAGAGACGGACGAGGAGGAACAACAATTGTACACCGAGGCGGAAGTACACGCCTGGTCCCCGATACGGGTAGCAGAATACCTCGAGGACATCGGAGTGGAAAGAGCCCATTGTGATGTCTTTGTTGAGCAGGACATCAGCGGAGAGGTCCTCCTGGCCATGGATCAGAACAGCTTGTTCATCAAAGAGTTTGAGCTGGGATCGGTGGGGAGGAGACTCAAGACATGGCATCGGATCAAAGCATTGCAGGATGAGGTCAGGCGCGCTTCTCTCCCAGCACCTGCGCCTCCGCCAGTGCCGCCGTTGCCAGACCTGTCGACGTTGCAGCCACAATCGCCAGCTGAGGAGAAGGAGCGCGAGGTCTCGCGCATGCGCAGTTCGACCGTGGGCACCGCATCCCCGGCAGGGTTGGTCGCAGATCGTCCCTCTCCCCCGGTCGCCTTGGGACGAACCAAAACTCCTTCATTCTCCTTTTGGTCGGCGCCAACCATGTCCATCGCGGCCAACAACAGCACCTTGGCCGCCCAAGCGCCGACATCACGCACAGATAGCTCACGGCCCTCTGCGCAGAACGTCCGCAATCTCAACCACGCCCGGCGACATTCAAGTATGGATTCTACCTCGACGGACGGCACCAATCTTTTGCCCGCGCACCGCAGGCAGCCTTCGACGGATCAGCGGAGTGTAAGCTCCATCACCGGCAAAGTCTCGGGTCATAATCATACCACGAGTGTCGACTCACATGCCAATGCCGGAGGATCGTTCTTAGCAACCGGTTCCCCGAGCGATCTGGATCGCGGCTACTTTTCTTCCACCGAGGTCGAGAGCCGGAACCGCAAGACTTTGGTCAAGCGAACGCCTTCCGGTGCCGCCAACGCTTCCTCGAGCCATGTGAGAAGCCACAGTACGAGCCGGTCTGCCAAGGGAAGCATCAGCTCTGTGCCAAACATCCATGAAGAAGGAGGTGCAGAGGACGTTGCGCCAACACAGGGCGCACGGGGCGCAATCAATGGAGCTTTCGAGTCGCTTCGCATCGCTACCGTCTCGCAGTTCGCCAAAAAGACGCAGGAAAGCCCGGTCACACCCGCGAGTGCGCCCGCACGAGAATCGCTCATCCGAACAGTATCGAAAACCACATCTGTGGGAAGTCCTCGGGGAGCCGAGAGCGATGGTGGTTCCGACATCTCGGCGCTGCCACCCGTCGAGAAGTCTGGTGGCGATAGCGCAGCGACGGGTAGCTCCGGGTTATACTCGTCGATCAACAACAAATTCGAAGCGCTGCGCTCTGCGGTTGGCAGCAAACGGACTTCCGACAGCAACACAATGAATCGTGCTCCCTCAGGGGCAGCGGCCACTGTGGCGAGTGTCAAGGAGTCCGAAGGAGAAGGGTCTGTTGTCAAGACTGTTGGTATCCCATACCAGAACACTGCGTCGATGGAGGGGACCCGGTCTGTCAGTGAGGCCATCACAAAACAAGAAAAGGCCAAGGATTCAAGCCTCAATTCGCCCAGCTGGACAGGCATCTCCTCGACTGTCGGCGGCACACCAGCAACGACCGATAAGGATGCCGACTCGGCGCGCGCATCGACCGGATCTGGTGGTGCGATCATACCTGTACCGCCACCATCCACGAAACGGGCTCGTGGCGCCACAACCAGTACCCCCGCCCGGTCGAAGAAGCAGACTTCCGCTTACACCCGCGGTCTGGAGAACAAAACCCCAGCCGAACAGATCCCCACCGCGGACTACCATGGTTGGATGAAGAAGAAATCCGGCAGTCTCATGACCACCTGGAAGCCACGCTTCTTCATCCTCCGCGGCCGACGACTCTCATACTACTACTCCGAAAACGACACCTCCGAGAAGGGTCTCATCGACATCTCCTTCCACCGCGTCCTCCCCGCCCACAACGAAACCCTGGTCGGCCTCCACGCCACCGTCACCGGCGCCGCCAGCAGCGCCGCGCCCTCCCCGGCCCTCGAACAACTCTCCCCCACCCGCGCCGCCCACTCCACCTCCGCCTCCGCCACCGCCAGCCCCACCGCCCTCACCTCGACCACCACCACCGCCGCCGCCGCCGACGACGACGACTCGGGCCTCTTCATCTTCAAACTCCTCCCGCCCAAGACCGGGCTCGCCAAGGGCGTGAACTTCACCAAGCCGACGGTGCACTACTTCGCGCTGCCGTCGCGCTCCGCCGGCCGCCTCTGGATGGCCGCGCTGATGAAGGCCACCATCGACCGGGACCCGGGCGCCACCGTCACCACCACCTACAACCAGAAGACCATCTCCCTCGCCAAAGCCCGCGCCCGCAAGGAGCGCCCCGACGCCCTCCGCGATTTCCACCACGCCGAGGACGCCGCCAGCATCGGCACCGCCGCGAGCGAGCGGACGCGGGACAGCACCGGCTACGCGGCCGGCGCGGAGGAGGACGGGAGCGAGCTGGGGAGCAGGGAGGCGGATTTTAGGGGTTTGGGGATCCTGGATGGGGGCTCGTCAACGGCGGCGACGGGGACGGAAGACGGCCGGGAGGGGGAATCTCACCGGTAGATTTTTCCTCTGCCCCCCTCGCTTCTCCCGGGCGGCGGTGGTGGGATGGATCCGGAACGGAACGGAATGCAATGTAATGCAATGCAACGGGATATGAAGACCGAGCAATGCCATCGAAAGTACGAACGAAAAAAGAATCATCTCCAGGTTTTTGTTTCCTTCCCTCCCTACCTAGGTAACTATTTAATGAAATTTGCGAGACGCGAGAAATCGCAAAGTCGAAAAACAACAAACCCGGAAGGCGCAGATAAAAGAACTTCCACCCCCCCTTCCTCTGAATGCTTCCCTCGCCCTGGTCGAAAATGTCCCAGGGCGCACACACACCCACGCCCACGCCCACCACCACCCTCTTCTCTCGTCTCGAGAGTGCAGGAATTGAAACAGAAATGATGAGGGAGTCGGACATCTCCTCGCCGACCCGACCTGTGTGTCCACCCTGTCTGCTCGTCGCCGCCGCCGCCTCTCGTAATTCCCCGTCCCTCCTCTTGTAGCCGTTCCATGGAGCGCAGGTGATGACCGACCAGGACGATTCGTTGATTGATTGATTGATCGTGATATAGATCCGCAGGCAGCCGTTTCGATTGAAAAAAGGAGAGCGTACTTAGCTCACCGATCATGCCGATGCCTGTCCATGAACACCCAAGGAATTCCTCTCGAACTGCTAGAACCATCGGCAGGCACGCATAAAGTTGCGCATCTCTCCCAGAGGGACTTTCCCGTTTCCTCTGTCTCTATATTTCTAGAACACAGCCTCCCGGCCACCTGGGATGGCCGTTTTGTCCCCGTGTTGCCTACACAGCGTTTCACTCACGCATCGATGAGCAGCGGGGGAAAAGAGTGCGGCGTCATGGATCTCTGCTTCTCTCCTCTCCTCTCCTCTCCTCTCCGAGGGGATGCAGGAGAGAATGGTGGAAGGGAAGACGGAAGAGGGAGGAGGAGGAGAGAGGGAAAGAGGAAGGAGCTGTGGTGCAACCTTTTGTTTTGCGTCCTTTCCGAAACATCTGGGCAGACAAAGAAAAGTCGGGGGCCTACTGGATGAAAAGTGGATTCGTGACAACACATGCATCAGCCGCGTACAGGTACGCCCGTGGGTTCTTGTTCTTGTGTATGTGCAGCTGGGGGAGGAGGAACCTACTTGGAGGAGGAGGAAGAGGAGGAGGAGAGGTGGTGGTCTACAGCCATTTGCATTGTCACACCCTTGGATTTCCCTCGCGGTCTCGATGGCATTTCACGATGTGGGATATACAGGAGACTGGGGGCTCACACTCCAACAGCTTAATAGAAACGATCGCGTCCCGCCTTCACTTGTGTAGATGTACACTCAACACGAGAAAGCAGGGCGAGCATATCACTCATCAGTGCAGGCCTTCATTTAGCAAGCCATCGCGGTGCCCAGTCAAATCTACCGATGCCTGTATATGGTTGTTGGCAGAGGAGGTCGATGTTACATCCGCGTGCAAGGGCGCGCAGCATCAACGCTGGCAGCGATGCCAAGTGGATGACATCTGCCTGGGTATGGATTGTGATACACCGCCAGCGCATGTGTAAGGCGTGGTCACGATGACAGCGAGGTTGGAAGGGACCATGTTTGAATGGATATGAGGCTGACAAGTCATCGGAGTGAGGTGTCTTCCCTGTTTTGTGTCGAGATGGGAGGGCGAAGTGAGGTTGAAGAGGAAGCATTTGTCCCTTCAGAACTACGTTCGAGTCGGAGTGAAGCCACATTCCACGGCACAGCCTCGTTCTCGAGTCTAAAATCAAGATGCTGTCGAGTCCTCTCCGCAATTGCTATTCTTCACCAACGCCATCGTTGGCACCATCACAAGGCGGACAGGGATCAGAGCGATGGGCCACGGTCATCGCGCGAGGTGGTGTAGCCAGCTTCATCGACGGCCTGACCATTCCCGTGGCACTCACCGTTGGCCTATCATTCCTGACCACCGCGAAATTCCTCCTCACGATAGGTCTAGGAGCACTCGTCGCAGGAGCGGTAACCACCAGCCTCGAGACATTTCTCACAGCAAGAATCGATCAGAAACGATATGACGAGGAGAGATCAACCATGCGACAACGGACCATCGCCGCCATCGCCGGGGAGGGTCGCAGTCTGGGTGTTATTGGAGGGGTAGAAATGGTTGGAGAAATTCTGGGGAGGTATGGTGTCGGTCATGGACCTTGCAAGGGCGTAGTGGAAGATTTGAGACGTGACGAGGTGTTGTGGGTGCAGGTGAGTCGAGATTGGCTGCGTGTAGTAAATTCCTGGCTTTGACTTACCTTGCAAGCCTCACTTGACGTGATATCGTTTCCGCTGATAGTCTCTTTCGATAGTTCATGATGGATTTCGAATCGAGGCTCGCCAGGCCAAAAGTGGGCATCGCATGTGTCGAAGGGCTCGTCAGGGGTTTGGCGTACTTTCTCGGTATGTGACATCGTGCGTAGTATTGCTCAAACGAGGAGGGGCATGAGAAGTGTGCTGACGAGAAGGGAAAATTCCATTCCCGTTAGGCGGCCTGTTACCCATGATCCCTTACTTCCCGATGAAACGAATCGAAGTCGCTCTATTCGTATCGATCGGAGCTGCTGGCGTCTTACGAATCATCGCCGGTTATGCCAAGCAAATCGCGAACGGATGTTCACGCCGAATTGCAGCATGGGATGCCCTGCAGACGTTGGTCGTCGGCGCGGCTACAGCTGCAGCATCATATGGGGCTGTGCGAGGCCTGTGTTCGTCATCTCTACAATAAACATTACCCGGAAGGGATTGCCTGGTACGGAGAGATTCCGATCGACAGCCGAGCGAAACCAATGCCAAGTTTTATTGTAATTTCAATGATTCGATTCTTGCAAAGGAAATTTTCAATAAAGTCTCGGTTTCGTAGTGCGCGCCACTTGAAGCGATGGCGACATAAAATCCTCGAAGCTCTTTCGACGAGCGAGGGGAGTTGTCATTTCGGCATTGCCGCGGCCGCCAGTGTGATGGCAAGCAAGGCGAACGTCTGGGTGACAATCAAGCTGAAACTTGGCTCGAGAAACGCCAGATTCGGCGTGACCATCTATTTGCAGCCGGATCGTCCGGGGCCGTAAACGATATGTCATCACCATCGTCACAGTCCGACGCTTTACGGGTGCGAGACTCATCGAGACTTTGAGCGGCGTCAGACTTGTGTCCGTCCTGACGGTTTCATCGCCCCGATGGCACGCCATGCGACGACGGTAGTTCGTTCCTTGTGTCGCCGAGCAGATGTGATGTCGACACGTCATTGGTCGGGAGGAACGAGGGGATCCTCACACCACATTCCCGACACCGGTCGATGTCGCGCATACCGACCGGTCGGGTGCTCATGTCATCGGGGCGACGCTATTAGTAAAATAGGTTGCATCTCACATTCCTCGCCCTCGTCTCTTTTGCTGCCACGGCAGTGCAAGTGAGACATGCAGAATGTCGGAATTTGGCGTGTTGGACGTTTCATTGGTTCGCAGGTTGGCGGCGGCTGCTTCCGTCCAATGGGCTGGGGCATCGATTGGCTGAGCCGACATGCAGACTGGTTGATAAACTCTGATCCAACGTAGGCCTTTTCTTTTCTGTCTTCCATCCTTCCCTTCTAAACAAGCGTGCCACACTCTGGGCTGTGTCCGCGCGTGCCTGTTTGGCGTGGCTAGTTCAAGTCGTCATGGGCTCCTCTTGTCACCATCCATCATCCGTTGGAAGGTTTCGCCCCAGCGCTGATCGGTGATGTAAATTCCGGTGCCATGTGGTGGTGTTGCGTGTGATGGAGTGGAGACGCAAAGGAGACGCTCGAGTTGCTGGTGGTGTTGGTGGTAATGGTGGTGGTAATGGTGGTGGTGGTGGTGGTGATGATGTCGCCGGTCGCCGTCACGCTTTTCCTCCGCCTAGATTGGCATGGAATAATGATTAGAAAGTTCCATGGAAGACTTCATATGTCCGTCAGATCGCTGATGCACGGCTGGAGCAACTTACCGTTCCGAAACCTGCCTGACCACGAAACGTGTGAGCCAGTGTACGGTATAGTGCATACACGCAGTACTTTGTCGCTTGCCTGCATGCATCCTTCCTGAAACTGAAACCGATCGACAGCCCATTTGCTGTTGGCTCCTTCTTACATGTATGTCTACCCAAAGCTCGTGCTGCAGAGCCAACCGCATCCCGGACGATACCATCCGAATTGACCATCCCGAACAACGATGGTTTCGGGTGGCTTTCTTTACTTTCCGTTAACGAACTTCATAGCCTGCGACTTGCGCATGCTGTCTTTCCCGCCGGATTTTCAAACGCGCTGAGATCGATCGTCGAAGCAATACAGCTCGGCGTGGAGAGTGTGTGTGGCTCATGAGAGGCAGCCTTACAGACATCGGATCTTGTGATTTGCCGCCTGGCAAAGCCGATCTTGACAGCTGTGTACCCTCTGTGCACCTGCGATCGGCTGGTTGGACCACGCCATGGACGTCGATCGTATGAACAAGATCTGGGCCACATCCGGTCTGCAAGCGAGGAGCCCGACATCATTACAAGACTCGATGCTTCGAGCTTGTTTGCAGGACCGCAGTCTACAGAACGGATCTGCAGCTCCTTTTCTGACTTTGGACGACGTTCGGAAGCATCAATATACGATCCTGGATGATGTCTGGAAACATCGGTATTCGACATCAGCAAGTCTAGCACCCGGCGCACAGCCCAAGCGAGTGCGACGGAAACAGTCAAAACATAACCTTACCATCACCACTCAGCTCGACTCCGGTTTCAATTCCGAGGACTTGTCGAATCTTGCTGCACTCCTTCCTCCTTCCTCGCCGTCGTTCGGTTCGGACATGTCGCGAAGTTCCAGCATCACATCTCCGTCGCTGACGTCGACAGCTACAACCATGTCAGTCACGCCTACACAGACTCCAGATTCGCTTGATTGTAACCCATTTGCTTCATCTTTGCCGGATGAAGTTATTCCTTTGAATGAGCCTATTCGCACCAAGCGAAAATTCCCCATTTACAAGTCTGCCAAACGTCTTCCTAGGTGGGAGGCGGGTGGTGACGGCGCAATGTGGACTGAAGGCGGCAACGGGGTCTGGGAGGTACATGCCGTGGTGGTTGAGCCAGCCATTGACTTTGAAGCTCTTGATGATGCTGAGAAGGAGCGGTTATTGAAGAGGATCGTCACCCCCGATGTTTTGATCCATCAGGCGACGAGGCCTGATTCGGTTGGGAGGCATGGCGAGAGTTTCCAACAAAGAGAAAACGAGACTCCAAAACGAAGCTTCAGAGAGACTGCCGAGAGCTATGTGTTGGAAAGTCACCGCGCTCAGCGGCGGCAACATGTTGGCAGTGAGGGCGAGGCGGCGGTGGGGAACAGTGCCGGTGGTGAAATTGATGACCCGAGATCGCCCTTTGCACTGTTCAAATTTCAGTTTCACCATGTCACGGCAGATTATGGTGAAACACAGGAGGATGACCTTTCACCACGACATTCCGTCAGCCCTATGGATTTCGCCGACCTGCATCAATATTCTCATCACCCATCCGCCTCTTCGCCGCCCTCACCACCTTCTCAATCAGTCAGTCCGGCCGCCACTTTGCATTACAAAGGTACTTCCTTTGATGTGGTCAATCCCCATGCTTCGCTTTTACTTGGCAATCACAAATTCGAAACACCAGCCGAAATTGACGGCATCTACAACGATTACTTTGACATCGACGATTCGGTCAGTGACGACGAGAATAGCGACGGCGACGGCGACGACAACATGGCCATCGACGGGACCATCAGTGCCAAAGTCTCCCAGACTTCGTTGCGTAGCCACGGCGATAGTCCAAGAACTCGCGTTCTATATGACGATGCCGAAGCCGCAAGACGAGAGATCCTGGGAGCAGCACCACTCAGGCCGCGGCACGATGGGAACGATGAGCGTCATAGTCCATTGAGATTCAAACACATCTCACATCTCCAGCCTCGCTTCTCTCAGAAGAGCGAGCCATTCGACTTACATGTCAGCGACGACGGCGAAGATTACAATGGTCACGGCAACGGTCGAATCGATCACATTATGCAAAGCGCTGTTGAACAATTCAATCACAGCCAGGAAAGGCCTATCGTTGGGTCTACCTCGCCATTGGTCGTCAAGAGAGCTCCGTCGTATGTGAAACTTGCTCAACGTTTCCGTATAAAGAGCGCACTTACCAGATGTTTTTCATGATAGATCATATCTGGAAGAAGAGACAGATACGACGATGCGAGAGATCATCGACGGCTATGACTACACTAGAAGCATTCGTCGCGACTCATCAGCGGAGCCGAAAAGTGCAAGCGAGCCAATTTTGTCAAGCACAAAACATGGTCTCGAGCACACGGTACTTGAGAAGACCCACAATCGCCGCTCGACACAGATGGAGTCCGACAAGGAGAATGTACAGCCACCGAAGATCGCCATTGATGATTCGCCTACGCTTCCCTCGCCACCAGCTCCAGTCTTCAACATCACCAATCGCCGTTATGGGCGCCATGTGGAGCCGACAGACTTGCCGACCAGCGAACAGACGTATGGTGAAACCAATCAACTCCTACTCATCACTCCCAGCGATAGACAAATCTTGCAATCAGCCCAACGTACCAGCTCGCAGAGGTCTTTTGTCTCCCCGCCTGCAGAACATCCCTTTACCTATTCGGACTTTGATCGGCCAGTGAGCTTCCTGGGAGCACTACCAACCTGGAACACACCAGAGCTACCTCGAGGCCTTCGTAGCTACGAATCGTCGCGAACACGCCATGAGTATGGTGGAAAGAGTTGGAGTGGTTATCCAACGGACACTGACAGCGCATGGGAGACTCAAATCTCCGACAGCGAACCAGATCTGACAATGTTGCGAAGGTTTAGTGACGACAGTTACGCAAATACCAGCATGACGGGAAGTAATATCCAGCTTCTATATCAGCTCCCTTCCTTCGCAACACTACCGTATCAGGGTGAAGATGATGAGAAGGAGAACTTCGAACCGAAGAACTTGGGATCTCCCGCAGGAAGCATTACGCCCCAGTCTATGCAAAAGCCTCTCCTTGGTGACCACGATACCCAAAGGGCTATTGGATTCCTACAAAGTCAGCTGTGTGCTACCGTCGACATTACTCCGGCAGCAAAAGAGCAACGTCGAATCGAGGCGAGGGAGTTGGAGATCATTCGTCTTCGCAATCCTCTCGCTGTAAGAAAAGCTACCGAACACGTCTTCAATCGGTATTCTGCATCAGATTTGCATTCCATGAGTGCGAAGCTTCAAGCCGGCAATCCACCAAAGACTCCCCATCGGCCGAGGGACAGTCTCCGCAAGATTATCACAATGAGTCCCACATCTGAGCGAAAGCATCTGCTGCACTCACCGATGGGCAGTCCCAAACCAGACAGTCCAGGTCCAAACGGAGCACTCGCATTCAGTGACAGCGCCAATACATTCAAGACCATTCGATATGGCTCACCATCACCAGGGCCTGCAGACATGCCTGTTGGATCCTGGTCACCGATGCAGGAGGCCGTCGATTGGCCTCTCCCTCCAAACGACCCGCGTCGATCTCGGGCCTCGCTTCCAGGTTTCCAGTCACGTCTCGGCGTAAATGCTTCCCACGCCACACCAGCACAACGACCCTCCCTCCGCTCCGCCATGAACAGCCAAACCGAACTCCGCCAACTCCGCCTCTCAAGTCTCCCCAAGCCCGCTCAACCCGGCGGCCGCGCCCTGACCGCCGACGAACTGATCCGCCAACAATCCTCCTGGACCGACCGACCTCGCGTCGCCACCCCCAACGGCCTCGAACGAGCCGCAGCCATGAGCCCACCCATCCACGACCCCGTCGCACGTACCTGGCGGCCCCGCATCGGCTATCTCATCAACAGCCGCAACCGCGCCCTCATCCGCGACGCATGGGACGGCCACGACGAAGGCGCGCAAGCCGCACAGGCCCTCTCACGCCGGTACATGCTTCTGACCGCGGTATGTCCTTTCACCGCACTGGCGTTCGCCTGGGGCCATTTCGACCCGCTCATGGCGAAGAAGACGCAGTATCGCTTCGTGGAGATGGCTCCGGAGCACAAACGCGAGGCGCTGGTCATGTTTCTTCCGGTCGGAGTCGTGGCGTGGACGTTCTGTTTCGTGTTGATCGGGGTGTTGATCTGGGTCGCTACGCTGCATGCGTAGAGGAGGATGGAGCATGATGATGACGATGATGATGATGATGATCACGATGAAGGGTTTCGCTTTTGGACTTCTTGTTTCTCTTTCTCTTCTTTTTCTCCTTTTCTTTCTTTTCTGCTTCTATTCGCCCTTCCTCTCCTGCCTTTTCTCCAAACTTCTGTTCAGTGCACGAGGAGTTCCCATCTCGTCTTTCTACCTTTGAGTCCCCTCTCCTCTCTTCTTTCCTCGGAAATACCTTCCCTTCCCTTCTTTGTCCGGCTTTTGGTTTCTATGCGTTCTCCTCCGGGCCTTCACTTTGCACATCCCCCTCTGCGAGGGAGCATGCGAGGCCGTCTTGTCCCACTTCCGCTTGTGTCCTGCAACGTTTTGTGTTTCCTTCTTACCTCCGAATATCCCCACTGGTCTCTTTCTTTTTCCTTCTTTCTTTCCTTCCTTCTTTTCCTTCTTTCTTTCTTTCTTTCTTTCTTTCTTTCTTTCTTTCTTTCTTTCTTTTTTTGTTTGTTTGTTTGTTTGTTTGTTTGTTTGTTTGTTTGTTTTTCTGTTTCTCTGTTCATTTCCCCTCCCCGAAAACGCGGGAGCCGCTGTACTGTACTACTAGAAATGGGATGGAGTAGGCGAACGGACGTGACGATTATGATGATGATGACGAGCGTATGACGGATGCACCGCGAAAGGAGCGGGACCACTTTGGCGAATGATCAATATTGTTATTTGCGTGGGGAATTTCAAGGAGGGGAAGATTCGTCGACGAAGATCACCTAAATTCAAAATCAATCGATCTCGATCCATTTCTCCTCTCTCATTTTCCCTCCGGTCATAACAACCGGTAATCCCCCAACTTTCACGCACAGAAAACCACCACCTCCCCGAACCCGGCCCCTCCGACCGACCCCTCGCCCTCGCCCTCGCCGTCCCCGCCTCCCCCCATCAGTTTCTCCACCACCCGCTTCTCGCCCCAGTGCATCTCCACGCAGATCTGGTCCAGCGGGTGTCTCCCGTCGAGGAACCTCCACAGCCTGGCGCCCTCGTCGGATAGCGCGGGGGGCCCTCCCTCGTCGTCGTCTTCGGCATCGGCGATCGCGGCATCGGCTTCTTCGATGGGCTGGAGAGGCAGATGGGGGTGGGGGGTCTCGTTGGGGCCCGGCATGCCGCCTACTCCTTTTGAATTGTTGGGGTTCTGGGCGGAGAGGATCGCGGTGGAGGCCGTCGAGGTCGTTTTGGCCGACGCCGAGGACGACGAGGATGTCGCGCGGGGATGGGTTTTCGCCATCGCCTTGGCGGGAGGGATGGTGGTGGTTTGGGCGATCCGTGGGGCCAGGGTCGGTGGGGTCGCCCAGCCGCTTGACAGGGCGGCCTTCTTCCAGGCGCGGTCGAATTCGGCGGCCAGGTCGTGCTGTTGCTGTTGTTGTTGTTGGATGTGGGAGGAGGGACGCCTCGTGGGGTGGGCGCTGGTGGTGAAGGAGGAGGTGGTGGTGGTGCCGGTGTTCGATGACAGGGAGGAGCGGGGGAGGCTGGTGGGTTGTCCGGCCGGTGGGGCTGTGTCGGGGTTTCTGGTGGGTGAGGATGATGTCGAGGTGAGACTTGACCGTGGTGGCTGTGGCATCGGGGCCGGTGGGAGACCTGGAGGCGAGGAGACGGTGCTCTGGGGGGGTGCGGCGGGGACCTGGCTGTCGGCGATGGCGAGGGCGTATTTCTGCTGGCGGCGGAGGATGCCTTTGATCACGCCAAAGGTGATGAGACGCCGGACGTCGAGGAGGGCGTTCAGCGGGAGCTTGCTGGGGTTGCCGTCGTGATGTGCGAGGCAGAAGTCGGCGACGGACACGCCGGGCTGGAGAGCAGAGTAGAGTTCGATGACGAATTGTCGGGTGGGCGGCGGCGGTGCTGAAGGGACCGCTGGCGCCGAAGTGGGTGCTTTGTTGCTGTTGGTGGAGGAGGGAGGCGGCTGTGGGAGGGCGACGTACGCACAACATTCGTCTTGAACATCGACGTCCTTGATGAACTCGACGAGACCGCTCGCGCCTGCATAGACGGCTTGGTAGTGGAAGATGTCGAGGAGGATGACCCGACCGTGATGGATCATCTCGCGGACCGCACGCTTGATGAGGCGCAGTTCGACATCGGCGAGCTCGGAGATCCGCTGGATGTGATTGACACCGTCCATATAAGGGTGTATGCGGCGGAGGGTGAGATCCCACGTCCAGGTCGATGGATCGGGCAGGTCGCGGATCAGCAGAGGAACATGCCACGGGCGGACCGGGTTGTGCGTGGTCGAAACGTCGTCGCGGCGATCGTGGTCTTCGGGACCCTCGAGCCGTAAATTGAGAACATGAAAGTCGTTCAGCTGCACACACGCCTCGCCGTAGTCGTTGAGCTGATCGAAGACGTCCCGCAGGAGATCGTGTACGATGCCGACCCGACGAGCGGGATACCCATCCTCGCCCGCCCATTTCAGCCCGGCGAGGTGTTCTTCGACCGCGAGCAGGCCATCCTCGATCTCCAATTGACACAGGAAGCGGGAAGTCTTGCGCAGGACCTGCTCCCACGGTTGGACCGGTTCGTCCTCGGCGACCACGAAGCCGATGTTGAACGTGAATCGGTTGCGGGCGTATTTGGCATCTTCGAGGGAGACGGGCAGGGCGATGACGCGGACGTCGTTGGTGCAGATAGCGAGCGGGCGATTGCAGACGTCGTAGGGAGGGATGATGTAGGCGGAGATGTCGGCCCAAGTCAGGATCGGAGGTGGATGGTCATCGCTACTGTTGGGCGAGATGATGGAGTGATCGGGGTATTGATGGACGATGGACGGGCCTCGTTCGGGGTGGAATCGGGCGTAGAAGATGGCCTGCAGCATGGTTGAGGCGGTGGAGGAATGGAATTACATGTTGTCACTTTTCGGCCTTGTGATGGGAGGTCGAGTCCCGGACATTTTTGGATGACTGGAGGACGTCACGGAATCATGGCACAGACGGATCGATTGGATTACGCAGGAGTTCGACATGTTCTGGAGCCGGCGATACTGAACAAGACGAATGAATGAATATATGGCAAAGAGACGTGAGGATGGCGCTGTGGGTGGATTGCTCAAATCATGTATATATTATGATATACGTGTATTGGGTTGAAGATGGACGTAGAAGTAGCTATCGTGTGGTAAGGTCCAATCATCAATCGACCTCATATTTCCCCAGTGGTTGAGAGGCAGAGGAGCAGAAGGGATGAGCGAACGGGAATGGGCTGACCCCATCAATATATCCCATCCCTCATGACATGACAGAGGAGAGGTTTGACGGGGAGCGTAGGCGGCGGGGCAAGTGAGGCTCCCAGGTACAGTGGGCGATGAACAACCTTGGGAGAAGTGAGGGAGAGACACACACACACACACAGAGACAGAGAGAGAGAGAGAGAGAGAGACAGCAGGATGCCTCCTCCCCGAGTGGTGATGATGGGATCAGCCTGGGATATTGATGGTCACGGAGGAGGACTCGGGCGGCCGACTGGTGGGACAGCCATCAATATTCAAGGGAGACCCATCAATATTTTCTTGGATCCGCCTCGACCTCTCATCAAATGGCGATGGGGGAAGCCTGCAATGGAATGCGCTGTGCCGCGGGCACAGGTGCGGTCCCCATCAATATCCTGGCCGCTGCTTTCATTCTATCATTCGTCCATCATCCTCTCCGACGACGCGTCTGAGGTGAGAGGTGAGACGTGAGAGAGGTGAGAGAGGTGAGAGGTGCAGGGTGCAGGGTGGACAAGCTCGCTTTCCCGTCAGGTCGACTATACCCAAAAGAGGGTGGAGAATAAACAAACCAGCTCAACCCCGCCCTCTCCACACAGCCAGCCAGCCTGCCTGCCTGCCCGCGTCGAGAATTCCCGCCCAATCCTCGCTCTGCTCTGTCCGCGAGAGAGAGACTGCTTCTTCGACCCCGCGAATTCCCACTGCACTGGACTGCACTGCACTGTGCTGCCTTGTCCTGTAGATGTGGCCGAGAATCTGCCCTCTCTGCCCTCTCTCTCACCCTCTGTCCCGGGCGTGTCCAGTCGTGCCAGTCCAGTCCAGTCCACCGGCTGGAGGGGGTCCAAAAGGTAAACAACAGGCGGCGCGTCACCACCCATTTCCTCTTCCCTCTTCCCTCTTCCCTCTCTCTGCCCTTTCGCACGCGTGTCTCTGCTCACCGCGAGCTCCCACCCCGGTTTTTCCAAGTCAAACTGATCGCCCACCTTTTTTGGTTTTGGCCTTCTTTCTTCCCCTCCCCATCAATTCCCTGCCCGTGCCCGCTGTCCGTTTGACCCTCTGTCTGTTCCGCCGGTTTTTCTTCTCCATCCCATCAGCTTGCCGCCGCCCACCATCAATCCAATTCTATCCCAAGTCCCCACACCCGCCCGCCGGTCGACTTTTCGCCTTTTGGCCTTTTCCCGCTGGAGCTGTCATCCACCTGCACCTTCTACTCTCCGCCATCACCAACCATCTGTTTACCCGATCGCATTTCGCGTACATCACGAACACCACGTTGATTTTTGTTTTCCAACACATCATTGCGATCGCGTACCCTACGCGATTCTGAATCTGTCATCGTCGACATGGCCAACAGTGCGAGTGAGAAGAAGACGGTCGTCGTCGATGTTGAGCGCTTCGTCCACACGCGCAACGCGGTAAGCTTCACCACCCCAAACAATGACAACAAACCACCGCCATCCACATTCCACATTCCACGTTCCAGCACCACCGCAGAAACCACCCCTTCTCCGCCGCGCGCGCCTGAATCATCCCTACCCACGCCGCCGCCACCAGCAATCAAACATTCCGCAAATATTCACAACCTCATATACTTCGCGACACGCATTTCACAACAACCAAAAAAAATATCCCAAACCGCGTCATTTTCTCGCACCGCAAACGCGATGACTGATAACGTGACCAGCTCAGCACATCCTTCCTCGGCCTGTCCAACTCCATCGACAAGGCCGTCAAGGCTTACATCGATCACACCCAATCCGTCTTGGAAGGCGATGCGACCCTCGACCTGAGCTTGTTGATCGCGCCATTCGATTCCCTGCAGAGCGCCGCCGCGGTCCACAACGCGCTCGCCGCCAACAGCACAGACGACCTCGACGGCGGCAAGAAGAAGCGAAAGCGCAACTACAAGGCGCGCGATCCCAATGCGCCCAAACGTCCCCTGACCGCCTACTTCCGCTACCTCCAAGAGAACCGCGCCCGCATCGCCGGCGAGATCGCCGATGGGTCCCGCGAGGCCGGCGACGTCGGCAAGATCCTGACCCTCAGCTGGAACGCCATGACGCCCGAGGAGCACGAGGCCTACCGGGAGGACTACAAGCGCGAATGCTTGAAGTACGACCAGGCCGTGCTGGACTACAAGGCGGCCGGCGGCAAGCTCGACGACGAGGACGACGCCAACCCGGAAGAGCAGGACAGCAGCGAGGTGGAGCCACAACAGGCCAAGGCCAAGCCCGCATCGAAGAAGTCCGCCGCCGCTCCCTCCCCGGCCGCGCCCAAGACCAAAGCCGCGGCGAAGCCTTCTGCGAGCAAGAAAGCCGCCGCGACCGATGCCGCTGCCGCACCCACGCCGAAGAGCGCGGGCAAGAAATCCCGCCCCAGCACCGCCGCCGCCGCCGACTCCGACAGCAACAAGCCCGAGACCCCCGCCAACAAGGCGCCGCGCAAGCGCAAAGCCCCCGCCTCGAAATCCGACGCGGCCGCCGACGAGGAGGCCCCCAAGGCCAAGCGCGGCCGCAAGAGCAAGGCCGACAAGGACGCCGACGCCGCCGACGCCAAGAGCGCGGCGACCCCGGCGTCGGGCGCGGCGGCCTCCTCTGCTGCTACCGCCAACGCCGGCGCACCCGCCGCGACGCCCAACTCCGAGGCCAAGAAGTCCAAGAAGGCGGCGGCGTCGACGGGGAAGAAGAGGAAGTCGGAGGCGGCGGCTGCTTCGGCCACCGCTGCTGCGTAGGTAGGCGCGGATGTCCTCGGCGTCGGGTCAGCAGAAAAATCAAATCGGGATGGGGTCTGGTCTGGCCCTTTTGAAACGGATGATGTGGTGGCGGGCGATGCTCCGGAATTCCCCTCTTGTCGTGTGTGTTCTTGTCGTTGATTTGGGTCGGTTTTTCGATTGATGTTTTCTTTTTGTCTCGTTTCATCTGTTTCGTGATCGAATAATGGAAATACGGTCTCATGAAATTCTCAAACTCCATCATGCCAAAACGTTGTCTCTTCCTCCTTTCTTCCTTCTCTCTCTCTCTCTCCCTCTCTCCGCCGCCGTCGTCGTCGTTCTCGCTCGAAGAACGGCTACCCAGTCTCACACGCATCGCACGTTGAAGAAGTGAAAAACATCTTCTGTAGATTCCGTCGAAGGAAACGCGGAACCACGACAGAAAAATTCGGCGGTTTAATATTCGCGCCAATTGCCAACCAATGTCCGAATGAATTTCGACAAGGAATTGCTGTTGTTTTTTTCTCCCTCCCCAATGCTGCGACGCGCGCGCGGCCGCTTATCAGCTTCATCCAGATTACATACGCGAGGGACAAAATCGCCGGCCCACGCCCCGATAACAAACCTCCGCCCGCCCAATGGCTGGAATCGTCCTGGCATGTATGCTCCATCTCCCCCCTCCCCGCCTTTCACTTCTCGCTGTGGCTTTTCCGGCGGGCCAATTGAATTGATCGTGACTTTGCATTCGATCGTTGCCGACGGCATAGTCGTAATCTATTTACGATATCGCGGTGGTTTCCTGTACGAAGTCTGAGGTTCTTCCGAGAGGGCATCGAGAGCCAGTTCGAGGACCGGATCAAGAGCCAGCCTGGGGAGCAACGGGCAGATCAGTCGAGGTTCTGAAGGAGACTCCCAGTGCACTCATCGGAAGGGCAGGGAGAGTTGCGAATCATCGACGGGCAAACCGGGCGTTCGGACCACGACGGCTTCATCACGCAGACGGACAAGGAAACGTAAGTTACTCTCTTCCCTTGAACTTGGTCGTTGAACATGTATATCTCCTAACATTGAAAGGTAAATTCCTCACAGACGATCGATTCACCCTGGTAACCATGCAGTTGGCTCCACGAGAAGTACATCACCCCTCACCCTCCTCCTCGAGAACATCAAGTATCAAAGAAGAAGACGACATCCCAACTTCCCAAGAGCCTCCTCCTGCTCCTCCTCCTCCTCCCGATGACTGACCGTTTCCCGCCTCTCACCAGCTCGACAAGCTCACAATCGCCCACCTGGGCTTCCTCTCCCAGCGACGGCTCGCGCGCGGCGTGCGCCTCAACCGGGCCGAGGCCCTCGCCCTGATCGCCAGCGTGCTGCACGAACTCATCCGCGATGGCAGCCACAGCGTCGCGGACCTCATGGCCTTGGGCCCGACCCTGCTCGGGCGCCGCCATGTCCTCCCGAACGTCCCCGCGTCCCTCCACGAGATGATGGTCGAGGGCACGTTTCCGAACGGGACGTATCTCGTCACGGTGCACGACCCGATCGCGACGGACGACGGGGATCTGGAGCGGGCGCTCTACGGGAGTTTCCTGCCCGTGCCGAAGGGGGATGCGGCGGAGAAGTTGTTCCCCTGGCCGCCCGCTGACGGGTTCGGGGCGTGGGGGGCCGAGGCTCAGCCCGGGGCGGTGGTCGCGGTGAAGGGGGTCAAGGGCAGGATCGCGCTGAATGCGGGGCGGCGGAGGGTGAGCTTGAAGGTGGTGAGCAAGGGCGACCGCCCGATCCAGGTCGGCAGCCATTATCATTTCCTCGAGACGAACCCGCGGCTGGAGTTCGATCGCATGAAGGCGAGGGGGATGAGGCTGGACATCGCGGCGGGCACGAGTGTGCGGTTCGAGCCGGGGGATACGCGGACGGTGAATTTGGTCCCCATCGCGGGCAACCAGATCATTCGCGGGGGGAACGGGTTGGCGTCGGGTCATATCCATGATACGAGCATCACGGAGGGGATCCTGAGGCGGTTGTCCGAAGGGGGCTTCTTGAATGTCGCGGAGGATCCGGCGGCGGATCAGGCGCTGGTCAAGGCTTGTGAGGTTGACCGGCAGAGCTACATCGCTATGTTTGGACCCACGACGGGCGATCGGGTGCGGCTCGGTGCGACGGATTTGTGGATCGAGGTGGAGAGGGACATGACGGTTTATGGCGACGAGTGTTCTTTCGGGGGAGGCAAGACGATCCGTGATGGGATGGGCCAGGCGACGGGGAGGAAGAGTAGCGAGTGTTTGGATGTGGTGGTCACCAATGCGCTCATCGTGGACTGGAGCGGGATCTACAAGGCTGACATCGGTATCAAGGATGGGTTCATCGTCGGCGTCGGCAAAGCTGGGAATCCGGATGTCATGGCTGGTGTCCATCCCGATCTGGTCGTCGGGGTCCACACCGATGTCATCGCGGGGGAACATAAGATCGTCACGGCCGGGGGGATCGATACGCACATCCATCTGATCTGCCCCCAGCAGGCGAACGAGGCCATCGCCAGCGGCATCACGACCTTCCTCGGCGGCGGCACCGGTCCCAGCACCGGCTCGAACGCCACGACCTGCACTCCGAACCCGAACGTGATCAGATGGATCTTACAGGCCGCCGACGAGCTTCCCGTGAACCTCGGCATCACCGGCAAAGGCAACGACGCCGATCCCGCCGGCCTGATCGAACAAGTCGAAGCCGGCGTCTGCGGCCTCAAGCTCCACGAAGACTGGGGGAGCACACCGGCCGCCATCGACAGCTGCCTCTCCGTCTGCGACACCCACGACGTCCAATGCCTCATCCACACCGACACGCTCAACGAATCCGGCTTCGTCGAAACCACCGTGGCCGCCTTCAAGAACCGCACGATCCACACCTACCACACCGAAGGCGCAGGGGGCGGCCACGCTCCGGACATCATCTCCGTGGTGGAACACCCCAACGTCCTCCCGAGTTCCACCAACCCGACACGGCCCTACACGGGCAACACCCTCGACGAGCACCTCGACATGCTGATGGTCTGTCACCACCTCTCGCGGCAGATCCCCGAGGACGTCGCGTTCGCGGAGTCCCGGATCCGCGCCGAGACCATCGCCGCCGAGGACGTCCTGCACGACCTCGGCGCCATCAGCATGATGTCCTCGGACTCCCAGGCCATGGGCCGCTGCGGCGAGGTCATCCTGCGGACCTGGCACACCGCGCACAAGAACAAGGTCCAGCGCGGACGACTGCCCGAGGACGAAGCGTACGGCAGCGGCCAGGCGGACAACGCCCGCGTGAAGCGGTACATCAGCAAATACACCATCAACCCGGCCATCGCGCAGGGCATGTCCCATCTGATCGGGAGTCTGGAGGTGGGCAAGTTCGCGGACATCGTGCTCTGGGACCCCGCGCAGTTCGGGGTCCGGCCCGCGCAGATCGTCAAGGGCGGCATGATCTCGTGGAGCGCCATGGGCGACCCGAACGGCTCGATCCCGACGGTCGAACCGGTGCTCATGAGGCCGATGTTCGGCGCGATGAACCCGAGTCGCTCGATCACTTGGGTGAGTCGGGCGAGTGTGGAGAACGGCGTGGTCGACACCTACGGGCTGAAGAGGAGGGTGGAGGCGGTGAAGGGGTGTAGGAATATCGGGAAGAAGGATATGAAGTGGAATGATGCCATGCCGAAGATGAAGGTTGATCCAGAGAGATATGTAAGTTTCCAACCCCGATCGTTCTCATTCGATTTGGTGGGAAGTGGATCGCTCGCTAACGTTCTGTTCTCAGACGGTCGAGGCGGACGGGATGATTTGTACGGCCGAACCGGCGACGACGTTGCCACTTGCTCAGGCATATTTCGTGTTTTGAACTGGATGATATCGATGTCATGTCTTGCTGAGTCTGCACTATTCCATGACCATTACAGGGTTTCTTGTTATGTGACTTGGTGCTTTCATGTTCTGTAGTGTCCGCGTCGATTGCACAGGAGACATGAGGTGAAGTGTGAAGTGCTGTGGTTGTCGTATATCTTGCCGAGCATGTTACACATGGATCACATGTCGTCGAGACAACTCACAACATCATCTCCTTGTCGCGCCTTGCCATCAGCTACATCTTTCCCTCCTCACAATTGCAATCTCCTTGGAGTCTCATTTCCTCCATTTTCTGGCTGAGAAACAGGCGCATCATCACGCGAATGAACAGAGCGCAGTTTCACTGGCAGCGCCGTTGCTTGATCGCGTCTGCCACCGTTCATCTTGCTACCTGCAGTCAATCACGCAGTACATTCCAAGAGTTTTCAATATCATTTCTATTAGCCGGGCGGTCTATACCCGACCATTGGAAAGACTTGGACGCTGCATGTTCCCGCGCGAGTGACAGGAATTTGCTCTCCAACACTCTGCGAGGAGATTGCATACAACGTTGGCATTCATTGCCTCGCCAATGCAACTCGCACGCGGATGCAAAACAGGAATCGAAACATATCGATGAGTAAATACGATCCCCAGTGTAGCACCCGGTCAGCTTTCCAGATGCTGACCGGTCGAGATTGGCGCAAAGTCAGCGTATCAGTTGGGACAAAGGGCGGATGCGCTGATCAGCATGGCGCCCAATCCGATTTGGGAAGCTGAAGCAGTTCAACAGTTCATTAGCGGCGTCTTCTTGCCTGTGAGTTACACAAACGACAATGCCATGCAGACCGCAGGTATCGATCCGGGGTTCCACTCCGATATAAATCGTGAGCGTTCCGTTTCTCCTTCTCAGAAATTGAGTTGGATTGAAGTGCTCGACGAGGCTGGAATACATAGTGCCCACGAGACGGTACCAAGCATGTCGAACGACGGATCAGCCATGGAAATCGAGACGGTCGAAAGCTTTCTCGCCAACAACGAAAATGAAAAGAACGCGACAATCAGTAACGGCTCGCAGAAAACAGGATTCATCAATGGCGAACGAGCAGCACTGTTCCACCACGCTTCCATGCTGCGAGGCAAGACACCAGTCATCACTTATAACGAGGTATCACCGCAGTTGTTCATTGCTCGAGTCGAAGTCGAAAATGAACTTTTGGGCGAATCAGGCCCATGCACGACGAAGAAAGCGGCCAAGGATGAGGTCTGTGGCATTGCACTCTTACCGTTCGAGGCCAAATACCCCATCATCAATGGCAAAGGAAAGAAGAAAACTCCCACAGAGCAACCTCATCTGGAAGAGGATCTGACCGAGATTCTCGCCGAGAACTGGATCGGAGAACTTAACAGTAGGTCGAAAGACCATCGGCCTTCTGATTTGAATATGATCACTGACCGTGACTTTCCAGGCTTCGCCCAAATTCAACGCCTTGGTGCACCAGTCTACGACGACTACGCCGAAAACTTCTCAATGGGCCCGTTCTCTTGTACCGTTACTGTTCCCGGGCTCTCCTCTGAGAAATTCGGCACGGGCAAAGGTCCATTCCGCCAGAAAGCAAACGCCAAAAAGGCCGCAGCCATGGACGCCATCCGATGGATCCGCGCAAACAGCGCTCAGACGGTGAAGTCACCCTCCGTCAAGCCATCATCACAGACCCCACAAGTCCTCTCCAAGCAAAGCATCTCATCGCCTTCTTCTCCAACGTCTGGCAACGATAAATTGCAGCTCGACGACCATACGCTGCCTCAGCGCGCCAATACCCTAGCCACATCCCTCGGCATCAGCCCTCCCGGATATGACATCGTACCTTTGGGTGATGGCTTCTGCCAGGCTTCGGCCAGATTCTCACCCAAGGACGTTAGATATCATCCGGAGTTGTTGGGTCAGGTGGGTAAGGTGGAGAGGGTCTATGGCAGGAAGACGGCCAAGGTGGAGAGTGCGAGGGAGGTCATTCGGATTTTGGAGGACATCCAGAAGAGGAGAGATAGGGCGAGGTGATGCATCACGGGTGGATATTCAATTTCTTCATCGGGAATTGACATATGTTCGTGTGCTTCATGATGACTTGATGTGGGTGGATATACGGTGATGATAAATGTCCTTTTTGAGTCATGACAATTCAGCCAAATGAACGCTTTTGCAATATCGAATTTTTGTGAGATTCGGCGTCCTTCTTACGAACACCGAATAAACGGCCTGGAAATAGTTGCCGTCCGCTATCTTTGGTTGATGAGTGAGGTTATCATTCAGATGATGCAGGTACAACAATATGCATATGCCTCGTTCGTGAACAATTCTCGCCCATTTGTCCCACGGGATTGACGCTCCGCAGCCAGCGCGACTTCACCTCCCGCCCGCGTATCAACTTGTGCCAGACCCCACCTCATACATTTCGTCGACGAAACGTACATCTCCAATGTCCAGGCAATACAATAAATAACCAACACTCGACGAGGAATTCACAACGATGAGTGTCATTGAAGCACTGTACATATTCGACGAGCACAAGTACGTAAGTGGCACCATCCTGAGATAGACAAACCACGCATCGCCAAACTAATTTTCCAAATCACACAGCAATATCCTGTTCAACCACGTCTACACGAATCGTCCTCCTCCGCCGTCGACACTACTTCCGCTGTACCTCCAACATGCCTCTCCTCGACCAAGTGTGATCTATCTTTCATCGACGAGGCCTCCGACAATCCTCTTCTCCATCACCCATGATAATCTCCTCTTCCTCTCCCCGTCCGCGAATGACATCGAACCACTCCTCGTCTTGGAATTCCTGCACCGCGTCGCTGATGCCCTCGAGGAATTCCTCGGCGCGCCGCTCCTCGCCACCAAGCTTGCTGCCAATTATGATCTCGCCGCCCAGGTCGTCGCCGAAATGGCCGACGCCGGCGTCGTCTGCCAGGGCGAAGCGAATGCCCTCCGGGACGTAGTCGAGACAGGACCCGGCGTGCTGAAGAACCTCCTGGGTAACGTCGGTCTGCCAGGCTCTAGTCCAGCGTTTGCTCCCCAAGCGGGTCCTCTCACCGGTCTGTCGTCGTCGCAGCCGGCATTGAGCAGTCAAGGCTCGGCGATTCCCTGGCGGCGCAGTAATGTTCGACACACGAACAACGAGCTCAAAGTGGACATTGTCGAGTCGGTCAATGTGATCCTGGCGCCGTCCGGGCGACCTCTCTGTGCTTTCGCCCATGGCAGCATCGCCTTCACTTCGCAGGTCAGCGGTGTACCGGATCTCCTCCTCACGCTTTCATCCGGCTCCAAAGGCGCAGGAATGGGCACGCGGGGCGATCGGTTGCGCAACGTCATGGAACGCGTCGTCTTCCATCCATGCGTCCGACTATCGAAATGGAGCACGGAGGGCGTCATGTCCTTTGTCCCACCCGACGGCCGTTTCGTCCTCTGCGGCTACGAGGTCGACCTCCTCGGTCCCGACGCCAATTTCACCACCGCGGCCTCCGCCCAGAAAACAATGGCATCCCTCAACATGCCTGCGACCATCGAGCTGAACTCCAACCTCGGCCCCACAGGCGCCGACTTCGAAGCCCGCATCACGCCCACGTCAAACAGCAACCCCTCCTCCTCCAGCAGCAGCAACAGCGCCACCGCCTCCCTCCAATCCAACCTCGCTCCCCGCCCGAACCCTTTCCGCGCCGGAAGTTCCAGCGGCATCATCGGCGGCGACGCCAAACCCTCCGCCGCCGTGCTCGAGTCTCTCACCGTGCACATCCCCATCCCGGCTCTGGTCCGCAACATTTCCGACCTCCGCCCCACCCGCGGCGAAGCCCACTGGAACCCGGCCGAGAGCAGCGTGGAATGGCGGCTCCCGGCGAAGGAATTCGGCGGCGCGGGCGCGGTGCTCCGGTGCACGCTGCAGGGCCCGCTCGCGGACGACGACGACGACGACGATGACGACGGAGGAAAGAATGGAGGCGGCATCCTCAACGGGATGAGCTCCACGACCTACGACTACGACGAGGAGCCATCCCGCGCCCCTCCCGCCGCGACCAACAACAACAACAACAGGCAGCGAAAGAGCACGACGGCAGCGCCCTCCCTCGAACGCCTCGACGCGGCCCGCCGCGAGCGCCACCGCGACCTCATGCCGACGTCCGCGACGCTGAGCTTCGCCGTCAAGGGCCGGTTGGCGAGCGGGCTGAAGGTGGAGAGTCTGCTGCTCGATGCGAAGAAGAGCCGAGAGCTGGGCGCGCAGGTCAAGCCTTACAAGGGCGTGAAGTATCTCACCGTGAGCCGGAAAGGGGTGGAGGTGAGATGTTGAGGGGGGGGGATTTCAATTTCGGAAAAAAGAATTGGGCGTCGGGGAAATTCTCCTGGAGGGAAAGGGGGTCTGGGGCGTGTCTTGTGGTGGGTTGGGAAGAAATCTTATGATGTTGGGACTGTGGATTCACGAAAAGGCTTTTTCCCATTTCCCCCTCTCTGTTCTGCAAAGGGCTTTTCTTTCCTTTCTTTCCCGTGGCAGGAAGAGGGACAATGGGGAGAGGTGACGTGCAAAAAGACAGTATGCATGGTTGGATTTCTTCTCTTGATACATATTTACACGCACGCACACACCCACAGCTCATCCTTCACATGGGCGTCAACCCCTCGGCCTTGGAGATCCTTCGCAGTGAACAGGTCCTAGAATGCCACACCCATCTGTCTCTGTGATCCTCCCGACCTCCATCTGTCTCCGCCTCCGCGGAAAAAATAAACATATGAAAAAGGAATTTCCGCCCATCCCGTCGTGTTCGTGTCTTGATTGCTCCGCGTCACACCGTGCGCGCGGATTCCCGGGCGGGCATGAGTGGATGTCTCCGACGATGTTGCCTTTGGTGTCGCGCTCGGCGCCCGGTCAAGCGTGGTGTATGCGTGCGCGCGCGAGTGGGAATATCTATGATCGGCCGAGAGTCTCCGCGCGCTTGTCCTCGAGCTTCTGGTAGTACAAGTCGCGGTGACGGACGTTGGGAATGTGGAAGCCTGGAGGGAGCGTCATCGTTAGTATTCTTGAGTCACCGCGCGGGAGTGTGGATGATGGTTTGAACGGGGGGTCGAGAGAGATCCTGTGGGAGGAAAGTCTCGTTTGTTGCCCGGTGGATTTGTGCCGTGTTTTTGCGTTCGGTCGAGGAGGTGTTGTCTTGGCTTTACGTACCGTACCACCAGAGGTATCCAGCAGCAGTTCCGAGACCTGGTGAGCACCGTCAGCACAATCTCTCTTGTTGATTCTCCTCTCTTTCCTCTCAGCCAATCTTCCACCCGCGTCCTGTCATTCTTTATTTCGGTCATCCTCGGCACATTTGCCCATCGCCCATGCAGCTGTTTTCGCTGATCTCAAGCTGTTCCACCGCCTCTCTCCTCTCTTTTCCATTTGCTCCCTAGACCGCTGATTCCTATCCCGCATGACCGATGGTGATGACGACGACACGTACCGAAAGCAACGGAAAGATCGAGGACGAGACCCCGTCGGAGCATCTATACGCAAGGAAAATCGATGTCAGCCTCTGTGTTCTCTCTGCCAGATATCATTCGTTTTAATAACTCTCTCTTCTTGTGCGGAAATCCCAACCTGCCCAAGGCAATGCCTCCCTCCGGCAGCGCGCATTCACGCCCGGTCATGACATCTTCCGCACATCACCGGATAGGGGAGCGAACTTTCAGTGGTGATGAAGCTAGACGAGGAGAATGAGACGTACGCCAGTGATTGGTTTGACCATGTTGAGAGGCTTGGGGTGTGGAGTTGTGTTGGTGAAGGTGTTGTTTTTTCTCCGAGCGATTGGCTATCTCGTGAGGTCAACGGGAATGGTGAAGCTGTCTCCCAGCTTTGCCGAACGGGAGCCAGCGAGCGAGCGAAAAGCCTTGGCGCGTGTTTTGCAGGGCGGAACATGTCGGATTGGAGTGTGATACGGTCTTCCGTAGAAGACTGGCCGTGCTGCTGAGTAAGGATCATCTAGGGTTACCCGTGGTAGGGAAGTTGCCCGAGGACGATCGTGAACATGGCGAAGTGTGAATTCCCAAGAGACGGACATCGTATCGTACGGTACTGCGCTCTCTTATAGCACAGTACTCTCTTATAGCACAGTACTCTCTTATAGCACAGTACTCTCTTACAGCACTGTATTCTCTTATAGTACTGTATTCTATCTAGCGGCGACAACATCCCATCATAAGTCATTCCCAACAGCACCTAGTATGACCGTTCGACCGCATCGCGGTGATCCTGACGTACTGTAGACACTTGACGACTATTGCACAGACAGCGATCAGGGATGGATTACTGCTCAGCTTCTTCCCATTTCGATGGCAACCTTGGAATCCATGGATGGCTTCTTGATGCTACGTGCAGCGGGATGGATCTCCGAACGGCGGACAGCTGCATAGCCCAATCCCATCAGGGCATGTACGGTCCTTACCTATGTAAACACCTAGGGAGACAATGAATGTCCATGACAAGCCCTGCCCATGTTCTTCCTTGGACAGGCAGAATTGGGCGGGCGTGTTCACGGTACTTATTTTCATCACCACTATACCACACACTGCAGAATTGATGGCGGGGAAAGTGTCTCCATCGCGGGCCGCGGGCCCGTCGCGCCAAAACTTGTCGTCAGTCTGTCCTGCATTGGTTTGGTGAATCTGTGTTGGAAATCGCAAACCGAACTTTACAACTGCATCCATAATAAGAGACCCGTCTCCGTTCACATTCCCTTCCTCGCATAAACACATTCGCGCACCACCCGGATCACAAAGAACTACATATCGTCGCAGTCTTAGCAACACATTCGCATATCCAATATTCACATATCCGATATTCGCACATGACATCCCATCGTTGAACGACAGCTTGCTGGTTTTCTCGCATATGGCACAACTCCTGTCACATATGCGGCCATGCAAACCCTCGACATTCCTTTCACCTCTTATGTCAAATTCATATTCCTCCTCGGTGCAGCCAGCTGGTAGGTTAGCGCAGCGGGCACTGCATAGCAGCTTAAGGCGACAACCTGCTAACAATTATGCATTCACAGGCTCTTCTATCGTGCCTATCAGGTTCTAAATAAACCCGTCGACGAGCTCGCCGGCTTGCTTGGTCTGGACATTCCGCCAACACCTCTCATTGATCTCGCCGACATCCGAGCCGATGGCGCAATCATCCATTGGTCCTTACCGGACCAGCAGAAACACAAAAACAGCCTCAAATTCGAGATCCATCTCAACGGGACAGTCATACAGACCATCTCGGTGCAAGAGTCGGCCGTCACCATCACCGGGTTATTGCCGGGTTCTTCCTACATTGTACGTGTGGGATTGGTGAACAGCTCAGATTTCGGGTCGAAGAGCGCGCCCATTCGCTTTCAGACCAAGCCGCCTACCTCCGGCGATTACTTTATCTCGGCTACGTCTGAGCCCGGCGACGGAGATCAGGATGCAGCGTCCCAGCCCATCCCGCGAGCGCTGCCTTATCGCGGGTTGAAGAACATACCAATTGCTTCACCAGAAGAGCAGACGTCTGCCCGAGAATTGGGCGCGAATGCACGACGATCGACAATCGGCGCAAGGAGGGTCTCACCAGCTTTGAACGTCATCGAACGGCAGGATAAGGCTGCAGCGGAGGATGAGGAAGGGGAGACGATTCAACAGTTGACAGAGAGGTTGGACGAGATCCGGCGCGAGATCGAGGACGCGGAACGCTGCGCCAACGACGACGAAGAGGATGAGGTGCGCCAAAAGGAGGAGCTGTTGGAGGAGCGAGATCGACTCAAGGCGGAGGTCATGGAGCGGGACAAAGCGAGCAAAGGCCTGAGAAAGGAGTTGGGCATACTCGAGCGACAGAACACCACCGCGCAGAACGAGCGCATCAAACAGGACAAGATTTTGCAACAGAAGAAACAAGAAAGGCAGAAGTTGGTGGATGATGCGATCCAGTGGGAGCGTGATGCTCAAGAAATGCAGCAGGATGTGGAGCGACTGAGGCGGGAAAAGCAGGATTACATCGCAAAGGCCAAAGAGCAACGAGAGAGCTTGGTGAAGAAGCAAGCCACTGAGCTTGCCTCGATCAAAGCGCTTGAGGAGCAACTCAAAGCCAAGACCCTCGAAGTCAAGAAATTAGAGAGGGAAGTGAAAGAGGCCAGCCCACAAGGAGCCGATGCGGAGCTGTACCTCGCGCAACAACAGCAGCAAGATGCAGAGGACAGACGGCAATGGGATCTGCACTATGGCGCCTTACAGCACGAATATGCGGTGGCGGCTCAGAAGGAACAACAAGCGAAACATATCCACGAAGAGCAGGTTAGGATACTGCAAGGCTTACGAGCACGGAGGAGACAAGAGGATCTTGCACAGTATTCGTCTCCGCCTGCATCTCTGCCTCGTCGCACCGATAGTCAACGGAGCCGGCGCGGACAGAGTGGGCAGAACGGACAGAGCGCCACCGAAAGCCCACGCACAACGCTCTATCAGACAACCTCCAGCTCTTTTGGCCCTAGCTTAACCAGTACAGCTTCAGTGTTTGGACCTTCAGGATCGATGATGCATATTGGGAATGGCATGGGCAGCGGACTTGCAAGCTCCGAAGTTTTGATCTCCGAAGCGGACCGACAACGTTTGACTGGCGGCGCCATGTTGAGCCCGGGCGCAGGTGCCGAACTTCTCCCCGCCGATCTCTTCATGGACGGTGACAGCCGGAGCTCGTATGTCCAGCCCTTACCTGGTCTGGGCGCGATCCCCAACGCGATTCCCGGCCTGGGTGAGATTCCTGCTCAGACGACGCCAGACCAAACCAACGCCGGTCCCGTCAGTCCCATCTCCGAGACAGGTCGGTCGCAAAGCGTCTTCGCCAGTCCGCAAGCCAGCCAACAGAATTTACATCTGGGGTCTCCCGAGAACATCATCGACGCCGACCGGCGATCGATCCGATCAACACGCTCCAACCGTGCGACCAGCGGCGGTGCCACGGGCAGTCGCTTCAGCGGCATGTTCGGCATCATGTCGAGGTCGAAGGCGGTCTCCGCCGAGGAAGGCCTCGCTCTGGGGAAAGTGCAGAGCCATTCGATGCCACGCCATGATCAAGGACTTCCTGGCCTCGACCTCTCGAGTCGCAAACGCAATAGTAGTATTTCTGCCTCGGTGATGAGTGGGGGATCTTCCTCGCTAGCCAACGAGGCCTTCGATGCACAATCCGACGATGCATTGCCTCGGAGCCGGCGGCCATTTGCATTCTTCCACAAGGAGAAGGGTTGGCCTAGTTCTTTCGGTCATCCGCGGAACGAGCCGACCACCCGACCAGTTTCAACGCATTCCATCGACTTGCCTCGGCCCTCTCTCGACGGCGGAAATCGCTGGATGGTTGACCCCTGGCCAAGCAACGATGCCAGCGGCAGCGGGAATCGCAGCAGCCCTCTCGCATTCGGCACGACGAGCTGGAACCCCCCGGCTTCGCAGCAGAGTCGCGTATACGGGTCTCGGCTGCCGTCTCGTCGACCTTCGGCTCAGTACGGTGTCCACGGGCCTCCACCAGTTGGCATCCCCGAGGCGGACGATTTCTCAGATGTTTCGGATGCCGACCCGGAGGCTTATCTGGCGCCCATCGGCACGAGACCGACACCGAGTCCACGGAAACCATCAAATCCTGATGAGCCGGCGTCAAGTCCTGCTGCCAGCGCCGCTCAAACGGCTGCCGCCTCTGCCGCAGCCGTTGACCCGACGAAGCTCAATCCCGCCGCCAAAGACTTCAAGAGTTTCTTCTCCAGCATCAAACTCCGCGACAAAGACAAGGACAAATCCAAAGAACCCTCCTCCTCCTCCTCCGTCGTCGGCACCCCGGCCCTGGACGGCATCGACACCAACGACTCACCCCCGGCCAGCCGCAAATCCCGAGAAACCCGCGACGGCGCCCACCTCTCCCTCACGACCACCCTCGAGTCCAACGCGCTCGAATCCGGCCGCCAGTCCCCGATCCTCTTCGCCCTCACGCCCTCGCAGACCAACACCTCCGAGGCCATCGCGCCGTCCCCGCTCCTCAGCCCCAGCGTCGGCGGCAGCTCGCTCGGCAAGGAGACGTTCATGCAGAAGCTCTCGCGCAAATCCAGCTCCGGCAAGTTCGCCCTGCCGACCTTCAAACGCAGCGGCGGCGGGGAGAAATCCTCCTCTTCCAACAACGTGCTGCTCACGCCCACCACGCCCACCGTCCCGAGCGTCGGCGGCGCCACCGACGACGACACCGACGACGCCATGTCCGCCAGCGTCGGCAGCCTGCGCGAACGCGACTCGCGGGAATTCGGCGCGTCGACGTCATCGCAGCAGCAGCAGCAGAGGCACAGCGGGCGCGGATGGGGCCATGTCCTCAAACTCGGCAGCGGCGGTGGCGGTGGCAGTGCGGCAGGGAGCTCGATCGGTGCGGGGGAGAGGATGGGGAGGAGGAAGGGAGGTCAGACGCCGAGCCTGAGCAGCATGAGTCTGAGGAGCGGCGGGACGGGGACGACGGAGGAAGGCGGGAATGGGACGGTCGGTGAGGAGTGAGCGTCGTTGGAATTGTTTTTAGTCCCCCTGGACTAAAGGGAGCTGGAGTTTGAGGCATCGGAAAATGGAAAGTCTTTCTGATCGACATTTCGGTCCCCCGCCCCCTTTTTTTCTTTTCTTCTGCTGCAAAGGGTGATATCGGCGAGATTCAATGGTGATCAGGTTGTGGACTTGGCCGGATTGAAACGCGTACACAGCGTGATCAGTCATGTACTCGGCTCCGCTGCGTGCGGCGGGTGTGGTTCTATTCGACGAGGTCAGAATTCCCGTCGACGAGCCTGTAGACAGTGTAACTACGCCCACCATCTATGAACAGTACAGCACCGGACGAGCCATTCCGACCGCCCGCCCGCCCCACGACAAAATTCCACGTCAGTGTTTGACGTTTCCACACTATACTGTCCGTACCTTCTCAATCGTCGGGCGAGCATTGTGGTTTCAACCAGCCATCGGCGTTTCGGAAATGAGATCACTCGCCGAATTCTCCCGTCCGATCCCACAGGTCGCGGTATACTTTACTCGCTCGTGACGCCCCCGATGGATGTTCGGGCGGGGCTGAGAATCCGGCTCGGCGACGGACGCCGGGAGCATTTCCAGCGGCTCACTGACTGGCTGACTGGCTGCGCTGGACCGGCGTCGGTCGGCCGATCTCACACGGGGAATGCTCGCCGATCCGACGGACGCGCGCAAAGTCGACTTGAACACGTTCCCTGCTGTCTCTCGCAGCGTTGCAAGTATGGGGAGCTTCCTGCCCAGGCCAGAGTTTCGCTCTTCTCTTTATTACTAAACTTTTCCCTTTGACGATTTCGGGGCGACAATTTGCAAACGGAACCGAGTTCATCTTGGTATCGTCCCTTACGCCAATACGATCGGGCTGATTTTGTTGCCGCAACCAATATGCCTCTGCTCTCTTTGCCGCTCGAGCTCCAACAGCATGTCGCAGGCTGTCTTGAGCCATCAAGCCTTCGAAATTTCAGCTTGACGAGCATTGCTTGCCACGAAGCCTCTCTCCCGGCCATTTTTGAGAGAATTTGTATCACGGTCCATGATCCTGAAAGCCTACAACGCCATGTCAATGCACTTCGCGAGGCTCTCTCGGATACGAACTCTTTCTCCTGCGTTCGACAAATCACCATCAAAGGGGCTTTGAGACTCGCGGGCAAGGAGACCGAACGTTGGCCCTTGCAGTCGCCTTGGTCGTTTGCCCTTGGCGTTACAAATTCACTCCTGGATGAGGTCCCAATCTGTCATGACGGCATGTATGTAGTCTCCGATGAAAATGTGATCGAGGCATTGTCTGATGAAGACGTGGCCTGGCTTCCTTTAGTCAACCTGCTCGAAGCCGAAGTTTCACTCGAAGATCTCGTCTTTGACTGCCGGAGTCAATTTCCGCCCAGTCTGCTGAGAATTCTCCACGCGCGGCACCCTCGGTGCAGGCTTCACCTAACATTCAAGTTCCGGACGTTGCTTTCGTCCACTCCTAACGCTTACGAGATGGAGCTCGCTACATCCCCGTGTCTTTCTACGATAAAGGCTATTTGTTCTCAACGCGATAGCGATGGTACCGACGATTTCAACCTAGAGGCTCTGATAGAGCTCGTAGCCGGTCTTGCCCCTAATTTAAGTAAGGTCGTTGTCTTGAACCTCTTCCCAGGTGGCTCTATGAGGTCAAATCGACCTCGAAATTCGTGGCAAGGCCTCCCGGGGTTTACTCCTAGGGGAAGAGGATCGTTGAAGTCTCTATCGCTCAAAGGCCACACGCAGTTAAAGACTCCTCAAGTGCTACAGGACTGGGCCAGACATGTCGACTTTACTTGTTTACGGCATCTCACTCTTGGCGGAGCTCTGGACTTGCGAGGATCTGGGCTCAGTGGCGACACTATGCAATGGATCGTCCAGACTCAGTCATTTCCTCTACTCAAATCACTCTGCGTGCAACTTACACGCGATAACGCTCAGGTAGAACGGCCTCTTTACCGAGAGCAGGCAATCACGTTTTTTCGGTCTTTCGAATCTCTTGAGCAACTATCTATCGACGGGCCTATTGACTTCCAAATCAAAGATGCTGCTCTTGCTCATCATGGAAAGACGCTTAAGAAACTTAGTCTGCATCCTTTCGAACAAATACCATATCCCCCCCACAGAGACGACAAACAGGATCTACCTTTTCACTTTACTAAGGATTGTATTTTGCAGCTCCAAGCTCAGTGTCCGATACTAGAAGAGCTTACAATCCTAGTTAAACGCAACATGTCCAAAGAGGCCGATCTGTATAGATGCTTCGGCGGGATGAGAAACTTGCGAGCCCTCTCTCTTATACTAGATTGCTCAAATTGGCGGGTGACTCGAGATCCTACGTATAAGCCGGATTTCGATGAGCAAGATCGAGAGCCCGTAGAAGCCGAAACGGGTTCGTGGCTAAAGAGGGGCGAATTAAAGGCAACCCTCATCAATTGTGCCGTAGACGAAGCACTAGCCTGCTCAATCTGGAAGACCATCAGCCAGAACAAAACCGGCAAGCCGCTGGAGCGACTCAAACTGTGGCCGACCGGAGCGTTCGAATACGGCACGGGCCAAAGCCTACCAACGACCTTCATCTTCATAGAGCTCAATTTGACTCGATCCTGGTCATTCGAGCGGGATCCGCGGGACGACACAGAAGACTTCACAGTCACGGAATTGCAGCGAGAAAGACGACTGGCCCTCGAGGAACAATTCGACATATTCTTTTCCGGCCACCGCCAGGATCACGGGGTTTGGGAAGTTTTCCATTCCATCTGGCCCCCTCGAGCAGGCAGTAAGGATTTTCGAGATGATTGGTCGAGTTTCCCTCTTGGTTAGAAGAGGCCGCGGGTGTCAGACTCCCACGCAAGAGCTGGTCTTCTTTGTCATTTGACCAACACCGTGCTTCTGATCAGAACATCATACATAGTAAACCCGATCCGCTGTCTCGACGAGGCAGCAGGGCCACAGTGTTTGTACCAGCCTCAATCGATAGAATGCAATGTAATCCCTCAAGTATCCTGGCAGGTTCATACGTGGAAGCCCTACGCCTCATATGAAAATGTCCACCCAGTAACTTGCTCTAAGGTACACCACTGTGCCAGATGGCGGCGGAGAAGGTCAGTTCAGGCGATGTGGTCGGCCAAAGGAGACCGAGACGGGTGCTCGGGTGCAAGATTCGATAGCAAGGCCGCTGGCGGAATGCCGCTGCTCGTGTGTCTGAGATCGAAGGGACACGACCAGCGCATACGGATATCGATGTCCGTGAGAGCGAGAGCGATGGCAACATCCAGGCCGTGAGGCGTGAAGCGGGAGCGTCGAGAAGTTATGCAAACCCGCGCGCACGGGAAGGCCCGTCGGGGAGATTACAGACAGGACTGTACTGTATCCAGCACAGTGGCCGCACGCGTCTCTCGTTGTCTCTGTCTCTCTCTCTGTCTCTCTCCCTCTCGCCTGGCTTTTTGGGTTGGATTGCCACGTTGGTCCCTGTTTCGTCGCCGCCGCCGCCGCCGCCCGCCCGCCCGCCTCACCTAATTAGTCCAGTCCAGTACTGCACTGCACTGCACTGTAAACCCCGTCGCCAAGCAAGCAAGCAAGCAAGCAAGAAGAGCGTCGTCGAGTCCGACCATCCTGCGGCCTGGTTGTTGGAATTCACATCTCTCATTCTTCTCTTGTTTCTTTCTTGCACGACCACCTTCACCACCCTCACCACCACCACCGCCGCCACCGCCTTGGTTTCTCTTGTCGCGGCTCGAGTGGTCCACCTGTGTCCCGCTGGTCTTCCGTGTGACAGTCGGTCTGATCGACCCGCTTTTTTCTCATCGTCCACGTTCAGCAATTGCCGCGAGCGGTAGATTTGCTTCCTTCACCACCGCCGAGCACTGCGTGCGCCATCCACGAACTCCATCTCCGCATCCCCCAACCAGAGTCGTATGAAGCCGCGTTGATCTCGCATCGCCTCATACGCCGTCTGCCACCTTCCCGTTCCACCTCGTCGGATACCTTTGAGGACAGCCGGTCTGCAGGTCACTCCATCGACAGCCACCGCGCCAGTGTACATCAACCTTCCCAACCAGAACCGCCCATCCCTCGCCCTCATCTGGCTGTAATCGCTTCGGGAGATAATCCCATTCTACCTCGCACAAGACTACCTTCGCCGCCGCCGACATGTCGAACATCATCGGCAACCGTAATAGCACGCCTGAGGCGTCGACCCTCACGGGCTCCACCCTCCGCCCGCCCACTTCTCGCACGCTCGGGTCTGGTCACCACCTGCGTGCGTCCGCCGACATGGGCGCCTTCTCTGCGTCCTCGAGTCTCGCCAACCGCGGCATCCGTCCCTCGTCGGAGGTCTACTTCAATCAGTTCCAGCAGGGCACGAACGCGGGCAATCCTGAGGATGCCGCGGAAAAAGCAGCGCAGCAGTGGATCGCCGATATCGATCAGTACGAGACAACCCTGGAAGAGATGGCCGCTGCCACCCTCGACCAGGACTTCAAGGACGAGCTGAGCGCGATCGAGCAGTGGTTCCGTGTGCTCAGCGAGCCTGAGCGCACCGCCGCCCTCTACGCGCTCCTGCAGCAGACCACCCAGGTCCAAATTCGCTTCTTCATTCAGGTCCTTCAACAGATGGCCAAGAGCCATCCCATGTCCTCTGTCCTCTCACCTGCAGGTTTTGGTGAGAAGGACACCATGTCCTCACGTATGAACGATGCCATGAACAAACTCAACGTCGAGGGGTCCCGCGGGTCCTTCGGCTTCGGGAACAAACCACCACCATCGCCGGGCGGCGCCAAGCGCATGTCCGGCCTGGATCCGACCACCATCAAGTCGATGTTCCCCGACGCGGCCAACGCGATCGAGGACCAGAAAGCCGAGTTCCAGAAGACCACCGGGAACGCTCCTCCCAAGTCCAACCGGAACAGCACGATCGGCGACCGCAACTCTTACGCCGCCACCCTGGAGGACGATTCGAAGAAGAACGGATCCTCTGGCATCCCGGCCGGGCCGTGGAGGAATGCAGGGCCGGCGTCGACTACGGAGAATCAACCCCCCATCGGTCGGCCCAAGTCCTCGTCCAGCCAGCAGCCCCAAGGCGGGTCGGCTCCGATGGGGCAATTCGGGCTGGGTCAGCCGCCACAATCTGCTGGGCTCCGTGGCACGCGGCCTTTCCCGTTGACGAGCGACAACAACATCTCCAGCCAGACGGCGAGCGACCACAACAACCTCAACACCTACGGCGGCATGCCTCTGATGACCCCGTTCCCGCCCGGCGCCAGCTGGGCTTCCATGACCAACACGCCCATGGTGCCGACCTTCAACCACCACGCTCAGGCCGCCAGCCAGGCCGACATGATCGCCAACGCCACCGCCATGAAGCTCGCCGCGCTCAGCACCGTCAACAACCGCATCCAGCTCGACGACGTGCGCAAGTACCGACGCGCGAGGTCCCAGGAGGGCGGGGCGGGCTCCGGTCAGCCCATGTCGCCCGCCGGCCTGCCGCACAACAACATCCTCATGACCAACGAGCACGGCCAGATCCTCACCCCCGAGCAGGCCGCCCTCCTCCAGCAGCAGCAGATCGCCGCCTTGCAGGGTCGACGCAGCCGCCCCGCCAGCCCGGGCATCGCCATCACGGGGCCCGTGGGCGGGATGCAACCCCACTTCATGCACCAGAACAACGGCTTCCTGACGGCGCTGAACGGCAACCAGCACTCTGCCGCCCTCGCCGGCCTCAACGCCGGCCTGGCGGGCATGAACCTCGGCGGCTACCCCAACGGCGCCGTCGGCCTCGGCGGCTTCGGCTCCCCGGGGGCCGTGGGCGGGCCCGGCCTCGCCGCCGCCAACAACCTCGCCAACGAGGGCTACCTGTCCGACGCGTCGGAGATCCTGCGGGGCCGCTCGCCGCGCGGCCGCCGCGGCAGCTCGAAGCCCCCGGAGGACCCCACCGACCTGGCCCTGCTCCAGGACATCCCCAACTGGCTGCGCACCCTCCGCCTGCACAAGTACACCGACCAGCTCAAGGACGTGCCGTGGAAGGAGCTCGTGCAGCTGGACGAGGCCGGCCTCGAGGGCAAGGGCGTCGCGGCCAAGGGCGCCCGGAGCAAGCTGCTGAAGGTATGATCATCCCGTCGAACCCATCCCCCCTCCCCTCTCCCTCTCCCGCATTTCACCGACACCCCTTCGTTTCCGCGATCAGTTGCTGATGACACTTTTTTCTTTTTCTCCTCCAGGTTTTCGAACAGGTCCGCGAAGCGCAGGCGGAAGGTCGACTGTGAGAAACCCCCCGGCGAGGCTCGGCAATGCCTCTTGCGAAGTGTCCCCCCTTTTGGTCGACCGGTCGATCACACACGTGCGGGGGACGAGTGACGCGGAGGAAGGAGGGGAGGGGTCTAATGTAACGAAAGAACCATGTGGATGGTGATGTGAACATGAAAAGAGAACGGACAACGGAAATTTCACGAGATGGTCCCTTTTTCCGCCCGATCGGAGTGTATCGTATCGCATCGTGCCCAGGTGAATCGAGCGGTGATGCAGCCCGGCGGGCTGGGGCCGAACCGTGCTTGTAGGATCGAACAGGAACAGTCCTCGGCTGCAAAGTAGTAGACACACTGGTACGACATCCATAGGCGACGACGACGACGACGAATTGTCGCCTTGAGTGACAGTGACAATATGTGACAGTATGTGACAATGACAATATGTTTTCTACGCCGTCGACATGGAAACGTTTTCGCCAACAGGCATGCGGGGAAAAAACCACGCTCACCGTGATCGGAGACACTCGAAAAAAGAAATAAAAAATTGGAGGGGGCGTGGAAAATGACATCGTGTCTTCCCTCGGATCTATCTTTTCTACGAATCGACATATACACTCCTCCGTCAATGCCCATGCACGTCCACCTTCTCGATCAGATCGCCCCCTATCCTGACCATCTCCGCCAACATGGCCGATTTGTTGATCGCCGCCTGCGCCTCGCCCTCCTCCTCCCCACCACCGTCATCCTCCGTCCCAGCACCAGCAGCAGCGGCAGGAGGGCCCGCGAGGGGGATCGTCGAATACGCCAGATTGACCTTCCAGCCTCGCCGCGCCGTCTGCGGCCTCCAGAGGCCCGCGAGGGCGAACCTCCCGGCGCCGACGGCGGCGTCGCCGCCGCGGAAGAAGACCACCGCGGAGCCGAAGACTTCTTCCAGTTCGAGCAGGAGATCGCGCGCGGGGTCGTGGCCGAGCGAGTCCGTGTCGTCCAGCGCCGCGAGTTCGAGGTTCTTGAACCCCGCGCCGCCCGAGGCCGGTCCCGCGTTCGCGTCGCCGCCGCCGCAGGCTCGGCGGTCGAGGTGCAGCGCGAAGTCGAAGTCGGCGAGGGGCGAGGAGAAGAGGGAGGGGAGGGCGAGGGCGAGTTGTTGCGAGGAGATCTCGGCGCAGGCGGCTTTGGCGAGGGCGGTCATGCGGGCGGCGACGACGGTGGCGGGTCGGCCGTCGCTGTAGGTGTTGCCGTCGGGGTCGAGGTTGGTGGCGACGAAGAGGGCGATGCGGTTCAGGGACGGGTCGAGCTTGCGCCAGGCTTCGAAGCGGGTGGTGATGCTTTGGACCGTCGCGGGCTGGAGTTCGTTGGTGTCGCTGAGGTCCACGACGAGCGGGTCGAGGCGCCAGTCCCAGCGGGAGATCCATGAGAGGGTGCGGAGGAAAGCGGACTGTACGCTGGTGGGCGCTTGGTATGGCCAGGGTCGCGTGAAGGTGTGGGCGACGAGGAGTTCGATGATCTCCTCCGCGATGTGGTGCGTCAGCAGATGTGACGCGAACCATCTTTTGGTCAAGCGTATGGCACCACTGAGGGCAGCATGTCGAGTGCAGAGGCGCACGATGGCTTGGGTGTGGGCTGGGACTTTGATGTTGTCTCGCTTATACTTGGCAAGGCCAGTGGCCGCAATCTCCCGGGTCTTTGGATCCGACGATTTGTCCTTGAGTTGGTGCTGGAACAAGGTTTGTTCGCGGTCGTGGTGGATCCGAAGTCGGAAAGTGGTCACCTGGTCATAGGTGATGTCAAGGAATCCCTGGTTCAACACTTCCTGGCCTTCGTTCTCCAACCCAACGCGACTTGTCAGTGAATCAACGCCGCTGTTGAGGGAATCTTGTAGCTTCAGCAGAAAAGCGATTTTGGTCCTTTGAATAGCGACGAGATCATCTGGCCATCGTGCCGAGCCCTCGAATTGCAGAACAATGTCTGCAGGCCGCATACGCTGTGCTATCTTGTTCGATGCTGGAAACTCGACCGACGCGTATCGGAGCTGAGAATCGGCGGGAGCTATCTCCCTGATCGAAAGAGGAAGATCGTCAATCGATCGGATGTCGTGTTCCAGCCGCTTGAAGCTCTCCATGACGGGCGCAAAACTAGATATGTCAGTGCCACCTCTGAGATATTTGGCAAAACTGTGGCCCAAAACTACAATTGCATTCGCCGCCTCCGGGCTGATATGACGATGGAGCAGGTGACGGACGATTTGCTCGACGATGGGCACTCCTGCGCTTGGGGACGACCAGACTAAACTTTCAAGGATGCTACCATCCTTGAAACGACGAAGCTCAGCCTTCTCGCCCCAGAAGTCCCGAAATGCAGCGGCTTCAGCTTTGTGCTCTGCTGACGGTCCGTGATCAACGATTCGGTCTACAGTGCTCTGGTTGACGATGACACCGATGGTGACTTGTGCTGTCCGAGCGACTTGTGGCCGTGAAGATCCCAAAGTCCAAGAACCGGATGCGCTTGTCGTGATGCTGAGCTGGTTCACACGGTCGCCCAGGCCCTGTATGAGAATTTTGTTGAGCTTCTCAAATGATTTGCGTTCGTCGGCTGCGCGATCAGGACCAAGCAGTGACTCGAGCGGTAGCTGCAAGACATGATCGAACCTCAGCAAAGGTTCTTGTATCCGCTGAATAAAGGTCGCCTCGAATCCATCATGGATCTGGTCTCCGAGGACCATGAGGGTCGTCTTTGCTTCATACCGCAGTAACTTATATGACCATTGTTGCATCTTGTACAACAAATTGTGTGCGTGCTCTCCGTCCCACACAACAGGAGAATTATGCAAAGATTTCGGTGTCTCATTCGTAAGACCAATTATCAACGGTTGTTTTGAGAAGTCTTTCACAACGAATAGCTGAAGCAGAGCTTTGAATAACTGGTAGCTGCTGTAGCCATTGCTGAGAAGCGGTTTGTTGTTGGGACCACCGCCTTGGAGACATAAAGCCAACATTGCGGCCCACTCAAAATTACCGAACCCGCCATTGCTGACCGATGAGCCGAATCCACGCTGACGAAGCCATGTCGCACCTAGCAGACAAGTGTCTGTGAAATCCTCGCAATTCTTCTTAGCTGTGTGTACGAGCTTCAGCATCGACGTCATGAGCATGTCGGCGCGCAAAGAAGAATTGTAGAATGGTGTGGGCAAAGCGGCGGTGACAGAAGTATTTTCCGTCGAAGTGTCGAGGCTTCGAATGCAGTTTCGCTGGAGTCCAAGCTTTTCCGATGCAAATTGGTCCTGAGCAACACAAGGGATGATATTGATCTGCCATCTCAACGCAGGGGCCTGATCAGACGAAGCAGGATCTAGAGGAGAGACCACTAGAATTGGTTTGAGGCTATCGTCCCGGAACAGCTTGAATCGTAACTGGTAGTCTTGCTTATGAGAAGCCTTCAGAGCATTTGCGATGCAAGCTAAATAATAAGCACGCTTGTAGAAATACCGGTAGTTGAGGAAGTCCTTCTCCTCGAACACGCCAGCAGGTATCGTCACGATCATGTCAACCTCGATGCCATCTGTCGACCTCGGCGTTGTCTTCAAGGCGAAGCTACCAACAATGTTGATATTGACGGGCTTTTCGTACGTGAATTTGTATTTGGCATCTTTTGGCGGACGTGGGTCTGGGAAAGGTATCGCGACTTTGTGCTTTAACAATCCACGTTCTGCCTCTTCCAACGCCATTGACTTAGTGCTAGGTATCTGCTCGATCGTGTTTTTGAGCGCATGCAACGCTTTTTCAGCGGCCTTCTGGAGCTTCCCGGATTTCGGACGGATTTGGCCAAGGAGCTCATCAACTTGCATTCTGAAAGCATTGCTCTTGAACGTTCCACTCGCCAACATATTCTGTTCCATGGATGAGGAAGGCTTTTTCGTCCGGCTTTGTGCAGGCTTGCTATGCGCCATCTCGCCATTGGCGGCTTTGGTCTTTGTCGCAGTGACCGGCGCGCTTCCAGTTCCTGACTTTCCACTGCCACGGCTGTCTCCGAGCTCTTTCTGTCTCACATCTCCATTTGTTGCGCGTGCTCGTGATGCCCCATAAGAAGGTGTTTCTTCCTCGTCGCTAAACGACGCAAACGAATCATTGTCGCGGTCGTCGGCGTCACTCGAAGGCGTGTGAGCGATCTTGCGTCGCTTGACATTCGGGTGCGCCATGTTGAAAGGTGTTGCGATGACCTGGCGATCCCAAATTGTGCCTCTCAATCACGAATGTGAAATGCACAAAAACTTTCCAGACCGGCTCGTCAAGCCCTACCTCATGCCGCCGCACTTTGTGGCTGCCACATGGCGAAAAAAGTCAATCCGTCTTTAGTGGCAACCAATTCGCTTGCAGGGTCCACATCGCGAGTGGAAGATTCGACGGGAACCGAGCGAGCGAGATCGGTCCAGTCATCGGATCCTCACGGGAAAACATGGTCGTTCTGATATTCTGCAACAAATACTAAATACTCTTCGCGATCGAATCTGTTGCGTCCACCATAGTCGGATCGTTCTTGTCTTGTATGCATATTGTTCACACAGCCTACTGTTGATCTCGGTCACAACGTCGTACACTCATGGTTTCCGCTTTCAACGATACCTTGGGTGAGAGCATCCCCGCTCATACGCCACACGTGAGTTTGGTGAAAATGGTCTCGACCTGCTATTATTGACCAAGACGTCAGGCAGTCAGCGTATCGCTGCCAACATGGCAAGCCAACGTAGGTTACGAAGAGGGGCAGGAATGGGTGGTTAGCAAGATGCAGACTGGGTACCCTCGGTCAGTGTATTTCATTTCCAAATATTCGACACGCAACTAATGTGAAAGAAGATTCTTCATTCATAAATCCATTCAAAAGCTGGCAGATGGCATCATAGCTGCATATGGCGACCCCGCTGCGGACAAGGCTCTCCTGCTCCCAACGAATGCTTGCGCAATGCGGTGCAAGGATTTCATACATCGGGAGAATCCAACGGTGGATCAATGTCAGATTCGCATCGTCAATTTGGTCCCTCAACCCGAGCTCGCAGCCCTCAGACCAATCGATGAAGTTCTGCCGCACATCTCTGCCGTTCTCTTCCCAGCTGAACTCTGGCCATCTGCAAAAGCTTTCTGGCAGCACACCGGAGAAGGCGTACAAAGTCGAAGGGCCGAGTTCTGTCAGCGCGCCTTTGACGACAAGTTCCTGGTCGATCAGTCGACCGTTGCACCGCTGGCACCTAAATTGGCGAAAGGTCCTCGAAGATATCAACGGACTTTATCAGTAGATTTCAACGGCACAAATGGCTGCAATGGGCACGCAACCGAACAACAACCCCAGGTCAACGGAAATGGCATTCAGGATCTGGCACAATTCGTAGAAGAGCGATTCGGCCGCAATCTCAATACAAGGTTCGCCGCCCAGGCTAAGCTGGCGGTCCGAAGACGCATCGCAGGATCCTTGACCGAGAATTCCGAGCTTCCGGAATCTCTCAATGCGCCTGTCGATACTGAGCGTCAGCGGAATGTCCCGGAATTCTCAATAGATGATGTGTACCTTTACCCGTGCGGAATGAATGCCATCTTCAACGCACATCGAATACTGATGGCGGCGCGAGGCCCCCTGAAAAGCGTCATGTACGGCTTTCCTTACGTAGACAGTCTCAAGGTTCTTGAGAAGTTCGGCCCCGGTGCACTCTTCTACGGCCACGGCGACTCAAACGATCTCGATGATCTTGAACGGCGATTAAAAGCTGGGGAGCGATTCCTGCTCCTCTTCTGTGAATTTCCCGGAAATCCGCTGCTCAAAAGCCCCGACCTGCAACGGATCCGCACCCTCGCCGACACGTATGACTTCGCCGTGGTGATCGACGAAACCATCGGCAACTTTCTCAACGTCAACGTCCTCCCATATGCCGACATCGTCGTCAGCAGCCTCACCAAGATCTTCAGCGGCGACAGCAACGTCATGGGCGGGACGCTGATCCTCAATCCACGGGCGCCCGCCGCGAGCTATGCGGCGCTCAAGCGGGTCCTGGCGACGGAATACGAGGACAACCAGTTCGAAGAGGATGCGGTGTACCTCGAGCGCAACAGCCGCGACTTCGTGGCGCGCATCGCGCGGGCGAACGCGAACGCTCTCGCCATCGTCGACGTCTTGCGCGCGGCCTGCCCGAGCAAAGTCAAGCAAGTCTACTATCCCCGCGACTCACCGACGCGAGCCTTCTACGACCATTGCCGCTTGCCAAACGGAGGCTACGGCGGCCTTGCCAGCGCGACATTCCATTCCGTCGAGGACGCCGCACTGTTCTACGATCACCTTGAGACGAGCAAAGGGCCGAGTTTGGGGACGAATTTCACGCTGGCATCACCTTTTGTGCTACTGGCGCATTACGGAGAGTTGGAGTGGGCTGCGCAGTATGGATGCGAGCAGGCGCTGGTGAGATTCAGCGTGGGTCTGGAGGATTCGGAGACTCTGGTGAAGATATTTCAGGAGGCATTGGCGGCGGTGCCGGAGCGGTAAATACTTAGTTGATGATGAGATGATATGAATCATGGGCTGTATGCTGCAACAGATGAAGTGCGGAGCACGTGAGGAACGCGTTGATGCGAGCACGGATTGATTCCGATACGATGATCGTCATTCAGATTCCTATTCTGTAGATTCCTTTGTGAAGCTATTTGTGACTCGCCCACGGATTCGCGCAGTGCAATCGTGAGCAAGACGTCAATTGAACTATGCCAGAGGTCATGAGCTATTTGTGCTCCAACCATCGTCTTTCATACTTTGTGCTGGAGTTGCAGTGCCGGAGACAGATTTTCGCGAATCGCTTCTGATCATGCACATGCCAAGCTGTTGAGTGATGAGAAAAGAAAAGTCGTGCCGTGTGACAGGTGCACGCGAGATCGTCAAAGCTTGCCGCATCTGTGACCTCCTCCGTCGATCCTCGCCGCGGATTCACATACTGAGCCGAAAACACGCATGCAGGCTTATCGCCATTTATACCAGGTGGCTGCAATTTCGTGGACTACTGCCCAATAGGTGGCCAGCCTGTTGTACATGCATAACGGTGTCTGCAGCGACGGGAAGAATCCCGAGTGTCGACCAATTGAGCTATCCTTCTTCACTCGAGAGCATTTGAAAACTACCTCAAGTACTTCATTCTCCTCAGAAACATAGACTGCAGATCAACTGATCGGGGGACGCGTTCCATGCGGGCATGGTGTGATGTGCTCTCCTTCCGCGTGTTGTTGTCCTGCGCTCAGTGGAAACACGACACACAGTATCTAGCCCATGGGCCCAAGCCAAAACCTTCAAGGCAGGGCGAATGAGGTTCTGCGGGATGTGTTCTCGCTCTGCGTACATGCCCGATATCCAGAGGAGGGCTTTTGCTGTGCTGTCCGTATGGTCTGGTCTGTATGATCTGGGTTCGTACAAAGGCCCATACGAGGCCGAGAACGTGTCGTTGCCTTAGCCCGCACAGAGGGTTGGGTGAGACTGCATGGCTGGCGCCTTTCGCTGGGCTAGTGATATGGAGTACGAGGGATGGGTGAGGGCGTGGGAGGATTCATCAGACCTGGAGCCACTGCCCTCCAGTCTAGTATGACCAGTCGGGGCATGTCTAGATCTCGAGATTGGGATCTTCCGTTCTCTGCACGGCTCTCTCATCGGATGAATATTTGCAGGATCGTAGATTTGGCTTTCGAGTGTAGGCAATTTCTCGAAGAAATGGCTTGGGCCTGGAAGCAGAACCGCGAGACTGTGGAGAAGCAAAGCGTGTGGACATGCGAGTCGTGTTGGCTACCTCCTTCTCGACCATATCTGCCACATTGTGATGATCATGCATGTTCACGATATCCTCAACCGAGGCAAAATATACGATATCGAATATCTGGTAGATTAGATATTACTGTATTACAAGATTGCGAGCGGGAGCAATTTGACTAATTTAGAAGAAGTAGAAGTGACAAGGACTTGGGTATGATAGTGAAAGATAGTCGCCCAAATCAGAGATAACAAGAATCTCCCTTGACGGTGGATTCATCATACAAGCGTGTCGCCCGGCTGCGTAGTTGACGAGCAGTATTGTCCTGTACCACAATCGCAATCATGAGTCAGACCAACCGCGATTGGTGGCACAGGTGGCTCTCTTTGGCGCCGTCGGCCGCAATCGGGGCGCAGTTGAAGGGAACGCTGATGATGAGATGAGGGAGTTTCTCACCTGTGGACCCTGGATGACCGCCGCGCAACAAGGAGGGAAGAGAGTTCAGACGACGACAATCGGCGACAATGGCACGCAAACGCCCTGGAATTTCGGCGGCACCCTTGGTCTGCTGACGATTGTCCGCCATCATCATCATCATAGTCCGCCTCCGCCTCCTCATCATCGTTCCCGCGGTCTCACCAATGGTCTCATTATCACGATCGTCATCAGCTTCTCGGCGTCGATTGGCAGTCGGAGTCGGCGCGGCTTCATGCCGACCGTTTGGCCTGCAGTCCACCACCGTCATTGTCGGACGGAACACGCGAGGACTGTATGTATGATCTGTAGTCCACGACAACGGCGATCCGACGGGTCGATTCGATGAGCATCCGCGCATGCGCATCTGTCTCAGAACAGAGAGCATGGGAGCGTGGCAGGCAGGACGGATGTGAGTCCTGCACAGCTATCCATCTGGGAACTCATCCACCCAACTCCTCTCCCACTCGATGTTCCCGCGCTTGTAGCAGATTCTGGTGGCAACTCGTACCATCAATGCGCCGGCGCCTGAGCCTGAGCTTGAGCCTGAGCCTGAGCCTGGACAGGTCACTGGTTTGTGCGGCTAGGAGGGCTGGGCCAACACATCACGCTTCCCTGGGCGCGAACTGGAAACCACAGTGTGCTGTCGGATCCCTCGGGCGCATACGGGACAATAGTCCGGGTCTATGGTCGTGCTCCGTCTCATCTCATCTCATCATATCTTTACCGTGTCAGGTGCTGGCTTTTTGCTCCCTTTCTCGGGATGTGCGCCCGTTTCGCCATGGAGCTACAGTACATGCCGCCCGATATTCTCCCTCCTCTGATGGTGGTGGTGGTTGCGCTGGGGCGGCGATTCCCTTGCCGGTCCGCCCGTCGTGCAGCGGCGCGGAATGGATGCAGCTGGGTTCCTGCACCATAGTCACTTGACACCTGGATTTCTCCAGCACATCACACGAACTCAAGCCCAGTGCGAAGTTTATTCCCAGTAGAGGGAGCTTTAGCATGATGAAGTGACAAACCCCCTCCAGGCACTACTAATCACCTAATGAAACGGGGAAGCCTCCATTGCCGCCGCATCCGTTCGCCGAGGGCATCCACCGATGATGAGAAATACAGCATCTCATGGCGCCGAACGGAATTACACCTGGACACACCGTTATGCCGTATCCCAGCAGGCCATCGCGCGAATCATTTCAATAACAGCGTAGACGTCGGCGGGTCGATAGTAAGTTCTGGTGAGGGAACACACAGCACGGTCGTTTCGCATTCGAACGCGCAGAATCGGCATGCTGAACAGGAAGTGTCTTGCACAGCATGGTGGTGAGGCTCGTCATCAATGGTGATATCTTTCAGGCATGACGACTGGGATGCTTTCCAGAACCTCGTCCTCGTGACAATCGAGCCCAATCACTCAACAGAGCAAGGAACTTTGCACCTGTACTATCTAGGTATGTAGCATCCTGATACGTACGTGCATTGAGCAGTGGCATTATCGGAGAGGTGCGGTGTGGATGTGTCGGTGTCTGTCGGTGCAGAAGCTCCACGATTGCTATACGGCTTTCCGCCATCCTCGCTCGTTCTACCTGAACTGAACACAGGTAAACTGATGAATGTGAGGGTGTGAGGATGTGAGTGTGTATGTGCAGTGCATTAGTCGTTGGGGTGGGTGCATGCACTGTGATTCCTGTGCCCTGACTGCTCGCGTGTCCGGGGCACAATCCAGGTCTATTCTGTGGTGTTCCGTTCAGGTGGACGGTCCATTCCCTTGATAAATGGGTCCAGTATGAATGATGGGGGCCCGGTCATACGTTCATCATAGACTTCCTAGGTATCCTCGTCAGAAGCGTCACACGACGCCACTATTGCGCTTGCCTCGTCCCCTACCCTTCTTCGTCCCTGCCTGACACACCACCGCTCTCTCTCCTACGTGCACACACACACAGACACACCTAGGTACACACACACACCTACCAACCTACCTACTGACCAATCTATACAACACACACACACATGCCGTAGCTAGAATAGTCCCAAGCCCGCTGCCCGTATCGTTTGTTCATAACTCCGCCCAATCACTACTACCACCTATATAGCCTTTCTCTGTACCCACCGCCTACGGTCCTCGTGCTCTTCCCGGCCTCAACTCGTCCAAGGTTTCGCATCGTCTCCTCCCAACGCCATCACAGTGGTCGCCGATCTCTGTGCCACTCACCATCGTGTTATATACCACGGCCGCCATCGCTTCTGTCCGCCGACTTCCACCGCTTTCTCCCCACGATCCTACTTTGTCTCCCACCCGCAACAGAACAATCGTCCTCTCCATCAACCTTGCGGATTGAACAAACTGCTCACACGACCCTCACTGAAATTCGGAATCTACTACCTTGACTCGAAACCGTCCTTGACCGCCATCACCACGCAGCGCTCGATATCCTAGCCACTCATCAGTCAGACACCTTCTCGGCAAACCGAAATCTCAGCCAACATGTCGTCCAACGAAATTTCTGATATTGTCGCTGCTACGAGATCCCGCTCCTCCTCCGCCTCTGAATCTGAGACGGAAGCGAAGATGCAGATTTTCATCAAGCCAATCACTGGCGAGAGTGAGTATCTGCTCGTGCTGCGGGCGTGAAAGAAGAGTCTAGTCACTGACATTACCAGCCTTCTCACTCAGCATTCCTGCCTCGACTCCCATCGGAACGCTTCGTACTCTTCTGGCGCTTCGCACCAACACACCCGAGAAGACCCTCCGCATCCTCCATGACAGCAAACAGCTCTCGACGCTCAGCGAGACCCTCGAGTCATATAAGGTCACGGCCGGCAGCACACTTCAAATGGCGCTTCCGCCGCCAGCGCCCGCCTCCACCTCCAAGCGTCCGCGATGCAACTTCAAGGATTGCCGAGATGCCGCCCAACGCATAGTCGGTGACTGTGGGTTCTGCGCGGGAAAATTCTGCCCCAAACACCGCATGCTTGAGGCCCACATGTGCCCCAAGCTTGCTGCATGCAAGGCGGAAGAGAAGGAGCGGAACCGGGAGAAGCTCGAAAGCGAGCGCACATACGCCATCCGTGGACTATGAAGACCCTTGACATGGCCATCTGCCTGGGGTCTGCACGTAAACACAATCGGTTGGTTGATTGCGCAAACTCAATCGAATCTACGAAAGACACCGACGGAATTGCGTTCTACATGTTCCCGAGCTGATGCGCGCATTTCACTGGGAATTCGAGTATGCGATCGTGAGGGATAGTTCACTCCCTGTCACTCGCATTTGGGCCAAATTGCTTCGCGATATTCGATGCCTCGACCATCGCCAACGTCTCGCAACACATATTTACGACTTCACGATGCTCAGCACGCATCCTCACCCTGCCTATCCAGGCCAACATTCCTCTTTTTGCGCTGTATATCCAGCGGTTAGCATGCGGGATTTCCTTTCTCTGTCTGAGCGCCATCTTCATTTTGAGCGCGGCGTTTTTTGGGAACATTGGCATGTATTATGGCCCACGCAAGCTGACGTGCGATTACCATCAGGGAAACCTGTACTCGTCCGACACGTCTGTTTGCCTCTCGCCTGTATGACGAGATATGTACGCAATTGTAGTAACGACTTTAACCTGATCAACGTCCCACCCACAGCCTTTTTGCCTGTTCCGTGAAATCGCTTGGCCGGATGTCCATCTCCCAGCATAACTCGGTCGAGAGACTCGAACGGGTTATATGATTTCTGGAGGTTTCACATCAGTACACCGGGATTAATCGGCATTGCGCCCGTTCAGCATTGTTCAAGTGCAAGCAAGTCGCTCGCAGGCTCTGGAGCGCGGGCTTTCCGTGAATGTGAAGTATCCGAGGCTACATCACAGCCGCGACCTACGGGCGACCCTTTCAGCATCATCACTGCCAGGTCTCATGACGTGCGCAAATGTCGGCGACCTCCGAGCAATCCTCGTCGACGTCGAGACCAGCCCTCATGAACGGGTCGAAGAAGCCGCCGGAGACGGCTGACGAACAATCAAAACACTCTCTGCTTCTCACCACGATCGTCGGCCTTGCAATTGAATGTCGCGTGACTCACCTTATCATTGTTGACCGGATGGCGGGCCGTTTGTCCATGAACTCATGAAGACCCTTGAATTCGGCATGCGCTTAGGGTTGCTATCGATTGGCCCCGAGACGACCGACGGCCACAGACGACGATGACATATTGCCGTCACACACGCGCGAGGAAAGATCTCGTCCCGGAACATATCCGGCATGAAGAGTTCATCGCAGGGGAACCATCCCGATGAGAGAGTCTGGACTGCGATCTGCTTGTTCTCCGGGTTGTACTCTTTCCATGATCTTGCCCTCTGACGGACGTGGTAGAGGAAGTGCCCCGTTCTGCGGTCGACACGTCGGCAAGAGCGTTCCCGGAAATTCAAACGATACACCGGTCGGATCTGAAGCATGATTGACATCCCTCGTGGCCGTGAGAAGGTATGAAGTTGATCAGACCTTTCCAGAAGAAAAAAGATCGTCATCAGCCGACAGTTCTCCTGTGACTTCATGTTGAGTTGGCCGTTTTCGCAAAGCGGCGAAGAGGCCATCTGATTGGGAAGCCCGATGCATTCGGGGGCAATGGGTCATCACATCAAGGCGTCTTGATGTACCCGGTGAATATGGAGTCCATGGATACAGATGATGTGGGACCTCTCAGCAGCTCTGATCCCTGATGAACTTGCGTTCGCGCGATTCGATGTCATGAAAAGAGGCTTCTGGCATACAACGAGCCGATTTTTCTCCAAATGCGATGTTGCGAATGAAGGAAGTAAACGTTTTTGATACAATGACAGCCGCGATCAGAGCAGATGAGAAGACATCGAACTGCTCAAATTTACAAAAAGGACGTTCTTCAGTAGCCAGTCTGCCCGACGGAAAGCGGACATAGCCTGTCGTTGACCAGTTCTCAACTATGATAAAGGCAGAGAAACAGGAAAATCAGACTATTAATTGTTGATGAGTTCCTCCAATTGCCAAAGGCAAGCTATCAGAATGAAGGATTCGCGGTCACCAAAAAGTCTGGACTCAACGGCTTCTCTCATGCACAGGGTCCATCTTTATGGGATACGAGTGAGAGCGACGATAGAGTCAAATGTTCTCATGATGGGGTCCGAGCACAAAGATCGTTACGAAGGGACGATGACTCACCAGAAACCCTGTCCGCAGATTCAGTCGCTCAAATACTGCGGATCGATCTGGGACGTCGTTTCGATGTCCGATATACCGTGAAGCATCTCATCCATCTCGATAGAGCTCTATAATAGCCAGGTCGTCATGAAACTCCCCGGCTCATTGCACGATCCAACCAGGGGCAATCACGTCAAATATTCTCCACAAACCATAAAGCGCTGGTACTCCTCCTTCAAAGACGATCGTTGGGAAAGCCATGCCATGATGCTTTCGTCCTCACAATGCCTGGACACGTCATCAATATCTCCAAGACGGAGTGATCCTCTCACGGCGTCAGCAGCCAAGCATGCGGTAGGAGTACGGGCCTGGAGGGTAGCAACATGCGGTTGCAGTACTGGACCTGACGGGTCATCTTCGGGGTATGGTTCTGCTGTTGTACAACATATCTTGGCTGCAGGAGGTGTGCAAGGGTGATCGTTTTCGCCAAACGTCCACTCGCTCGGGCCAGTGCAGGAAAGCAGATGGACAGATGTCGAGCTTTCAAAGGATGCGGTCATGATGACTACTTTGGCAATAGATGACACCTTTTGTCGTGGGGAGTTGCGGGTTGTCGCAGACTGACGGACTCTGTGCCTGTTCATGTCAGCACGACGTTGAGAGTCTCTTTGTGACGGGGAGTGCAAGGCGCAGGCAACATGGGTGTCGAATCACTCCACCGACGGATGGTTCGCCTTGTACCAAGGCATCAATCGATATCTGTGCCAGCGCTCCTCGGGGCTTGTCGAGGTTCTCGCCGACTTTCGCCCGGCGGCCGTCGTTTGCCTCCAAGACTTGTGATCAGAACTCGACATGGAATGCGCTCCTATAGCAAGTAACATTCAGGCCTTGACTCTGAGTAAGCGTGATACATGACCTGGTACCAGACATCCGCCAGGAATAGACATCATGTGTGACCTGCCACCCTTGCCGCCTGACTCCGCTCTCGCTCCTGATGAAGCGGTGCTTGCTGATGGAGAGGGAAGTTCGTATACTGGACTTTGGACATACGAAAGCCTTCTGCGAATGGACGACAGCTGGCAGCATTGTGCGCGATGATTGCTCACGCCCGTCATCCTTGAGGATCGAAGGATTTCGTCCACAACGTGTAGCAAGACGAGGGCCTCCGCGCTCTACTGTTCGATGGAATGGCCATTCGCGGTACAGCAGGAATTACTGTTGTGGTAAGCGGGAGCGTCGGTCGGCAAGTCACTTGATCGAGGTCCATTCCCGAGGATGTCAAGTTTCTGCCTTGAGCGGCCGTGTGTGACCAAACCAGGATGATGTACCATCCGCGAGCCGAGACTCTGAGCTTCCTGGGCGTTCAATTCCTTTGATTCGATCTTTCCCCGGTTGCCAATGAAGGAAGGGAAGGCTACTTCTTCGAAAGTCCCTCCGTGTGTCTGCGGAGTAGGCACGTGCCGACAAGTGGATCTCGGAACTACTGGCCAACAAAGCATACCTACCCAGGTAGGTACTCTATCGTTCTAGCATCGTGCGTGATAGACGAAACTTGCGTGATCCAACGAGCTATCGCGAATTTCAACGAAATCGCCCGTCCAGCGCGCAACGCATTTGCAGGAGAGATCATCATGAGTACCTACGTGAAAGTACGTGACGATTCTAGCCCCTCGTGGACCTCACGAGGCACAGCGTGTGCTCCGGTGCAGTATCCACCAGGTCCAGGCCTCATCAAAGTTCCGTTCGCATAAACTCAGTTTTCTCCCGTCTTTGGGTTCCATGCTACAGCTGCACGGAAGAATGATGGCCTTCCACGTATTCTCTGACGACTCACGAGCGACAAAGCGAAGGTAGCGTGGCTTGGACATGGACGATTCCCCTCGTACCCTGGGATGTCGATTGATAGGTGGACACGTCAAGCACTACAGATTGCGGGGAATAGGCATATCCGAGATCCATGATGTTGTCTGGTAGTCGAATATGCCTATTGTCTTGGCGGCAGCGTGGTGCTCAGCCGGTGAGGTTCAGATATGCAACCGAGCCGACTCAAGGTCGGGCTCTGAGATCGCGAGGGCGTCTCTGGCCCATTCGACGAGTGTCCAAACCTCAACGCCACCGAGTCTCCAAGCGAGCACGATATGTTTTGCAGAGATACGTGAATCGACGATATAGAAAGAGAGACACAAGTGGCGGCGAGTGATTGCGTCCACCGGACATTTCTCAGATGCAAATTCGGCGAATGTCGGAGGCACGTGTTCAGGGAAGGAACAAAAGATACTTCCAAGGTTGGTACACATCAGACCGGGGGGCTTGCTTCAGGATTCCTCCTGGGGCGCCGAACCCAGATTTGTGAGACACTGGGGGAAGGAGTCAATCTCACCGTCTGTGGAGTTACTGTGCGCCTGGTGGGACGCCCAGGCTTGGCGGGGGACACGGGTGTGGCGGAGCGGGCGGAGGAATTGGTGTATCTTGATTACAACCGTGGGACCTCCAGGGCTCTCTCGGAGGTACTGCGCGCCGTGAAGAAAGACGCGTACTGCCTAGCGAAACGGGAAGGACACACTTGGTCCAGTCCAACACAGAGATCTATCCGCAAGGATGACCATCTTCTAGTACAATCCATGGCTTCTTCCATCATCCCTCGTCCCTCTCCCTCTCCCTCTCCCGGGACGTGCGCGCTGCTTTCCTAAAAGAACCTCGAGGAAATCGACATGACGCTGCGGCAGAGGGATTTGGAACGATGCTCGGCAGTCGAACGCCTGGTGTGCGCCACGGTGTAGCGAATATGCTGCCGGCATACAGCCATTGTGAGATGAGATGTAAGCCCAAAGATGGCAATGACTGGGATGGCTCTTGGTGCACGGAGATCACCAATCCGTCAATCCGTTATCGTGGAAGCCCGACGACACCGAAAAACACGGATTGGTAATCTCACTCTGGAGCAGTATTGGGGGCGTTGGACGGTCTAGATGCGTCGTGATCGTCCCGTCGCCGCACGAGGCGCACGCGCGCATAAAACGTGCTTCTCGAGATGAACCTACGGTGTAGCAGATCTTTGAACGGGCGGAGGAGTGTCGTGTGCCTGTCGATGATACCCCGACCAAGCGAAGGCTGGCGGCGCTCGTGGGAGAGAGGGAGAGGCTTGACGAGGAGCGGAGCAATGTCACATTGTCGTTGTTGTGCACACGTTCCACCATCTATACGTCGGAAACAACCTGATTCGCTAGGCGAGCACTTCACTCGTACGTTCCGAGCCACACTCCGCGGTACACCGCTCTGGACGATATGCTGCACCTGAATGAAACATTTCACGTCCACAGCCCGAGAGAGAGGACATGCTCACGAAACAAAGCCAGATGACACGCTTTCCACTCATGACGTCAGCCGTGGTGGGCAGGATATCGTCGTCCCTGGACGGTGTCAAAGACGGGCGAGTTCGCCCAGCATTGCATTACCAATGCAAGTTGCATTACCAATACAAGTGAGCAGATATCAACAAAGAATGAGGGTCAGATTCGTCATCAACGCCTCCGAGTGATAACGAGGAGGAGGATGAGCCTTCGGGCGCGATCGTCGTGCCGCAGCCAAGTCCTCGAGTCACATCGTTGCGCGGCCGACTGATCGGGGGAGTGCTGTATCGCTTAGAGGCGAAGATTCTTGGCTTATCGCGCCCATCTTGGCGTAATCAGGCCGTGGGACGGGCGGCGGCGGGAGGAATCAGTCCTCACTGTGTGTGTGATGGGAGTGATCCTGATCCTGCAAGCACAAGTGCAAGGGACGCCCAACATGCCCAGACAGAATGACGGAGGGAGGGGTGGGCTACGTTGGCTTGTGTGGTATGTATGTACAGTAAAGTGATTACAGTGTGTGGACTGGGCGGTGGCGCCGAGTCTGGCACGTCCTGCGTGTACACATCAAGCCACCGGTCGAGGACGAAACGCCAATTTCTCTGCCTCGAAGCGAAGATCTCCCTGGGTGGGCTTGTGGGCTGGCTGCAGAACCCCTCGCCAAATCCGATCTCAAAGCTTGTCGTCATCACCCACCAATCTCGAGATGCTGCCGCCGTGTACTGCTCAAGTGTAATGGAGAGAGCCCAACCGAGGCGGAAAAGGCCTCTGCTCGCACCTACACTCCCTCTCTGCGAGTGGGCTCCTGCTGACCATGAAATGATGACGGATTGCCGACGTTCAGGTAGACTTCGCGACCAGGTTCAAAGGAAGTGCTGGGTGCGCCAATCGGCAGGGCTGGCGGACCCCCCTTTAGGAGACAGACATAACCACCTTGCAGCCTGGCACGCCCGTGTCATTGGGGCCATTTGTGTGATCCAAGCCTAAACCATCCCCCGACAATTCGCCGTATCATTTTATCGCTGCATCTGTCTGGGGAACGCAGAAAGAGGGCTGCATATGTATCGCCGGATTCACTGCTAAAATGCTGGAAGAGTGCTGTACTCCGAACTCTATCCCTCACGAGCAGACGGCTAGACCGCCGGGCGCGTCACAAGTCGTCCCTACCATCATCAATACATGTACACATGCCTTATGCGTCGTGAAACCGCATATGCATCACCGCGTCAAGCCCATTATCCCGATGCTCACGGCGTTGGACGAGTAGAGATGTGATCTTTATCTACGCCTCGCGATAATCTGCTGTGATAATGTGGAAACGCACCTGCAATGTGTGACATGATGACACGGCCTCGGGAGAATGCGGAGGCGTCTTCAACTCAGCAGCCAACAAGTGAGGATGTCTTGGAAGTCCTTGGCGACCACTCCTTCGGCAACATACAGGTCCGAAGCAGTTCAACCAACCAGTGTTTCCTTTCCGCGCCCTCGTGCGAACACTGAACACAGTATGTCTTCAAGACACGTGTGACCGTTACAGGTGACGAGCTTACATTTCCTTGATTCACGAGAAAAAAGATCTCTGCGGTGCTTTGTGGCATCCAAGTGCGACAGAGTGTAATCGAAATCTCGCTTCAACAGATATCAGGGCGCGCGCGAGGGATTTCGTGATGATCTCAACGTTGTTTGCACAGCCCTCCAAAACCGTTGGCCTGAATCCCAAGTCCCTTGGCGGCTGATTTAGTGGACGCCGCTGCCGTGATCGACATGTCCCGCCATTAGCAGGACCACCATTGTCGTTCTGCGCGCCCAGTCCGACTACTCCACACCGATCAATGCGCGGCGTGCCAAAATGAGCTGTCGTTCCTGTGATCCTGCGCGGTGTCGTCGTTGCGCAGCCTGGTCTCGCGGCTTTCCTCACGCTCCGGACTCCTCGTCATCATATTGAATCGCCCGCCGCCTACACCAGCGCAAGAAGCTCGGATGGGGGGGCGCAACCCCTTGTCGCCGCGAGCATGCCGGGCGCCGCCATCCAGCCCTAGGGTGGGTCCTTCCTCAGCGGTAGGGGAAGTGTGGTGGCAGCACTTCGTCATGAATAGTTGACCGGGGTATGACACGGGACTGTGAAAGCAACGGAGTCCGTCGTGATGCCCAGTCTGTGATAGGTTCAATCTCTTATCTTCCTAGCAGTGAGCCTGACGCCTCCGGAATCCTGCATCTCTGCGGCGTACAACTCTTCGTGAGATTCAAATAGTCCCCGTTGTCCCCACCGTCATGGAAAGATTACAACCCACCGTGTCCTTCGATTCCCGCTTTGACAAGATGGCTGAGATTTCAAGATCCAACAGCAAGGTCAACTCGGAGATCGAGACACCTACCGGCCCTGTCACTCGCAACCCCTCAGCAGACTCGAGAACGGCTGGCAACTCGATCTTGACCACCAACACATTCGACGAGCCGAAATGGCCTACCGACTGGCGGGCTTACCGATGCCTTTTTGGCGGATTCCTTCTCATGTTCAACTCCTGGGGTCTGGTCAACGCATACGGCACTTTCTCATCATACTACACTCAGACCATCCTCAGCGGACAAGACATTCTCTTACTCAACCTCATCGGTGCGACTGAATGTTTCTTGGTCCTGATCTTCTCTGGTGTAGTCGGGCGACTGCTCGATGCGGACTACAGCCGCATCTTGATCACCATTGGTACCGTCTTGACTGGCCTGAGCTTCTTCATGTTGAGCATTATCGACATCACCCACGACAGCCAGGATCGACTCTACGGCCTGATATGGCTCACACAAGCATTCACTGCTGGTTTGGGCATGGCCTGCTTTTTCGTGACCTCATCACAGGGTAAGCAGCTTCTCGCCGTCTATGCAGCCGACCTTACTAACCACGATCGATAGTCGTCGCAACATGGTTCAAGAGGAAGAAGGGATTGGCCATCGGCATCGTCGCATCCGGTGCCAGTATCTCGGGCCTGATCTATCCGTACATGTTCCGAACGCTCCTATCTGAATTCGGATTTAACCTTGCTGTGCGCTACGTCGCCATCGTCATCACCTGCACTTCCGGCTTGGCCATCATCTGCGCTGTTCCCAACCCCCACCACCCGAGGAACAACGCCCCTGAGAACCTTCGCGCTTGGTTCAAGCTTCGTCTCTATCTCGACACCTCGGCCTTCAAAGAGCCCGCATACGCCTTTTTCGTGGCTGCCATCTGCTTCATGTTCTTCGGCTTCTATCCTATCTTCTTCAACCTTGAAGAGTGGGCTGTCTCTGAGGGTTTCGGCTTCCGCGCTCTCGCCAACGTTGGCGACAACGCCGGCCTCCCCAGCAACCCAGCAGCTCACCAGATCCACACTTACTGGCTGTTGGCCATCATGAATGGCTCTTCTACTCTTGGCCGTATCGGATCCGCATACCTCTGTGACAAGGTTGGCGCATTGGTCGTTCACGGCAGTGTGATGCTCATCGCATCTTTGCTTGTGCTGATCTTGTGGCCATTGGCGCATCACTTACAAGCCGCCATTGGTTTCGTCGTCGTCTTCGGTATCTTCTCCGGTGCCGTCATCGGTCTCCCTCCCGCTTCCGTTGCCTACATCCTCGGACCAGACCCGCAACGGCAGAAGCGTCTGGGTCAGTGGACTGGCATGATGTACTGCTGCTCTGCCATCTTCGCACTATTCGGTCCCATCATTGCCGGCCACATGATCAGTGAATTCAGCACATTCCTGACTGTACAGCTCTGGAGCGGAGCTTGTCTTTTCCTCAGCTCGCTATGCATCTTCGCCGCGCTTTACTGCAGGAACAAGGCTGTGAACGCAGTTAAGCCCCAACTTTCCCGCTTCACTTCGCGGAGTGTCAGCGAGACTGAGCTGGAGAAGGACAAAGACGCCGAAGAAGTTTGAGCGACCCTCGAATCTCGGGTTGGCTCGAAGGATTTATGTCACGATTATCACGAGAGGCGTTTGGGACACCATGGCGGGAAAAGGCCCCGATCATGACGACTTTGGCGTTTATCTGGCGTATGAATTGAAACGATTCACCATGACTGTTGGGACATTTGTTTTTGGGATCCGCGACCGGCTCGATATTGCGACCGTCGCTGCTATTGGCGAACTCGGAGTGGTTCGCCCTCTGTATGTTTTTTAAAGATATATATTTCTAGATACCCTCCACGCGGGAAGAGACGTTCAAAACATGAAAGGTCCAACCCACCTATTCCTTCACCAACATCGCCATATGCCTGCTTTCTCGTGCCCACCTGCATAGATGCTTCCTTGTCCTGCGGAGCACTCGAGATGCAGCCGGTAGGGCTGCAATGCCTTCTTGAAGTGATGTCCAAGCTTGTTGATCATCTCGGCATACGGTCCGCACCGGCAACACCCGTGTCAGCCCCATCTGTCAATCTTACGAGATTGCCGCAAAACCGTTGACAGGGCCTGCTCTCCTGTACGGGTCGTGCACAACGCAGTGTTTTCGCTAATTAGAGTAAATGTTTCGTACAGCATATTCGACGTCACAGGGAAATGCATAGTGTAGCTCTTGTCAAGATACGTACATCAACTGTCTGAATTGGCGATTCGCAACCCGATGTCAGCCAAGTCCGAGGCAACCACTTATTTGTCCATTGTGACAAGATGGCTATGTCGATCACGCATCACACCCCATCCAAAGCGTCCTCGGTGGCTTGTCGACGACTGCTCGGCACCCCGCCAGCCAAGCTCATTGGCATTGTGTGATGGACTCCACCAACCACCATATTGAGAATTGACCATCAACCAAAATCCAAATCGCTAGAGACGACCAACGTGACCAATCTGCGGACTTACCTCGGGCTGCTAATTTCAGGTACAACTCTACATACAACCGCCGGACGAGCGCGCCAGGACATGAGCCAGACTCAGTCGAGCTACCGCACGGTAGCATATTTCGTCAATTGGGCGATTTATGGAAGGAACCATCAGCCACAAGATCTGCCTGCGGACAAGCTCACCCACATCTTGTACGCCTTCGCAAATGTGCGGCCCGAGACCGGCGAGGTATACTTGACGGATTCGTGGGCCGACTCCGACAAGCACTACCCGAGCGACTCATGGAACGATGTTGGCGACAACCTCTATGGCTGTCTGAAGCAATTGTATCTGCTCAAGAAGCGCAATCGTCGCATGAAGGTCCTGCTCAGCATCGGTGGATGGACTTACAGCTCGAATTTCGCCGCACCGGCCTCCACTGAAGCTGGCCGTAAAACCTTCGCGGACTCCGCCGTCGCTCTGCTCCAGAACTATGGATTTGATGGTCTGGACATAGATTGGGAATACCCCAAGGATCCCACAGAAGCCGCCAATTTCACGCAGCTGCTTCAGGTGACTCGTCATGCTCTGCAGAGCTACGAACAGACTCTCCCAGCGCCTCAGCCACACTTTCTGCTCACGGTAGCTTCGCCGGCGGGCTTGTCTAATGCGCGACATATGGAGATCACGGCCATGGACCAGCAGCTGGACTTCTGGAACCTGATGGCCTACGACTTTGCAGGCTCCTGGGACTCCACGGCGGGTCATCAGGCGAACGTCTTCCCTTCGTCGGAGAACCCAGCCGCGACGCCATTCAGCATTGACGCTGCTGTCCAGCACTACATCAGCCAGGGAGTTGCGCCGTCCAAGATTGTTCTTGGTATGCCTCTGTATGGTCGTGCTTTCGCACAGACCGATGGCCCAGGAAAGCCCTACAGCGGTTTGGGTGAGGGCACCCCTGAGCAAGGCAGCTGGGAAAATGGCGTTTGGGAGTACAAGGTGAGTTATTCTGAATACAACTTCTGCCTTGCCACGAAGCATTTCCATCGTTGCTCGACTGCAACTGTCCACTTCGCGTATGATGACAAATCGAGCCTCTCGCGTCAGCTTTGCATGCGTTCGACGTATGATCGGTAGTGGCCTCCATCATGATGACGGAATCGCAACCATATACGTTGTCGCTGTTGAGCAAAGCTATGGGCGTCCCTCAGGGGAAATTAAAACTTGATCTAATCTGAAAAGCGAACTACCATCGTTGTGGACAACTCTCGCCCTGCGCGTTCCCTTGTCTAGCCCGTCCCTTCGAACACACTGCACCGTCTTCATTCCGAATATCAACGAATCGATAGTGCAATTTTCTGACCGCAAGTCATCACAGGCTCTTCCTCGTCCGTCCGCAACGGTCAACCACGATCCCGGATTGGTTGCTTCTTGGTCGTACGATCCTTCGACACGAACCATGATCACTTACGATGACCCACAAGTCGCCGCGCAAAAGGTACAGTACATACAGCAACGCTGCCTCGGCGGTGCTATGTGGTGGGAGAGCAGCGGCGACTACAAGGCCGACGGCAGCGGCCCCGGACAGAGCCTCATCGCGCTGGTCGCCAATGCTCTAGGCGGTTATGGAGGGAAACATCTCGATGCGGCTGAGAATGAACTGAGATATCCGGCAAGCAAATATGAGAACCTGAAAGCAGGAATGCCGCAAGAATAGATAGCGATGACTATAGTATGATATCGGTTCAAAGATCTTTCCATCGCAGGACGCAACTTCAGCAAAGAGTCTGCGACATCGTGACTTGAGAGAGTTCGAGTTCACCATGTGCTGGGACATGCTACCAGTGTACAAAGTTCGAGCCCAAATTCAGCTTGCAGCGGAGCGGAATGTCATGCGGGCAATGCGGCGATGTGCTTACACCATGGCGGGCGTGCGGGCAAGCGGAATAAACGGTGTTCACCCCCGGCTTCGCCGCAACAACAACACTGGAACAATCATTTTTAGGGACGGAATTGATGAAGGCCCCGTCTTCGTGTGAAAGAGGAGTCGGATAAGGGCACGAAGCTTCCTAGTTCGACTGCTTGCCATAAGAAACGATACACACAAGCACCTGCGCACACATCGGAAAATACGTAGCTGCAGAAATTAAGCAGCCCACTTGCCCGCGCCCTCACCTGAGTCATTGCTGCACCGCCAGACCCCACCTATTCACACTCATTGACCATCGCGCATGTTTCGCCGCGTCCAATTCTTCGCGCGACTCACACCCACCCGCCTTTTCTTCGTCACACACTCGCCCGTTTGTTCAAATACCCTTGGCTCTGCTGGTGTGCAGAGATACAAAAGCACCATGGCGCCCAAAGATGGCGGCGATGCTCGCCCATTGGAAATGAACCCACCCCCCAGCTACTTCGCGACCAGAAATGCCATCTTCGACCGCCTAAAGGCTGAGCAGGATGCCGCCCGAGCGAAGCAGCCTCGAGAGCCCATCGAGGTCACCCTCGGCAACGGCAGCAAAAAGGAGGGGACCAGCTGGGAGACCTCACCGTCTCAGATTGCCCGGGAGATTTCCAAGAGCCTGTTCGAGAGGACGGTCATTGCACGGGTCGATGGCGAGCTATGGGACATGGACAGGCCGCTCGAAAAGAGCTGCAGTCTGGAGTTGTTGGATTTCGACCACCCTGAAGGCAAGAAGGTCTTCTGGCACAGCAGTGCTCACATTCTCGGTGAAGCCTGTGAGCGGAGGTTTGGTTGTTCATTGTGCATCGGTCCTCCAGTGGAGGATGGATTCTACTATGAAATGGCTCTGCCCGAGATGGCGGCGGTCACCAACGCCGACTGGAAGCCTCTCAAGCAGATCGTCGACAAGGTCGTCAAGGAGAAGCAACCGTTTGAGCGGCTCGAGCTGAGCAAGGAGGATCTCTTGGAAATGTTCTCTTACAACAAGTACAAGCAGCACATCATCAACGACAAGATTGCAGACGGCACCCGCACAACTGTATACCGTTGCGGTCCTTTGATCGATCTTTGTCGAGGTCCCCATGTGCCTAACACTGGTCGCATCAAGGCCTTTGAGATCATGAAGAACTCGGCCAGTTACTTCCTCGGAGATGCGAACAACGACAGCTTGCAACGTATCTATGGTGTCAGCTTTCCGGACAAGAAGGCAAGTGATACGAGATACAATGATTTGATTCCCAGCTAACGGCGATGTAGGCGCTCGAGGAACACAAGCACTTGCTCGAGGAGGCGGCAAAGCGAGATCACCGAAAGATCGGCCAAGATCAAGAACTTTTCTTCTTCCACCAAATGTCTCCAGGTTCCGCATTCTTCCTCCCGCACGGTATGATCATCTACAACGCAATGCACGCCTATATTCGCGAGGAATACTGGAAGCGCGGATACCAGGAGGTCCAGTCACCCAACATGTACAACTCGGCCCTCTGGAAACAGTCTGGTCATTGGCAGCACTATAAGGACGACATGTTCACATTCGACGTTGAGAAGGATCAGTGGGCGTTGAAGCCAATGAACTGTCCTGGACACTGTTTGCTCTTCGGTCATCGCGAGCGAAGCTACCGTGAACTGCCCATGCGCATTGCAGACTTTGGAGTGCTTCACCGAAATGAAGCATCTGGTGCATTGACCGGCATGACTCGTGTGCGACGTTTCGTGCAGGATGACACACACATCTTCTGCACAGAAGCCCAGGTCGAGCAGGAGATCAACGGCCTGTTTGATTTCATGACTGCTGTCTACGGTCGATTTGGCTTCAAGTTCCGCATGAAGCTCTCCACCATGCCCGATAACCATCTCGGTGATGTGGCCACTTGGGAACGCGCCGAAGCTCAGCTCACCAAAGCGCTTGAAGCATTCAAGGAGTCGACGGGAACTCCGTGGGAGCTTAACCCTGGCGATGGTGCATTCTACGGGCCTAAGATCGACGTCACCATCAGCGATGCCCTGAAGCGAGAGTTTCAATGTGCCACCATTCAGCTTGATTTCCAATTACCGCAGCAATTCAACCTCGAATTCCGTACCGACGAGCAGGCTGGACCTGTAGCCAAAGATGCCGACAAAGCGGCACCGAAAGATGCTGAGAAGGCGGCGCCAAAGGATGCTGCCGCCAAAGAGCTTCCTATCCGCAGCGCGGCGCCAGCTGCGGCCGCCCCAACCGCTGCACCTGAGACCGCTGCTGCGTCTGCTGACGATAAGAAGGAAAAGGAGATCGACTACCGTCGGGAGCTCACCCCCGGCTGTGCTCGCCCTGTCATGATCCACCGTGCTATCTACGGATCGTTCGAGCGCTTCATTGCCATTCTCACCGAGCATTTCGCCGGAAAGTGGCCCTTCTGGATGTCACCGCGTCAAATCCTGATCGTACCTGTCATGCCTTCCGTCAACGACTACGTCCTGGAGCTACAGACGCTCTTCCGCGCTCAGCGCATGCATGTCGACGTCGACCTCTCCGGAAACACCATGCAGAAGAAGATCCGCACGGGTCAGCTGCAGCAGTACAACTTCATTTTCGTCGTTGGCGCGCAGGAGCGGGATTCTCGCAGTGTCAACATCCGGAATCGTGACGACTTGTCCACTCAGAAGATGGGCGAGCTTATCCCTGTGGACCGCGCGCTGGAGCTGCTCACTAAGCTGCGAGACGAGAGGAGGTTAAGCAGCGCACTCCAGGCGAAGCCAGAAGAGGAGGTCAAGGTCGAAGCGGGCCAAGCAGCGCCTGCTGATGTTGTTGACGCGAAATAAGGCGTCTATTTTGTTGTGGACGTTGCTCCTCGCCATGGGTGTGCGTTTGTAGAAGTAGTGGTGTAGTCTCAGCCTGTTGTTCGAAGCCAAAATGCTCTAGGGTTGTGTCTGGGGTTGGGGTAGAGGCAACCCTTAATGGAGAGTCTCAAACATGTTGATCTTTCGCGAACTTGATGTCCACAAGACGTTTGATCAACGTATGAGGCGAGCTTTTGCGTGTTCCGACGTCTTCTCGCTTCGCGGAGAATCGGAACTGGTTGCTGCCGCCCTCTGACCTTGAGGCTTTAAACCATATCCCGCGGTTCGCTGGATGTTGACTCTGCAGAGTGCGGAAAGTACGATGCTTCCAAACCGTCATAAAATGTGCGCATTCGGCGGTATTCAGCTCATCTGTGGTAATAATGCATGATTAGTGTCGTCTGAGACGAAGGTGATCGGCAAACGACTGGTTGTCCGTCACATATTCGTCAACCAGCTTGTGAACGAAAGAGGGCATACGGACCGCTAAACGATCACGCGATGCTGTTGCAACCAGCTCACAAATATTGTACGCATGTTACAGCGGGAACACAGCTTCTGATGTCGATCATGTAATACGAACAACGAAATCTTAATCAAAACCCCCTGAGCTCATAGCTGCTGCTGAGTTGACTGACCCATCGCTATTTTGAACATCTAACTATTGGATCATAATCGTGTCAGACTTCCCCAGAAGGCACACGACATGCCTGGCAGACGACCAGTCAGTACAAACGACATCGAGGCCATTCGGCAGATTTTGTCAAATACGCAAACCAGGATAATCACCCCGTCAGACCAAGACTATGCAGACTCGATTCATTCCTGGTCGCGAGCGGCGGAAAAGCCATCTGGAGTTAGCATCCTGCCAGCATCGGTCGAAGATGTATCGAAAGTAGTCAGGTATGCCAACGACAATGGCATTGATCTCGCGGTCAAAGGTGGTGGTCACTCCACCTCTGGTGCAAGTAGCACCGATGGTGGTATCTTGATCAACCTCAAGTCAATGCGCAAGGTCACAATCGATCCCTCGTCGCGCCACATCTTCGTCCAAGGCGGATGTCTGTGGATGGATGTCGACGCTGCCGCCTGGGAACACGGCCTCGCCACCGTCGGCGGGACAGTCGCCGACACCGGCGTGGGTGGCCTGGCGCTCGGGGGAGGATACGGTCATCTGACCGGGAAGCATGGCCTGGTCATTGACAACATCGTCCAGGTGACGGTGGTCGTGGCGAATGGCGAGATCCTCACAGCCAACAAGCAGGAGAATGCCGAGCTCTTCTGGGGCCTCCTCGGTGCCGGACAGAATTTCGGCGTGGCGACCGAGTTTGTGTTCCAGGGCTACCCACAGGGCGACATTTACGCTGGGACTCTTGCGTACGCAGCCACGAAGGAAAATATCGAGGCGGTCGTGGCAGCTGCCAACGAGCTGTACGAGGTGAATCTCGAAGCGGAGGGAGGTCCAAGGGCAAAGTCCAGAGGACAAACTGGCACTCTGATTGCTCTCGTCAAGTCTCCCGACGGCAGTGGTCAGACCCTCCTGCTCCTGATGGTCTCGTGTGTTGCCGCCGGAGCCGAGGCCACCGGGAAACAACTGTTTGCGCCGTTCTTCGCACTGAATCCACTTCTGAACGATGTCGCTGTGCGTCCCTATCCTCACGTCAACAATCTCGTTCCCAACCTACAAGGCATGCGTTGTAGTCTCAAGGGCGCTGCGACGATCCTCCCTCTGCGAGCTGATTTCGTCGGTCAAGTCCGCGCGAAATTCGACGAGTTCGTGGAGAGCACTCCGGACGCCAAGGGATCTCTGATTGCATTCGAGATGTACGATGCCTGTGCGGTGATGGCGCGCCAGGACAACGGCAGCTTCGCAAATCGCGGGTGGCATCTCAATGCATTAATCTCGCCGCAATGGGAGAAGGCAGAAAACGATACAGTCTGCCGACAATGGGCGCGCGATATCGCTGGGCTGTTCAGGGAGGAGCTAGAAAGTAAGGGCGTGAATGTGGGTAGCAAGGACGGCGTGGAGGGAGGCGTGGGAGCGCGAGGTGAGAAGGGAGCGGTATTGCTATATGGCAACTACGATCTCGACGAGGTCTCGAGGGACGTGTTCGGAGCGAACTATGCTCGCTTGCAGGCGATCAAAGCGAGATATGATCCTGGCAACCTGTTTGATAAGTTGTTTGCCGTTCAGCCTCTTGTCACTTGATGTAGCCACGTAGAATATTCGTCAATTCGTACAGTGCGAGTGGCCATAATATGAACATTTCATTTTAAATAAACGCCCTCGTGATATGCATTAGCGTTTCGTCATGAACTCAATCCCGGAAGCATTTCAGACCCAATCAACGCCGTCTTTACCGTTCAACCATGCTGAGAATTTGCACACGATTCGCATTTCCGTCAATGGGCCTCCTTGGCATTGCTCGCTCTTTCCTTTTCCTGCCTACCTCCACGACGTTTCATACCCTCGAGTTTCTTCACCAACGAGTCATGAAGCTTCTGATGTCCTGCCCAAGATTCTTGCCAACGGCGCAGCCTCAAGCACGCGATGACAGCAGTGCCGACGGAGCGAAGTGTTGGCCGTGATTTCGGAAGTTGTTGTTGTTGTTGTCCCGAGGATATCAATGCGGCAGCAGGTGTCGGGATACCCATGTCAGACAGCAGGCGGAGATCGGCTTGGTTGCTGTTACGCATTTCTCGTTAGTTTCAAAATTCGCAGGTGTGCAGTCAGAGTTCACGGCGATGAATGAGGGAGGAGCAGGAACTTACCAAGCGCTGTACATCTCCACCTGCAGCATGAACCATTTCTTTACGAAGCTTAGATCCGCACGGAACCCCTCTTCTCTGGCGCATCGAGCGCGAAGGTATTGGATTTGTCGGACCAATCCACGCAATTCTCCCTCGTGTCGTTTCTCAAGTGCTTGAATGTGTTGTTGCTGTCGAGCGAGTTCCTCGGTGCTCTTTGCATCGTTGTTGATACTGTTCCTCTGTGTCTTGATCTTGCCTCGCAGCTCGGCCTCTCGGGCGAGCGAAGCAGATAGTCTCGCTTCTCTCTCGCCAAGCTGTGCCTGAAGCGCCTGTAACTCAAGATCCGCATCGTCGAGTTGCGCGAGGAGATCCTGACGTTCGAAGCGAAGCGTGTCGTCGGCTGCTGCAGTGGACGATGCAGTCGTCTGCACCTTTCGGAGACGGGCACGAAGCTCTGTTTCCTTACGCATAGCAGCCTCGAGCAGGCCGTCCTTCTCCGTGATATCAAGTTGAAGGCGTTCCAGGTCTGCGGACGCGATGCGCAATTGTCCGCGTAATTCAGCTTCGCGACGAGCATGACCGGTAGCACTGCCAGTGCGATCCTGAACCTGGTTTTCGAGATCTGTGAGACGGGCTTGGGCATCGCTGAGAGTCTTAGATTGCGCGCGCAGTTTTCGCTCTTTGTCCAAAGATTCCCTCAAGCGGGCCTCGAGATCCAGAACTTGCGACTGCAAGTCTTCAACGTCAGCGAGCGCGACATCAAGTTGTTCCTGCACTAGGCTACTGCTTTCTTTCCGTGTGCTGCTCTTTGCTTGTACAGCTGCGAGGCGATCTCGACGATCGAGTTCGATTTGTAGTTGCTCGGCTTCAATCTTGGATTTCTTGAGTAGTTCATGAAGATCGGAGCGTTCTGCCGCGATGGTCTTTTCCTGCTGGAGATACTCTAGCTCACTCTGTAGCGTCTCAACCTTGTCCTGCAGGCTCGCCAATTTCCTTTCTGACTCACGTAATTTTTGTCGCAGGTCGTTTCGTTCGCGGATCGGCGTGCCGCTTGTCTTCGCCGCGACGGCCTCGTTGAGTTCTGTTTCGAGGCGTTCGATTTGTGATTTTTGAGCATCTCGTTCACTCTCCACCGCCACCAACTTGTGCCGAAGCTCATTGCGCTCACGCACTGGAGTTCCATTCTCCTTGAAACGCCTAGCAGCCTGAGATTCTGTCTCAAGCTCACGCACACGCGAGTGCAATACGCCGTTGGCCGCCTGGAGGTCTTCTAAATTGGTCTCTAGAACAAGAATCTCATCCTCGAGCCCTTGCTGGGCTTCCATATGTTTCTGCTCCAACGAGGCTTGCAAGGTCGCGAGTTGTTGGCGCGCACTTTCCGCATCGCCCTGACCACTCAAACGTGCCAAGTTGAGCTCTTGTTCGAGTTGCTTGACATCCCGCTGTCGCTGCTCGACAGCTTCTCGGAGCCTGACTTGAAGTTGATCCAGTTCGCTTTCCAGCGCCCGTATCTGGCCTCGAGAGGTCGTCAGCTCCCGATCCTGGCGATCCAAAAGATTCTGATCGCGGCCATTAGCCTCGACGCGCTCGCGGAGATTCTCGAGTTTATGTTTGAGGGCTGCATTCTCGTTCTCAGTGCTTTGCAACTGGGCATCGAGTTCGTCCAGTTCAGCTTCCTTCTCCAGCTCAAGCTTTTGCATCTGTTGCTGCAATTTGCGGACCTCATCTGCCTGCTGCTTAATGAGACTGTCCTTCTTGGAGGGCGTCTCCATGGCCCCAAGGCGAGATTTGAGGCTGGTGAGATGCTGGCTCTGATCTTGAACCTCGCGGTCACGAGTCTTCAGCTGAGCCTGCAGCGTTTGGACTAACTCCTCTTGTCTGCGAAGTTGAGACTTGTCACTAGAAGTCATTGTTTCCATGCGATTCTGAAGTGTTTGGAGTTCCATTTCGCGGGCCTCAATCAGCCCATCTTTTTCTTTGAGCTTGGCTTGAGTACTGGTAGTTAGGGAATTGAGCTTCTCTTTTGTGTCGCTCAGTTGTTGCTCCAAGTCGCGTGCAGTCTGTGACCGCCCGCGCGATGCCTCATCTCGCTCTGACTCGGCAGCACGAAGCTTCCGATGTAGATCTGCTAGTTCGTCGTCGCGCTCTTCGATAATGCGGATCTTATCGCGAAGTTGGCTGTCTCTGTCTCGGATGGCAAGGTCTTTCTCGTTCAGGCGTGCGTCCGTCTGCTGCGCCTCGGCGTCCCAGCTACCTCGTGCAGTGCTCAGGCGATCCTGAAGAGCTCTTATCTCTCCATCCTTGTCTGCGAGCTCACGTTGCGCCATACGGAGCTCGTCACCGCGTTGTCGCAATTCAGCGGCATGAGTCTCCGTTGTAGATTGCATGCGTTTCTCGTACGCACGCATCTGCTCCTTGAACTCATCCAAGGCCAGCACTCTGTCACGCAATTGATTCTCGAGCTCAGAAACATCGGCGCGAAGCTTCTTCGACGACTGCTCCTTGTCATCACCGTTTCGGATGCGCTCCTGCAGCTCAGTGATTTGTGATTCCTTGGCCTTGATTTCGTCATCTCTTGCCTTAGCCTCGGCTTCCAGATCGTCAATGTCCTGTTGCATCTGCTCAACATGCTCAGCAGTCTCTTGAGCGGCTCGAAACTTGGCCTCGAGATCTTCCATCTTCTCTTCCTGCTCCTCCAACTTTCTCTCCCGTTCCCGGAGCTCTGCCTGCAAATCATCCATATCCTCTTTCAACTGAGCAACATCATCAAAATCGTTTCCGCCGCCTTCTTCGGCGCGTTGAAGGCTCTCCTTGAGCTCGATTAGCTGTTCATCTCGCTCCTCCACTTGACGCTCTCGATCGCGGAGGTCAGCTTCGAGGTCCAGTATTTCATCTCGTAGTTGTTGCAATTTGTCGTCATTGACTTGTGACCTCTCTGCCAATTCCAGTTTCTCACGGATACCTTCAAGTTCCTGCTCACGCTCATCTGCAATCTTTTGACTCTCCTCTGCAAGTTTCTGCAAGCGGTCGAACTCTTCTTGGTCACGTTCGCTTCCGTGTCGCTTCTTAACCTTCTCCTGGTATTCCTTCAAATGCATGCGATATTCCTCCAACTGGTATTCGGCCTCTTGTAGACGCTTGCGCTGTCGCTTGAGATCGATTTCTAGCTCCGCTTTGTTCGTCTTAAGATCCACATTCTCTTTGAGCGTATTTTGATGGAACTCGTTTCCAGACTTTCGCAGCGCCTCTTCCAGGTAGTAGATTTTCAATTTTAGACTGAAATTGTCCTTCTGTATTTGATCGAGCTTAGCCTCCTGGTCCCGCAAAGAGAGCACATTTCCCTGCTCAAGTATCCCTCCTGCGCGATCAGGAAGCTGTGGGATAGGCGTCGAGTCGATCATTGAAGAGCTAACATCTGCCGGTCCCATCATAGTAGTCTCCTTCCCAATCGAGCTGCTGGTGTGATCCGGTTCCAACATCGAACTATTCACAGGTAGACCGGGCGTAGCGCGACTGCCGTAACTCATGCGCAGACCCGCCGGCGTTTTGAGAATGCCAATATTCTCAGAATTTTCCTTCTCCTCTATGAAGCTCTGGTGTATGAGCTGCGTGCGACGGGCACTCTTGAGTAATGGCGTAAATTCTTGCTTTCCAGCCGGGTTGCGCTTGTCCAGCAGCGCATTGCGTGGCCGAGGAGTCCGTGTCGCTTGTGTGTTTCCTCGTAAGCCGCGCATCTGATTGCGCAGGTCCTGCGCCGGGTTCTTCGACGGCGACTGGAATGGCTGTACAAAAGACATGTCGAGGTTGTGTTTCGCGGGACTCAAGTTCGTGACATCCCCTCGCTCGGTCGTCGGTGTGTCGATGTAATTATGCGCCATGATGGGCAGCAACAGTCCCGAGGAGGTACTGAGATTGTAAGTGCATGCAATGTGTGGTGCCTGTGTTGTTGAAGAATAATATTGAAATCGCGTGTGTTATGGCGTACTACGTGTAGCACTTAAGTCACGTAAATGGGCAAGCGTGTTGTCAGATGTAAACATCCGGATTGAGCTCTGGAATTTGACAACGCCACTAGTTGTGGCGCTGTTGCGCCACAACCACGTTATGTTTCTTCACACTCCCGGTATTGCACTTCAACGATTTGCGCTTTCATGAAATGGATCAACAGGAAGATGATGGTCTGAAATGGTTCGGTGAAGGATTTGACGGCTTTCCCAAGAGATTGCCAGACGATTGCGTGGAGTATCAGATTTATCTTGTCGAGACTGAATCAAAATCATTCAGCACTGTTCAATCGAGATTCAACGAGATACTGAAATTTGTCAATGCGCTGAAGAAGAAATATCTGATTGATTACATCTGGCAACGGGATGGATTTAATCTGACACTGAAATCAGGATCAGATGGCCATCATACGCCGACAACAGATGGCGAGAAGCCCCGGTCGCATGTTCCGCCTCATTTACATGGACGCACAAATTTTGGTGACTCAATAGCTGATGAATGGCTCATTGTATTCTTACTGCTAGAAACCAGCAAGAGATTCGAAGATACTTGGATCCGTGTCTACGACACCGATGGGGAATTTCTGCTCATTGAAGCAGCGGCAGCTCTCCCAAAATGGCTCAACCCAGAGATTGCAGAGAATCGTGTCTGGATCAACAAAGGAAACCTGAAACTGATCAAGATTATTTCCAGTGATGTTACAAACAACATCACTCTATCCGATGCTTTGAATACGCTCCAAGAGTCTCCCGGAAACCTCCTGGTCGATGGCACAATTCAATCTGCGGCGTTTGATCGTCTCGAAGATTATCCTGCCGCAATCACAAAATCGTTTCATACATCGCGTACTGTCCTGCCCCGACGGGTAGCGTGGCTGCTGCACCGAAACACTTCTTTCATATCATCTGCCGTAGAAGCCTTCTATCTTCGGGATCCCATCAGCTTAAAGCCGTTGTCTAGCAAAGATTTATCGACCTTATCATTTCCTCCGGAGGACTTTGTCACGGTCAGCGTAAAATACACGAAGGTCGGCTTTGCCCAGCTTCGCGGTCAGATTTTCGCGCCACCGCCGTCATGGGTTGGCCTTGCACCAAGAGTGCAGAGAGACGAAAAGGCAGCCATGGGCATGAAAGTCGCCTGCGGAATGGAAATGCTGGTGTCAGATCCGCAGCGACAAGATGACAAAGCTGTTCGGGAAATCAGAATCCTTATGGAGGATCTCGAATCGGGCGAGGAGAAGCTTCCTGCGGACGACGAGATTCGGACGTGGCAGGATGTCGAAGACGATGAGAGCTGGCTCGATGTGGATTATGCTGAATTCGCGAAGGAACTTGATGGGAAGAATGCAAGCGGTTCAGCCGGGGAACCAAAGGGATTCGGTGACGAATCTGCGCAATCAAACTTGCGTAAGATGGTGTCCCGATTTGAGGAATTCCTGGACGATGACGGAGCAGGCGCGGAGGGTGTGGACGAGATGGACAACGATGATGACAGCAGTGCATCGGACAGCAACGACAGTGATGATAGCCCGAGTGACTGGATTGACGAAGTTGAACATGAAGCACGCCAATCTGAGCCAGTTAACGCGCAGACCGGTGCTGGATCAGCAACTCAAAAGGCTTCATCTGAGCGAGCTGAAAAGCAACCCCATTGGGATTCACATCTTGCAAGCGTCGAATTTGAGAAGGCAATCTCTGATATTCGTGGCATGACTGAAGACGAAATCAAGACAAGTGGACTGCTAGATGAAGCAAGAAAGCTGGCGCTCGAGGACCGCGAATATGAAAAGCAGCACGATGACACCGAGTCTCTCAACGAGGAGGATGGTTTGCAAGAGATCATGGCACTCATGGAGAAAGAAATTCAAGCGCGGAAAGCGCGAGCTACTCAGGAACATGGCAAAAGCAAAGCCACTCAGAAGCCATTTTTCGGCCCTGAACGTCCGCCGCACATGTTGCCAGCGAAAGCCAAAAACCCCGATCGTTCTGTGTCCAAAAGTGTCAGAATCAATGTGCAGCGCACAGAGGACGATTCAGAGGAGGATATTGATCTCCCGCCTCTATCATCAGATGAGGAGGATTATAATGACCTCGATGCACCCGGTCAGGAAGACTACAATCACGTAAATCTCAACCTCGCCAAGAATCTCCTCGAAAGTTTCAAGGGCCAGGCAGGTTTGCCAGGGCCGGCTGGTAACCTCATGCGTGCGATGGGCATGAATGGAATGATGCCTCGAGATGCTGACGATGCTATCGATGCGGAGCGATGAATGACGCGACATGATCAGGAGTATGGATGTTGGACACAAGCTTGCAAGGAGTCTTTGTATTCTCGTTGACATTGGTCGAGCTCACGATTGATGGGGAAGACAGTCATGTCTGGAGATCCATGCAAATCGTTACAGGGACCTCACTCGTTGCAGTCCAGACGGCAGTTCGTACATAAATGGGAGCGTGGTCGAACACCGAATTGCAAAGTCGATACCGAGCTGCCCATGATTCCCTTGGGGTATCTGATTGAAACAGGTGAAGGCTTCATTGTGTACACGGCTCTAGGCTTCCTCGTTGAACGCAGACGTGTTCGAGTACTATGCTATGCCGTCGGTCAGTACGACGAATGCTCTCCTGTTATTTGCGAGGTGAGAGTCGACTCCTCGGCGGAGATTATGAGGATGAAAGACGGGTCATTTAAGCCGGACACTGATGAACCCGAAAGGTAGATTCTGCAAGGGCGCAGGTGCAATAATGTACAACCGCTGTGTATCAGCCGGAGGGCACGCTGCGAAGAAAATCTAGGTACAAGGTCCCATGTGCGTTCAGGACTGCCACCCGTGAGTGGTGCCTTGCTGTTGCAAATCCACATAAGAGAGCATTGTGTTCGCCTTGGACTGAAGTGTCGGTATGATGACGATTACTTGTATATACCTGGACGCCCGAATGTCGATACCTACTGTACCTGGATTGGCTCGTGCGGCGGGCGGAAGAACCGTGCTCAACCTTTCCGAACGGATTTCCTCCGTTTTCCCCTGAGCCCTGCGGGCCAAGCCTGTGATTACGCGGTCTTGCCTGGCTGACGCACCCAGGATCGGAGTTCACCAAACCTGAGGGCTAACGTCAATAAGAACGGAAAGAGACGTTCCATCATGACCACATATGAGCTACTGTGTCTTGCCGCGGGAGATCAAAGTCGACAAAGACGTGAATCTTGGAATCAAATTGTCACCTTCCAAATAATGTGGATAGTGTCGACATGGAGAAGATCATGACGTGATCGTCGACGGCGCAGTCTCTGACATTCCTTAAAATCATCTCAAAAAGGCCAGATAATGTTATGTAGCGTGAACGACGTGTCTAGACGCAGCGACGCATCATCCAATTCGGCGGCACACGCCAGACGCGTTGCCCAATTTGTCAAGATGAACGTTGTGGGTCAAAAAACCTTGAAATTGACCGTTCCTATTAGGCACGCATCCAGAACGACGTTGTGCTTTGACAGTGTTCCAGGACAAGCCAGTACACAGTTCTGCTGAGTGGTCAGAGGTCGAGATGACGATGGCTCAGTAGCGTATGAACGCAGGTCGAGCGCCGTGAGACCGAAGTCCATGATCGCAATACTGCCGGATACTGGCGGCGGAATTCTGGGAGGACGATATAGGATATATGGACAACTGGATTGGTGGCGCTCAACGAGCGAGGATAGTCAGCCCAGCAAACGCCCCCTGTTTTCCCTTTTCGTGAACAGCGCGGCAGCTTGCTGGGATGTGCGCCCGGCGTATGTCACTAGGTGAACAGTCTTAACACACGCGAGGACACCTGCGTATCGCAACGAAATTTTCGACCTGCATCCGACTGCGAAAGCGAGAGGTCATGCATAATTTATGTCATCAAGCAGGGAAAGCGAGGACGATGCTCTGAATGTTCTGTGTGTGCAAATGGTTGAAGCTGCATGTCGATGGTAGTTTGATGCCCAGACCAACAATAACAGTCCCCGGATCCATCGTGCGCAGCACCCGGACACGTCGGAATTGGCTACGAGGCTGCCGAGAATAGTTCCCAGCATCGTACAGCATGACGAATTTGGTAGGGGTCAAGTCGTCGAACAATTCAACTTCCAGGCTGATGACATCTCTGCCGCGGTAGAGGTTCAGGAAATGCTCAGTGGGGAAAAAGGCTGAGACAGCCACCTCTTGCTGCGAGTGACGACCTTGGAACCTACGGCCTTTCTCCTGATGATTAGTGCCCGAGGCTACTGCCAGGTACCACCTGGGCTAGAGGAGGAAGACTTCCTCATCCGCCTGCAGGTGCAGGTATGTACACGCTACTTTTGCTGCACACACGACACAATCGTTTCATGTCGTGTGCTCATGTTGAATAACGAGGGACCGACGCACTGTACACGCAGCACAGCGTCCAACTCTCTGCTTCGCCAGGTGACTGTAGGAGTGACTTACCACAGATAATCGAGGCAGAAACAGGTGCGACCGGTGTAAACTTTTAGATTCGTTGGTGTCGCCGCGCGGCTGAAAGGCAACGAGCGATTCCATCTGTCTGTGCCTGCCTGCAGTGGGCTTGAGACAAGGTGTGCAATGTACTGGAGGTAGATTGCCCTGCACAATCCGAGCCGTGCTGTCTCGACTATCTATTCATACTCCTGCTAGAAGCCCTTCCAAGTGTGCTGCTACTATACTGTACTGCCCTGGATTCCCGAAGGTCGTATGTCTTGTTCCTGGAGGAGTTTAGAGAAAGGGAGGGACAAGTGTATTACTCAGTAGTACCGCCGCCAGATTGGTGCGGTGCCCCCAGGTGGTTTCGTTTCAACTCGACGGGGGTCCGTGCCCTCACACGATCACGTCGACTGCGCGACCGGCGACCCGCTCACTAAAACAAATAGATCATTTTAGTGCCAATTTCCAGTGCGAATAGGTTCATCCCATACATTACTTCACCCCTCTCGCCGCCCATACAGCAGCAGTATCACGCGCAGACATGTAGTGACAATCTCGACGACCTGATATTGAGATGTGCGCCAAAGGAGATGCACGGAACACACTGCACACGTACAGTATGGGATAACGTAGTGACCGGGGCAACCCATTCTTCGTCTCCCTCGTTCATCATCCATCCAGAACGCACCTCAGGCAGGAGGACCCGCGGCCGACTGATCGCTAGCCCGGTCTGATCCCCTGTGCCTGGTTTGGGTCGGCCATCCCTCCAGTTTTGTTTGCTTTGGATGAAACGCCCGCGGGTGTGGGTGTGTGTCCTCCCTCCAGGGCTGCATAGTACACCTGCACTGGACTGGACTGGACTCTGTGCTGTGCTGCAGTGTGTGCGTGCGTGTCTGTATATGCACGCAGCAGCAGCCTTCGCGTCTCACTCATTCTCTCTCTCGCTCATCTCTCCCTCTCTCTCTGCCTCGTCGCTCGCCCTTCTCCCCCAACAACCCAGCGACCACCCACAGACACTCCTACACGCACTCTATCCGATCAACGGCTCATCAGCCGGTTCCCTTCGTTTCGCACGACTCTTGGTTTTCCATCATCGTCTTCAACATCATACATTCTCTCGCTCGTGCACACACGCGCCCTATCACGTTCCTTGACACTTCGCATCTTCGACTTGCTTCTTCTCGCCCGACTTCATTTTGATCGACTCCATCTGGTTGTTACGTCTCCATCTTGCGAGTGCTTTTGCGAGCCCGATTGTCGCCTTGCCAACACCTCCGACACCGAACAACGGTACTGCTTGACACATCACGACTCACTTCACCCAGCCACCGGTCTTGTAGGCCTCGGACACTCGTTCTCGCCGAAAATTGGATCATTGAGGGCGATATTTTGGACACAAACACATTCGTTGGTCATCCTAGACCGTGTACGCATCGTCGGAGAAGACTTTGCACTTTAATTACGACACCGAAGGTGCCCCACGGTCATCTCGAAGTGTCTCTCTGGACCATTTCCTTCGTCAGTTTTGCTCACTACGCGTTGCGCTGCTGGCGGCCGCAAACGAAGGTGGGTTTATGTCACTTTCATCCGTGGCATCACGACTCCGGGCGTCGTGCATGCTCCCACAGCCATCACCCAATAGCGCTGCGGGCCTGGTATGCTAACTTTGCTGTGTGTACAGCGCTTTGAATTGGATCCTAGAATTGCCACTTTCGACCACCTTTGATTGCTCTTTTTCAACTTCGCTCCAGAATGCATTTTACCACACGAACAGCCTTCGCGGCTCACGCCCTTGCTGTCGTCTCACTTCTGTCCATAACCGCCTCGGCTGCACCGTCATTCGACGACTCCCCTTCGAAATCCAGCACATTGGGAAAGAGGGATGCCTTGTCCCCTGTTGGCTGCTACTCATCTAGTGAGGGTTTGACCGAGGGGGGGACATATCTCTATCAATCATCCAGCTACTGTGCGCAGTCAATATGTACAGGGCAGCAGTCCGTCATGGGCCTCACGAACGGCAATGACTGCTGGTGTGGTAACGAATTACCTCCGGCCAGCAGCAAGGTTGACGATGCCAAGTGCAATATCGGATGCACAGGATTTGGCACAGCGAAGTGTGAGTATCCTGCGGGAATCGCAAAGTTGTAGCATCGATCACGATGAGCTAATACGTGTGTTCTAGGTGGTGGCAAGGGCTACTTCTCCGTGCTTCTCACGGGTAATGGTCAAGTCGAGGGGGCACAAGACGCAGCAAGTTCATCTTCAAGCTCATCGCCGACCTCTACTCAGCCAGTGCAGATTGTCGTGACCAGCGTTGCGCCTGGCCAGACCGTTGTGGTCACACAGCCCGCCAATGGATCAAGCCCTGCCTCGCACAGTTCTGGCGGTGGAACCAACACAGCCGGTATCGCGGCAGGTGTTGTCGTGGGCATCGTTGTTCTCGCAGCCATCATCGGCGGTGTCTTTTTCTACCTCCGACGGCGCCGTCAATTGGCTGTTGAGGAGGAGCACCGCCAGCGCAGCCAAGTGTCAGATTTCATAGCCGGTGGAGAACGCAAACCTCTCGGCTCCATGTACAGCCACGGCAGCGATGCTCGATTAGACCCCGAGGCCAACGCGCTGAGGAGAAACAGTGTCGGAAGTTTCATGGCAGATGACAGCCAGGACTACTCGAGAAAGATTCTTAGGGTGAGTGATGCCACTGGCGTCCAGTCTCCGAAGCAATAACACTGACCATCGCTTCTCTAGGTTGCCAATCCTGACTCCAGCTAGATTAATCTCGCAACGACCAGGTTCTAAAACTGCGGCGAGGCATGCAAACCTTCATGAAATCGCCGTCAATCTCGTTGTCAACTGTCGCATTGGCTCCCTTCGTTGTACACTCTTGCCCGGGTTGGCAGCCACTCATTCCTAGAAAGGATATGACCCACACGTCTGAATGGTTGTTCTGTTTTGCTCCTACTTTTGAAAAACCAGCATCGTCGCAATGCTGTCGACACTCCTTCAAATCCGTAACGAATAAAGAAAGACTTTCGCTTTTTATCCGACGTTCTTTTTTGCTTTCGACATCGCCCTCATTTCATCTCTTCCTCTGCCCATGGATACGATCTACACTGCCTGTGGTTCGCGGGTACACAGAAGCATGGCATGCAGCTTTCGAGGGGCGCTTCGATTCATCCTTGGCACACCCTTCGCTGCATAAGGATGAATACCGGCGCCCTCGATCAGCAGTCATCATCATGGCCCATGTATATGCGTGCAGGAAAAAGGGACTGTTCCTTGTGCTGTGCCATCACTGCCATGCGACTATGGCTTAGAGCACAAAGGGGAAGGGTGGGATGAGGGAGTTTCTTCTTCAGGTTCAGGGTTTTGGGTCGGTCGGGTAGTGAGAAAAGGAGTGACCGGGGCACTATAGGACAATAGGAAATCGGACTCGTTTCGAAATCTGAACTATCTCGTGATTGCATTTTTTCCTTTCAGTGCAACACTCGTGCACGACTAGGCCTTCTGATGTGAGCGAGTCGTCCCAATAAGGGTTTGGGGGGGTTTCTGGACGATCGCAAGTGAAGGTCTTTTGGCCAGTTCTCCCATCGAAGTTGCGTGATGCTTGATATACAGCAGACACCAGGAAATTAGATGTGCCTCACAGCATGGCCTCGGGCTTCTAGAACGTGTCGACCGCGGTCGATAGACGGCGCTTGACAGGACTTCCGACCCAGACGATGGAATTCCTATTCTACTGTATGATCCACCGAATGAGAAAAGCTGCGAGCACAACGTACTGACACTCAGCCTGGCCTATGCAATCTCTCTACTCTCAAACAACAGGGCGAAGGAGGCAACGTCCTGTCGAGGCAAATGTCGCGTGCTGGAGGCAATGCGCGAGTTCGATTCAGCCATCTTGGTCCATCTACATATTTGTATTGCGGGGACGATTGTCGTGGAATCTGTACAATGTAAGGGTGCATCACCATGGTCCCCGAGCATTTCAGTCGGGTGCTGGTCAGCAGGACAGTGACGCCATCTTCAAGCGACGTACACTTCGAATCTATCATTGCAATCAGCGCTCAAGATCGTGGGCAGAGCGCCGTGCATTCCGTTTCTGCGGCCCTCCTCGCTCACTCGATGGTAGTGTACTTTTGTCTCATGGCCGAACATTCGGGTATCTGGTTGAAGACTAGTTCGGTGGAGTAGCAGACCATCTCTCGTTCTCCGAGCGGAGTTCGACAAGCATTCTGTGAAGCTTATCGACGGATCTTGAGAACACTCATCGTTGAAACATTGCTGATCGACCTTGAGCAAGTGTAATATTGCAACATCGTAGGCTTACAAAATAAATTCATAGGCTGGTGTGAATCTGCACAATAATGTGTCATGATCGGACTGCACGATCTTCACCCAAAAAACTCCCCAAACTCCTAGCTATTTACGAGTATTGTCCTGCGGCGGACTCTATTTCGATACTGCTTCCGGTACGACAGCGTATGTTGGACGAACAAATCTGTAGCAAAGTTGTTAGTGTCTGCTTGCCACGGGGTCTTCGCCTGAGCAACATACCGGTCGCCGTGGTATACGGGGTGTTCCTTTCCGAGCAATTCCTTCTCCATTGTCTGACGAGCGAAGTGTCTCCTGACAGCATCTCGGTCTTCCTCAGCCTGTAGCAGGGGAGTGAGATAGATGCGCGCCCACATCTTTTCGCGCGCAAGCTCGCTGTACACAACATGTTAGTATCCGTCCATGCTGATCCTGAAATTTCAGAGAGTGTCCTACTTGTGCTCGCGGACACCTTGGCCGTATCGCCAGAAGCCGTAGGTCATGATGCCGCCCATAGCCAATAGGTAGTACGCCGGTCGGAAGCCTCGTACAGGCAAGTTTCGGCGGTATTGAACGGATTCATAGCCGCCAGTAGGCGGCATATCTTGAGGCATGATTGCGAGCGGTCCTGTTCGAAGTTGGAATGTTGTTGAATTATTGTACCTCTACTACGCTACACTTCAATGCTAGGTAGCAGTACATGTTGTCGACGAGCATCGCAATGCCGGTCTTGGCGCATGGTCCAAGCGCCCGAGCTTTTCTTCGAATTTGCGTCGGAGCTCCAAAGATTTCATTTGACGAATGCGCGTTCGTACTATGCACCGACGATAGTACGGCAGCACATACGGAAATCACAAATCGAAACACTCGCAATCTGCACTGCGCTTTCAGCGCAATCCTTGACCCATCATGTCGACCGTCAACTATTTGCTGCACGAATCCAGTGTGGGCTATGCAGTTTTCACGGTCAAGCTGCAGTCCGACACCGTCGGTGCTCGTCTGAAGGAGGTGCAAGACTCCCATGCCGACCTTGCAAAGTTTGGAAAGATGGTCCAGTTGGTCTCATTTGCACCATTTCAAGGCGCCAGCCAGGCTTTGGAAAACGCCAATGAGGTCTCCGAAGGTCTTATGAGCGACTACTTGCGCACTGTATTGGAAGCCAACCTGCCCAAAGCAGGCAAGAAGAGCAAGGTCATCTTGGGAGTAGGCGACAAGAACTTGGCAGGAAGCATCAAAGCAGGGTTTTCCGGCATTGATTGTGAGACTCCGGAGACCAGCGAGCTTGCAGGCGATCTCCTCCGTGGTCTTCGTCTTCACGCAGAAAAGTTGCTCAAGGGTCTTCAGACTGGAGATATTTCTCGTGCTCAGCTCGGTCTCGGCCACGCGTACAGTCGTGCCAAGGTCAAGTTCAGCGTGCAGAAAAACGACAACCATATCATCCAGGCGATTGCAACCATTGACCATCTGGACAAGGCCGTCAACACCTTTTCCATGAGAGTCCGCGAGTGGTACGGATGGCATTTCCCCGAATTGGTCCGCATTGTCAGCGACAACCAGCAATACGCAAAATGCGCTCTTTTCATCGGCGACAAGAAATCGCTTACCGAAGACAGCCTGCACGATTTGGCACGCATTGTTGAGGATGACGAGACGATCGCCCGTGCCATCATCGAAGCTGCTCGTATCTCTATGGGTCAAGACTTGACCGAGAATGACATGGAGAACGTCATGCTCTTCGCCAAGCGCACTGCTGAGCTAGCCGCTTACCGCAAAACCCTCGGGAGCTATCTTGTCGCGAAGATGGGCATTGTCGCTCCCAATCTTGCCGCACTCATTGGCGAGACTGTCGGTGCCCGTCTCATTTCACACGCTGGCTCCCTGACCAACCTCGCCAAATACCCTGCTTCGACCGTGCAGATTCTTGGAGCAGAGAAGGCGCTCTTCCGCGCATTGAAGACCAAAGGCAACACACCCAAATATGGTCTCATCTACCACTCCTCGTTCATCGGACGAGCTGGAGCAAAGAACAAGGGAAGAATCTCTCGATTCTTGGCCAACAAAGCGTCCATTGCTTCACGAATCGACAACTTTAGCACGCAGCCTACACGGAGGTTTGGTGAAGCTCTGCGCAACCAAGTTGAGGAGAGGTTAAGATTTTACGATGAGGGAGTCAACCCCACAAAGAACGCAGATGCGATGGTATGTCCTCTATTGCCACTCGATCATCAACGAGATACTAATTGAAATGCTAGACACGAGCCATGGACCTTACTCTTGCAGACATCAACATCGAAGACCCTACAGCCGATGGCGCGGACGAGGAGATCTCCGCACCCGGTGTCACTGCTAAGGCGGTTGAGCAAAAGCAACGCAAGGAGAAGAAGAGCAAGAGCTCAAAGTCCGCCGACGTTGAGATGGTCGATGCCGACGACGAGGAGGCTGCCAAAGCCGCGAAGAAGGCCGCGAAGAAAGCGAAGAGGCTCTCCTCTTCTGCCGACGCAGTCGATGAGGACGCCGTAAAGGCTAAGCTCAAGAAGGACGCCAAGGAGAAGCGCAAGTCAGAGGTGCTGGCAAGCGGCGAGGTGCCTGACGACCAGATCAAGAAGAAGAAGAAGAAGAGCAAGTCGGAGTAGAGCTTTCTTGTAATTTCTGGTCTGGCATGGTGGCGATTCTTTCTTCAAGGTAATCGCAGCGGCGTTTCGAGGCGTTTATTGGGTAGGCATGTTGCCAATGGGCTCACTTGCGTGTCAACAGAATTATGTACAGTCAATCTCATGTATGCGATCGTTGAAAACTGCCAGTTTGCATTTCTACCTAGCAAGAACATCGTCTACGATACAAGTAGTGTTCATTCTGGTGCCGATTTTGGTCATGACAAAATTTTCGTTAAATCTAGGTTCAAAGTCTTCAAAAGACCAATTCTTCCAGCGCTACTAGTACATATAGAATTATCGGTGGGTATCGTATTCATGTCAATCGCTTGCTCAGACTGACGGGCCAGCCGTCTTCGTCTGTGACTGGGACAAAGTCGCCTGCTCGTATAGCTGGGTGCTTCATCGAGTATAGGCTTTGTTGAGATCCGGAATTCTCTCAGTCATCAGACAAATGCCGAGGGCCGTAATCCTTTCGTGATGGGCAATTCTCTCGGGATGGTCAATGCCGCCAACTTGTTGTCGACGAGGACGACGTCGAGTATTCGCAACCTCACGCGGTCGCGCAAATTCCCGATTCGACTGGACCATAGACACTTCTTGCACAGTTTGTCGTCCTGTTACGGGAAGGATAGACTCGGTGTTGCGTGGATGCGCGACAAGAGGAAGTCGCAAGTTGGGCGCCTGCCTTCCCGGGCGTGTAACGTCTCTGAGTATAACACAGCAAAGCCGACGCTTCGTGTGAATCTTGGCGATTGGCATTTGGCGGAACAGCGAGCTCGTTCAACGGCTTGTCCTTTGATCTCGGTGTCGGGCCAGGTGCAGATTCGTTGTTGAAATGCTCCTTGTTCTATCGATTGTGCACAGCTCGATTTCAGGCCGGCTCTTTAGTGGGCACACTCAACATCTCGTAGGTCCCAGCGCCATCCTTCCCGCGTCCTCTTCCACTGCCCATTTCAAAACCAACCCCCTCCCCAGTTTCGCCGGTGACACCATTTGTCCCTTGAGAGGCAGCACTTTTGCCCTTGCCCTTTCCTCCAAAGGCCATCGGCCGAAGCTCGCGCCACTGACAAGCCCAAACTCCGAGAGTAACCATAAGAGTAGAGGAAGCGGCTTGCAATAGCCACCAAGAGAGTGCTGTCGGGATCGCTCGAACGTAAAGGGTGGTGAAGATGAGGTGTAGGAAGTGTATCGTCAGGGCGAAGTCCAGGACTAATTTACTTCGAGCAATAAGAAGGAGAATCGGAATGACTCTGTGAATAACAGCATATGTCAGCCATTGATACCGGTTTGCGGATCGATCAATTTGCGGAGAGCTTGAGGTCTTACGTGATGAGCGCGTCGAGCATCCAGCAAAGGGCCAATGTCCATCCGGTTGTTACATCGCTGCGCACAAGGCGCCAGTCGAAGACGCGACCTGCGCTGATGTCCCCGCCTGCGGTAAGAGTGACGAACACGATGAGAACCGCTGCGACAAAGTAATAGCTAATCTGAAGGAGTGCGATGTGGGCAAGGATACGAAGAGGCGCAAGATCGGCCAGTGCGCCTGGTCGTGGTTGTCTCCGTCGTCGAGCCATCTCGAATGTTTGCGCCAATAGTGCAGAAATGGAACGCGGATGAACCGTCGTTCAAGTAAGTGTGGTAGCGATACAAGTCATTATTGCGAAGATTATAGATAGTATATGAAGAGGTGTAGAGACATCCGCCGTGATCTCCTGCAAGGCTGCTTCGGCTGGGCGTATGGTTAGTTACCGTGGCTGCATACGGCACCTGAACATACTCGCGCCAGAGGAATGACATAATCATCGTCGTCGGCGCGTGCCGATCCGTGTGTCTGAGAGCTGCAGTTCTCCCATAATTCGACAATACCAGTATCACCATTGGACGAGGTTTCGTCGTCACAACCAGTCCACTCCTTTGCTCCTACAGCTCTCAAACGCCGCATCTCGTCGAAATGGCGCCCGAGGAGGCCTTTGAAGGCCCCTATCAGCCGAAGGATGCCTACGGCAGCGCCGTGAAGTTCGCGACCATCACCGGCGGAGCAGGCGCCTTCATCTCAACAGTTCAGAATACCTTGATGAAGCAGAACATTGGAGCTATGGGTGTATTTACACGTTTTGGCAGCACCACCGCTGTTTTTGGTGCGGGTTTCCCTGCAAACCTGGGCTGTAAATGACCTACTAACGAAGTCACAGCGGCCATGGGGGGTGTTTACGAGTTCGCCAAATGCGCTTCAGCCAACTTGCGAGAGAAGGAGGACACGTACAATTCGACGATTGGTGGTTTCCTGGCGGGTTCAGTAATCGGTCTAAGAGGTGAGGATATGATTGTCAACGGGTATAAGGAACCATGATTAACTAGGTCAACATATCAGTCCGTTCGGCGCCCGCTATCGTGGGATATGGTGCCGCTACCGCGATCGTGCTCAGCGCGTTCTCATACACTGGTGGTCGGCTCGGTGGCTTGGCCCGCGACAAGGATGTTGATGAAGTCAGCCGCAAAGAAGAGATCCGAAAGAATCGGCGACGACCGTTGGAGGAGACCATCAATGAGTTGGGAGAGGGACGAGGTACGTTCGAAATCCTCGTGGGCGATGTCGAAGCTGCCCGAAGGACAAGAGATCCTTGGGTTTTTCGCTGCTTACTAACGCTGTCTCCCGATAGGTATTTACGCCCCTGGATATGCTCAACGGAGAGCTGAGCGTATCAAGGAGAACTACGGTATCGATGTGCCGGAACACTCCAAACTTAGCTCAACGCCGAACTAGAAGCCACCTCGACCGCAAAGGTCACTGTACATATATTTTATGTGTGGATCATGAATTGTCTATTGACATCCAAACTGCACCGATGCATGTCTGATGTAACTCACATCGCCCCCCTTTGCCTCGCAGCCTTCCCGACTTCTAGTCCAGAAAGCGAGGCTTGAACGTTGCGCGATGTGATATCCAGTCAGGAAAGCCGTCGTCGAAGGTTCTCTGGGACACAATGGAGAACGTAGTAGAGCATATGCCTTGGTCGCTTGATATGTTAACCGCCAGCTCTGTGAAGTCTGCTCTCAAACGTGAACGTGTAACCACAGGGTGACGTCGCGCAATTTTGACTGCGGGCCTACTTATTCTTCGAGGCAAGGGCTTATTGAGAGCTTCAGGAATCCTCGGATATGATGCCTCACCATCGAGTTGAGCGGTAAAATGATGAGTAAAGGAGCTGCTAACGGAGAAGAGGCTCGGGCCCAGGCCCTAGTCCATACATGTATGTGTACATGCGGGGAGTCGAGCTTGTTGAAGCTTCGCACGCGACAAACACTCGTCGTTCGTTCGATCAGCAGTAGCACAGCACACGACAGTCCGGATTCTTTGTTATCTGATAGCGCCTCCGACAGTAGCTACGGCGTGAGGTCATCGCCAATAATGGTCGATAATCCGAAGTAAAAGCAATATTCGGTGAGGCTTGCCTCCGAAAATATATCATTTTGCAAAGTCAGAAAATCGCCTCTCCTCTACCAACTGTGACGATAGCGATCCCTTCCAAAACACTGGTGCAATCTCGACAAGGGCCCACACTTCGATTAGCAATGGCAGGATCTACAACGCCAAGTGCAGCCAATGCCAGCGAACAGTTCTTTCATTATTTTCAACATGAGGTTGCTGGTATCTTCTTCACGCATTTTGCCTGTAAATATCTCCAGGAGGCAGGCTGATGGTATTGTTGGCTAGATCTGCGACAAGAGATAGATAAGCTCGAAACTCGCGGTACTTCTGGTGGCGAGCGCCAAGATGCAGTTGACCACTGCTTGTCAAGCATTGCAAGACTTTCGAATGAAGTCAATGACATTTCTTCTTCAACACCGGCCCGCGATCAGAAGACCTACGCTGAGGCTATCAAAGCGTTGAACTCCAGGCTTCAAGACGCGCGGAGTGCGTTCGCGCCTAGACCGAAGTTTGCTTTCAAGTCTGGGCTCAAATTCAGCGAGAAGAAGAATGCGTCAGCCATAAGTCTGACGGATGCTGCGGAATTGTCAGGTCGTCAGCAGCAGCACGTGCCAGAAGGCGTGCAGGACAGTCTTGAAGCCGGTTCGCATGCGCCTGCTCCGCAACGCCACGATACATCGCCGAAAACCGTGGACAGCCTCGAGCCGGCGCTGACAGGCACGACGACGAGAGTCAAACAGCAGCAGCAAAGCCTGCCAAAGGACACCGGAACAGTTGGCAACATATCAGGTTCTTCAAATCATAACAGGCTAGAATTAGCTGGGTACGACAACGCACACTTGACGGTGCCATCAGATGAAGTGCACTCGTCGGGTACTGTCGCAAAGATCAGATCCAGCATCATTGACCTGTCCAAACGAGACCACAAGATTACACAGCCGCTCGCTGCATTGACACTCAAAGACATTCGCAAGTCACTTGTCATCTGCGGTAATGTGGCTGGTGCCATCCACCTTACGGACATACACGATAGCGTGATAGTGCTACAAAGTCGACAATTCCGCATGCACGACTCTACCAATTGTCATATCTATCTTCAGACAAGTTCGAGGCCGATCATAGAGGACTGTAATGGATTAAAGTTTGCTCCGGCGCCTGAATGGTACCTCGACGACGCGAAAACAAACAATACTGGAGAAGCCACCATTGACGGTGGTATGTGGGCCAATGTTGACGATTTCAAATGGCTGAAGCCAGAGCCGAGTCCGAATTGGTCAAGGTTGCCATCAGAGAAAAGAGTGTCTCCAAACTCTTGGGAAACGTTGTTTGCATCGGATGATGAGCCTAGTAAGGTGCTCCAGCGTGTCGGCGTCTCGGTCTGAAAGTTCCACACATGATGAAGTTTCTTGGCTGCAGCATACCAAACGTTCAAAAAAGGAAGTTATTACAAGGGAACATGAAAAGTATTAAGTAACAAGGTTTAAATTCGATTGAACAGCAAATACTGAACCATTGCGAGCTATTTGTCTCAAGGGGCCACCTCTCGACCAGCGTCGATAACAACCCAGGTCCTTGCTGCCATCATGAGTAAGACAATCTGTAACAAGATAGAAAAGACCGGCATCCTTGGAGCGCGGCACAATAGAAGTGAACATGGAAGCATGCTCAAGCCAACAGCGACCATGAATGCTCGACAATCAAAAATGCAACGCCACCAAAACTCCTTGCCGTTTGATCATCAACAGCATGTATAAATGAGCGAAAGCTCGCAAGATTAAAACCGAAACGCTTCTATCCCATGACCGTGAATCAAACGTGAACCAAAAATGACATGGGTCGGAGGTCGCCCTCCGCCATGAAACTGGTAATGCAGTATTATCGCTCCGGATTAAATCGGTCGAGCACAAAAACTGCATAAGTGAGTGAGAGAGAGAATCGATGGATACCCGGAAGTGGCTGAACAAGCTGGTATCCCGTCTGAGAGCCCGCTAACGGTGAAGTGCATGGCCGGCCAAGGCCTTACTTCGCGCATCAGGAGGAAAGAAAAGGGCACGCCGTTGTCTCAGCAGCTTCGGAGCAGTATCGAGTTCGGGGGATGGAGAGGACCGTGGAGAAGATTTGCAAAGGCAGGGCTGGTGATAAGCCAGACTCTATGGCTTCCAGTCTAAGCCTTCTCGGATCAATTTGCCAAGTTCCTGTGCATGAGGCTCCTTCATCATGGTGAAGTGGTGGCCTTCCATGACGCCGAATTTCATGTTCTTAGTGTCACACAGCTGTCCCCAGCCGTTGTCTCCGAAGTCTGTGCGGTTGTTCAGAAGCCAGAGCATGGGCGCGTTGTCTGCATCCGCTGGCTCCACGACAGGTCTCTTGGCACCGGGCGCGCCGCAGACACCATCACGGCACCATACTGCGTATGTGGGCACTGGCGCGATTGTTGGCTTCGGGTCGTAGGCAGACAGGCTGCGGATAGCGGAAGCGAAGTGAGGCAGGAGCCATTTCGGAGTCTTGGAGGGATCGCCGGTGCCGAGGAGACCGATGTCGTTGAAGTAGACGTGGAGTTTGGATGGGAGCGGAGGAAGATCGACGGGACACGGTGAATCAAGGAGGAACAGTTTCGAGACGGTCTCGCCGGCAGCGAGGAGAGCTTGGCAGACGGCGTAGGCAATGACACCACCAGCGGACCAGCCGCCGACGATGTATGGGCCTTGAGGTTGTCGCCGTCTGATCTCAGCAAGATAGATCAATGATACGACCTCAATGCCGCATTGCCACTGTGTGGGATCCTTCATGAATGGACAATTCAGACCGTAGGCGGCAACATCTGGGCCGAGGTTCGGAATGGAAACATATGAGGTGGCCGAGCCAGAGCCATCTGGCAGGAAGAATATTTTCTGGAACGCGATTTTGGCGTTACCCTGAAGTAGCACGGAAGTGGCTGCTGGGTATTTGGTGATGTCGGTTTTGTTGATGGCAGCCAGACGAGCGCTGACCTCATTGAGATCGATCTTCGTTGATGATGACGATGGCTTGGGTGCAGATATCATCTTGAGCGCAGCAGCCTTGGGTCGCATGCCAAGAGCGTTCTCGATATCCTTGATGGTCGGGTTAGTGGTGAGAAAAGTGGAAGGAAGATCGACACCGGTCTTCTCACGAAGCTCGCCAAGAATGGTCAGGCTCATGAGTGAGTCCATGCCCATCTCTGCCAGCTCAGCGTCGTCAGTGATCTCAGAGATGTCGACGCCCATTTCTTGGGCAACCACATGTCGTGCGAGCGAGACGTCACCGACCTCAGAAAGCGTTTCGCGCGTGGGCGAATCGATCTCGGGCTTTCCTGCCTCACTTGGGGCAACACTGATGACGGTGCTAGCAGGCGTGGACATCTGGGTGTAAGGAGTAGCGATATCGGTAGGTGTGACGGAATCATTGTCTGAGTCCTCCTCGGACTCCGAGACACTGCTTGTTTCGATTGAGGCACCGTCAAACTGCGCAAAGTACTTCTTCATATCGCCGACAGTGGGGTAGTCCGTGAAGAGCGAGGAGCTGATCTCCATATCGAGCTCTTCACGGAAGATAGCTGAGATGGTCAGTGACAGAAGAGAATCAACACCTAGGTTCTCGAAGTGTGCGTCGTCGACCAATTCCGCTTCTTCAACTTCAGTCTCCTTGGCAAGGATCTTCATGACCTTGTTTGTTAGACCGTCAGCGGTCTTCTTTGGGGCGGAAGCTGCCTTCTTTGGCTTTGCGGCAATGATTATGGGTGCAGTGGCAGGAACGGCGGCGACCGTTCGAACAGGGGAAAGTGGAGCTGGGGCGAATTTCATCGGAGCCGAAGCCGAAGTTGAAGCGGGAGCACGATATGCTGGCACAGCGACTGCTTTAGGCACAGTCGACTGTGCAGCGGACCCTTTGTTGGGTGGTAGGAAGGTATTTAGAACACGGCGGGGAATCTCTTGAAATTTAATGGCCTCGCACACTGCGATGATCTCGTCTCCTTGCATGATGTAAACGTCACCCATGGAGATCTTGCCAGGCTGCGGCTGCATGCGTACGTAGTTTCGAAGACGCATTCCGGCAACGAGCGGGCGAGAGAACTTCATGGCGCCCCAGCCATGAGAGATGTAGACCGCCTGCTCTGAGTCGAGCAAGTCAGAAGCATTGACGATGAAGCCCGAGATGTGGCAAGCGCCATCAATGTGGTAGGGAGCGCAATAAAAGTCTCCGTCCTCGGGCTTTGTGGGAAAATCAAGGGACGCAGACGCCTCAGTGGAGGCGCCGTCCATCACGACTTCGGCCATGGCGCGGTACTTCCCATCATAGTTGACGAGGGCCTTGAATAGCTTGTAGGCCATGCCGCGCTGGACCTTGTGGGCGCCACCGGTGAGCGACTTCTGAGTGAGCATGTCCATTTGAGCCTTGACCATGTAGTTGTAGCGTGACCATTCGGCAGCCCAAGTAGCCTTGTCCTCGTAACGAACAATGCAGTGCGCGTGATCTTGAATCTTCTTGCCATCGGGATGCACGCTACGGAATGACAGCTTGACTACGCCAGTGTCTAAATCAGCATTCGCCTCAAGTTCGAGATGCTGACCCTGAGGTGGTTGAGGAATCTGAGCAATCAAAGGCTTGGGAACCTCCATATTGCAGACGTTGAGGCCAGGGACTTCAGTGCCAGGCCGCATTTGCTTGATGATGTAATCGGCGACAGTGAGTGCCATATCGGCATAAAGGGATGAAGGGCAAAGCGCAGCATTATTGACCATGTGACCGCAGACGACGGGGTAGAGCTTCTCGTCTGCCAGACTGCTGCGAATGATGACGCGACCAGTGTTGCCGTGGAAGTCTTCGCTGACGACCTTCTGGCACGAGGTGGAAAGACGTTTGGCTGGTACCTCGATCACTGGCGCAGCTTCAATGGCCGGCTTCTCGACAAGGATCTCACGGATCTGTGGTGCCTCGCCCTTGGTCAAGGTCCAGTTGTTGTGGTAGTCCAGCCAATACTTTTTGTTGTCGAAACTATACGTGGGCAGGGGAAGTAGCTCCTGAGCATCATTGAATTCGCGATGGAATTCGTCGAAATTGATGTTCACGCCAGCAGTGAACAACGCACACATGCTGTTCGCGATAGTCTTCCAGCTATCCTCCCCGCGACGTAACGAGGGTACCGTGACGGCGGCGCCCGTGGAGGCCTTTACCATCCCAGAGCAGACCGGGTGAGCACCAATTTCGAGCCAAGTCGTTTTCTCGTCAAACACCGATTCCTTCTGACCAGCTGCGAGAGCAGACCAGAAGTTGACAGGTTCGCGGGCATGACGAGCGAGATACTCGGGATTGATGATTCCAGCGTCGCGAATGACCTCGCCTCCTAGTGGTGAAAGGACTGGGACCACAGGCTTCTTGAAGGTGACGGCTGAAGCAATCTCGGTGAATCGCTTGAGAATCGGATCAACCTGGGCAGAGTGGAACGCGAAGGGCACGTTCAGCTTTGTGGCCTTGATGCCGCGGTGAGTCAGCGCATCATTGACGTCGCTCACAACTTCGGCACTACCGCAGAGGACGGTCTCCTCGGGTCCATTGATGCAGGCAATCTCTGTCATCTTGCTACCAAGAGCGCCACGGATGGCTTCGGCGCTTCCCTTGACGGCGAGCATACCGTGCGTGTGAGGAGTGCAATCGCGTACTAGAAGCTCTGCGCGGCGACCAACCAGGAGCACCATGTCGGAAGCAGAGATGACTCCAGCGACATGCAAGGCAGCGTACTCTCCCAAACTGTGACCAATGACAGCAGTTGGAGTAATGCCCCAGGCAGCCCACATGCGTGCCAGTGCAACTTGGATGCATGCCATTCCTAGCTGAACCTTGACCGGTGACAATGTTTGGACATCAGTGCCATCCAATAGCTCAAGGAAGGAAGGTAGACCCTGGAGACGAGCCAGTTGGTCGAGCTGATCAATGTCGCTGCGGAAGCTCTTCAAGTCCTGGTAAAGCTTTTGTCCCAGACCGGTGTACTGCGAACCTTGTCCAGTGAAGCAGAAGGCAACCTTAGAAGGCACCATCGGTACCGGGCTGTACGATTCCTTGATCTGCGCCTCCAGGGAATCATTGACCTTGCCGATGTCGGCAAGCGAGAAAGCCACCCGATAATTGTGCTGGATGCGACGCGCAGTCAGGGTGTAAGAGAGTGAAGAGAGAGTTGTAGCAGAATTCTCTGTCATATATTTCTGCAGACTCGCAATGTTGCGCTTAAGCGAGCCAATCGAGCGGGCAGTAACTGTGAAGGGGAGAGTGCTGCGTGCATCGACACCAGTAACCGCCTTGCGCAATGGGCCATCCTCGATGAGCAGGGCAGTGTTACCACCGGCAGCAGAGAAATTGTTGAGGAAGACCTTGCGAGGAGTGGCACCCTTACGAGGCCAGTCGACCTCTCCGCGAGAGATGTGTACATTGCGATCTTTCAGATCAGCAGGGAAAGTCTTGTTCATCTCGCCCTTGATACCGACGTTTGCCGGAATTTTGTTGTACTTCATCATAAGCAAGACCTTGCTGAGCGAGTTGATACCGGAGGCCGCTTCAGCGTGACCGACGTTTGCTTTAATTGCCCCGAGATGAACCGTCTGCTCTGGCTTTCGCTGCCTGTGGCGAGGAGCGAAGACGTTAGTCACCGAAGTCATCTCAATGCCATCTCCAGCTTGAGTTCCAGTTCCGTGCATTTCAACGTAGCTAATCTCGTGAGCATCAACGCCAGCATTCGCAAGCACTTGCTTGTAGAGAAATTCTTGGGCTCCGGCATGAGGGTGAGTGATAGATACAGCCTCGGCTGAGTGATTCGTTGCAGCACCCAGGATACAACCAAGGATGTTATCCTTATCTGCGATGGCATCCTCATAACGCTTGAGAATGACTGTACCACAGGCGTCACCGCGACAATAGCCATCAGCATCATTGTCGTAGGTCTTGCAAGAGCCCGTCTTGGACAGGAACTGTCCCTTGGAGAGACCAGAGAAGATGTCGGGGTTGGTGAGGACGTTGAGACCACCAGCACAGGCGGTATCACAGTCACCGGCCCAGAGCGAAGTACATGCAAGCTGGATGGCAGCAAGTGATGACGAACAAGCGGTGTCGATAGAATAGGACGGGCCAGAGAATTTGAAGTAATAATTGATGCGGCCCGGCGCGAAGGCGCGTACGCCACCTGTGATGAAGTACGTGTCGACGTTCTCCGCCGCGTTGATTTCACGCCAGTCGTCAGAAGTCTGGCCGTAGAAGGTACCGATGCGATGAAGTTTTGTTGATGGCGTACGATTAGGCACATATCCAGACATTTCAAGAGCTTCATAAGCAGTCACCAGTGCGAGACGGCCCATGGGATCGGTCTGAGCAGCCTCACGGGGAGACATATTGAAGAATCGCGGATCGAAAAGACCTGGTTCGTCGATAAAGCAACCGAAAGGCGTGTGCGATTTGTTTTTGCCTTTGCCGGAAGGATCGCAATGAGCGTCAGCGTCGAATCTATCAGCCGGGATCTTGCGGTGAACATCGAGACCCTTCATAAGTAGATCCCAGAGCGCTTCATGATCAGCAGCATTGGGATAGCGTCCGGCCATTCCGACAATGGCAATCTTATCGTTCTGGGTGCGGCCAGAGTAGCTTTCCTTGTCAAGCCAGCTAGACTGGTCAACTAGGGTGACATCGGTCTTGCCGCCCGCCTTAAGCGCAGAGACAAGACTGTTGGCAATGTTGCTCGACCCAAGGGCAAAGATCCTTGCTGGAGACTTGCTGGCGGCGACTTGTGTGACGGACTCTTCCAGAAGGCGATCCCAACGGACAGGATAGTGCAGAATCTCACAAAGTGCAATCTTCGCCAGTTCATAGGCATCTTCGGCCACCATTGGCTTTCCAGAGGTGGCAGAGTGCACGAGGGACGCTGGCTGGCGCTTCTTGAGCTCCGCGCCGACGGTGCCACTGAGGATCTTATCGTAATCAGCCTCGGCAAACAAGTGCTCGGCATGGTATGGCCCAAAGATCGGAATTTTGATGCGCTGTTGCAGGGAGAGAGAGCTGGCATGGTCGAAGAAACGATTCACAACACTGGGAGGACCTGAAAGTGTGAGGGCCATGCCGGACACGGCACTGACCCAGATCCAGTTGGACTGCGGGATACCCTGAGCCTTGTGGAACTCGGTCAGGGCTGCTTTGACTTCTGCTTCCGACCCACCTGTGACAACCGTCGACCAGGGCTCATTTTCCTCGCCGCTTTGCGCCAAAACGGTTCGGACGCTGTCGACGGCAGCACCAGTGCGGAAAGAAATGCGTACAAAGTCAACGCCGAGGCTGACGAGCTCCTCCACGTTTCTGGCGGAGACCACTGCGGTTGCGGATAAGAGACCGGTGCAGAGCGCAATAACTCGAGTATCGGTCGAAGCTGGAAGTTCGGTAGGATGTTCGGAGAAGTAGCCAATGTAGTGACCAATTTGAGTCGCGGTGAGAAACGCCGACTCGAGGGCAGGGACTTTGTCACCTTTCTGGTAGTACGCTTCGACCAGATTGCTCAGGGTCAAAAAGTCGGGAATAGCGTTGCGCTGGCTTCGAGGGAGTTGGCGAGTCTCCTCACGAATCGCGAGCGCAACACGTTCGATGAAGTTAGAAACCAGAGCATTGTCCTTCCGGAGGACAATTCGGTGTAGCAGCGGATACTGCTCGGCAGTCTGATCGCCGAAGAGAAGTACGTTTGACATACTGGGCAATTGCTCGATTCGTTGGGAGAGAATTTAAGAATTGCACAGCAAGCTCTTGAGGTCGCGGGTGCTGATAGTGTCGATTCCTGAGATGACTGGAGCTTGCCAGTGTATTTGGAGTCGTCACTTGAAAGATACGAATTCGATATACCGAAAATTGCAATGACCGTGGTGGCTAGTCACGGAGATGCACAGCTCAAATTGTCTGCTGAATGGGAATCTTGATATCTTCCTGGAGGAGTGGCTGTCGTGTTAGCTATTACTATCGTGTTTGATAATCGCTGCGGCGTAAGTGCAATATTCTGTCTTGCACGGTTCAACAAGAGCGAGAGTAGTTTGAATAATTGACGTGACCGTGAATCAGGCAGGTGGCTAATCTGTCTGGTCCAAAACACGTTGTTCTGTGAGGAAGGAGGATGATCAACAAGGAAATCGAAGAGATTGATCAAGAAGTAGAATTAGTATGGAGGTGAAGAAAGGAGCTGTTCGTTCAGGTCAACGGGTAATGTGAACAAGATATGTATACCAACGCGTGGTCCCGTTTTGATACGTCGGTCACCTTAAATGGGGGGATGGGAAAACAGTCCGGTATTGTGTTCCCACCAGAATATCTTTCTTGGATCGCACGATGCCTGCACACCCACCTCAAATCCATGAGTCTGATAGATCTGCCATGTGAAGATCCGCTGACCTCCCAGGCTGCAGTGGACGGCACGGCAGCGGGGAGGCGCGGACGAACAGTCTGATCTGACCTCAGCATCGGGTGTGCTGTCAGTGCACTGGACTTGAGGATCCGGGCCACAGACTTGCTATCGCCATACACCGCATCTGTCCAAAATGGAACGGTGGATTGGTGACCCTTTGGCAAGGATGTCACCACGCAGGGTATCGTGAGGCACAGAGGCTTGGAGAGAAGGGTACCCACACATAGGGAAAACTCCGATCTAGTTCCGCCACCAGACCGATCAACGGTCATCCCTCATACGTTTGCACTCTTGTCATCTCGGTGGCAGACGAGAAGCCGCCGCGGGCCTGAGGAGGGCCAAGTACCTGCGGACGCGATATCGACGGGATGCGTACGTGATAGGTGAGGCGTCCACAATGTGTTGCCTGGCAGCCGCGCAACCGATGACTTCGACTGCACTCCTCGAGAGTGGCGAGGAACGATGATCCTAGTCAGCTACCATGAATGACAATCTACCAAAATACCACAGCGTGACCGACGTTGCCTCGCCGCTGAAAAGATCCATGGACACGAAGCATAATTGCAGGAGCTGGGCTCGAGAGGGTTGCCGGATTAAAATTCTAGAGAGGAGGATGATGGTCCCCGGATAGGGCATGGTCGCCTATTGATAGAAGCACTCCGCCCATTGGCCGAGCTGACGCACTTCCCGTCAACACCACCCTCGCCGAGCACGAATGTGGGAATTTCTCAGGTATTGGCGCGCAGCTCGAGACAGTAAATAATCGTCGCACTGCATGATAAGTGCAGATAAACATAGGCCGCGGTGTGGTCTGCACTACACTGTACCTGACTGATAGACTCCGCCTTTCGACGGAAGAGGACCGTGTGGTGTATCATTGTCGATGACTGGGAGCGGCACTTAACTTTTCGGCTCCCCAACAAGCGATCCGCCATGCGTCACCCATCCGAGCTGTCCCGTGCTGGCGCTCACCTTGTTTCCCGCCTCATGCGCCCCTTGCAGAAGGTCGTCGGTGGAGTCAAGCAGCAGACATGTGGGGCGCAACGTTATCTTCGCTACGGTGAGAGAGCCATTATCGGTCCATCAAAGCTTCCGCTGGATGCTCGCTACCCAGCCTCGCTCTGATCTTATGCTGTTATGTATGTTTTCCACTGCCTTGGGTAGTACCTACGAATCGAGCAGTGATCCGTCTCTTGGACCATGAAGGCTCCTGAATTACGAAGGTCCAAAGGTGTCATCAGTAGTCGGGAACAATCTCCACCGAGAATTTCCAGCTAGGTTTTTTCCGATGGGGCCAGATGGACTGGACTCGTGGACGGAAAGTGACAATTGTACAACGCAACATGGGATGTATCCTCGTGGCTCTGCGACGACCGTGGCAAGGTTCGTGATGCAGCTGATGATCGCTAACGTTACTTGATGTTGCACCCGTCATCGAGGGATCCTCGTCATCAGGACATATGTTCTCGTCCTTGCAGCCGTTGCCATGCAGGGCCAGCTTGAGAGCACGCTGATGCAAATCACGACAGTGAGCTCATGACAACAATACGCTGCCCTTCAACCCGTTCTCCCCAGCTCACAACATTTGACCTATAACATTTGTCTGGTTTGGATCTGCCAGCCACGCCTACCTAGCTGCGGTTCTTGTACGGTTACGCTTGGAGGACAGTACGGATCGAATCAAATCTCTGTGTCTGGCAACTCCCTGCTCGGAGCTCCCGCATCGTTACTCGTTGGAGCACAGTTCTGCAAGGTGGGGTATGAGTTTCGTGGAAGGGCCGGGGAGTTGCTCATTCATATCTCCACACTCGCACCCGAAATTCCAGAAGTCATGCACAATGCGAGCGGGAGGAACGTTACAACATACCTGGGTATGTGGTGAAACATTGAGGATGACCCCACATGAAATGCAAGACCCAACACAGTCAGGGTGAGGTGCTGTGGCAAGTTGTACATGTTTGTTCCGCGACCGCCATGTAATCATCTCACGCCCACCAGCTATGCCCAGGCGTGCCAGGTCGAAAAGCAGCGAGCCATTGCAAATGTCGAATGCGGAAATTGATCTCTGTCGCATTTCATCGCTACCATGTATCGTGAGATTACACGCCGGGGGCGTCGACATCCGCCGCTAATCGAGGACCAAATTGTCGACGCAGCCCAAGGCGTTCATGACATCTGGCCTGCCGTGCCTGCACGGCAACAACCGCACGTACCTGTGGTTGTTTAGCAGTCCACTAGAATCGGGCTTTTGTCCGCTGGACACCTGGGCAGACGCAAGTCGAGTCCGGCGCCGACGCTGTTCACTTGTGTTTCAAGAATGGACACATGCATGACTCCATGCACCTCTCGCAGCCGGCGCACTTCATTGATGAGGAAGACTCGCCCAGCGACACGCTGCAAGTCGGACAGACGAAGGTGTGATCGAAAAGGAAGTGACGGCATGGCGCAACATCAATGACGGTCAGTGCAGCTGGCCGTACCAAACTGTGCATCGCGAGGGCTAGCTGGCTGGATTTTCGTGCCACGGAACACTCTTCCGCAGTGAAGGAATCCGTCAGCCGCCGAGAGATCCTCCTGTGGGTGGTGGTGGTGGTGAGGTCCGAAGATAGTGGGTGACGGCAGGTCCCGATTTTTCTCCAGCAACGGACCTACGAAAAGCCGAACCGGTTATCATTCCTCGTGCTGATGCGGTTAGTGCTCAGGAGCTTAACAATGAATCCATATCATGTAATAATAATGAACTCACGCTTCAGGATTATGTACAGTAATCAGAGCGAATTCAAACATCTACTAATCTTGCTTACAGACGGTCACAGGCGAAGATTTGCATCGATCGGGGCGGATTCTCCATCTGATCATTGAGGGACAGTCTTGCGCAACACGGGTATTTGTCGGGCGCGGAAAAGGTTGCAAACGACATCACATCACATCAGCACGGACAATATTTCCACATTCAGGCCTCTCCCTTGCATCATCAGCCGGCCGGAAGTGCTCTTTCGGCGGCCGCGCGCTTGCCATGCCATGCCTGCCATACCACGCCAGGTCATATCTGGTGGGACACAAGATTGGAAAGAGTCTTACATTTATTCTGAGGCCTCGTCTAATAATACCCTCTGGCGAAGCTCAACGAGCAGGAAAGGCGGTTGTCTTTCTCAAAGGGGCACCATGCACACACAGACGTGGGAACGACGAATTGAAAAAAGCCCGATTCCAGAGTGTCGAACTCACCGGCAGGCCTCATGCCGATTCGGAAGCGACTTCGTATCCCACGTTTGCATATTGCCTTCGTGACCTTGACTTGGTTCGGATGTGTTCATCCTTTGACATGTCGTTGGGAATTGAATTTCCCGCATAGATGACTACTCGATCCGATGTGTAACAATGTCTGTCATGCCATGCCATGCCATGCCATGTCAATTCCCTTGGCGGACAAGACCATATGTCAAAGGCCTGGGCGCATACTCAACAAATTGCAATTAGTTGCACTTGATTGCCGCATTTAGCGATTGATAAGGCACCCCATTCTTCCCGGAACCGCATCTGAAAGCGGCGACGCATTTGGAGGCTCTCGTATTTGCTCCATGGTTCTAGCAGCCGCATCGATGCGAGGATCGGCACTACTGCAACATGGGCGTGAGAACACCCCTGGCAATATTTGACACTCGCCTGCAATGAAAGTGGAAATGCAAAGTATTGAAGGCGACACCTTTTCTGGCCATTTTATGGCCTGGCCAAGCCAGTTGATGTTCGATCAAGGTATCTGCTCGTAACCTCCTTCCAATCCACCTTGGAAACGACCATCTCCATACACCGACTCAACCAACCAAGGAACGTCTAACAAGCAGCTTTCCTGGGTACGGTAGCGCTCATCGACCCTGCTGCTTTGACCCGATATCCACCACGCCCATCAGATAGCATTCGCCATCATGCCGTTCGACGATGAAATTGAGCCGGACACGTGAGCCCACGTCTTTGCCGCCGCTAGGCATCATGACGGCGGCCGAAACCACGCGGTCAAGTTACAGACTCGTCAGCGACCTGGCGATGGAGGTTTCGCACACGTAGTCTGACGTGGAACGTTCGAACGGAGAACTTACCCACGCGAGCCAGCCAAAGGGCACGAACTGAAGCATCGTCATCAGTTCAAATCCGTCGTTTCGACGTCTTCGCTGAACGAGACATGGTCTCCGAAATCTGACACGCCACGTGGTCCATTGATACAGAAGCAATGCATCTCAAAAGAGATCATTTTGCGTCTGACAAGTCGTCGGAGGCACATTGTCTCGCAGCTACTACACGTGGTTCTGAGCGTTCATGTGTGAGAGTAAGCACATTCAGTCATCATTTCAACGTTTCCGTTCATGCGTACTATCCCTCATGGCCACCTCGTGGTCTGTTTGAGCGAAATGCCACCTTCAGCTTGAGTTGCGGCCCTCTGGAGGCAAGTTAATTTTTCGTGAGGCATGACCGGCGTACGGCTGGACAGCTATCTGCGTATTCGCCGGAACAAAGAATTCACCCATTTGCATTGTACGATGCTT